ATCAAGGGTCACTGTACCAATCCTCTGCTTGGAGTCTGTTGGACACACGGGGTTGGCGCTGTTGTATACCTCGGGGGTCACCTGGAAGACGTTGAGCCATTTGTTGCCCACCCCAGGTTGATTGTTGTACGAGTAGAAGTCGAGGTTGGCTTTCGACCAGCTGGAAGTCCTGGCGCGGTCTGGGATGTCGATCTTGTAGAATGGGACACTAGTGGGGTCTACTAGGAGCATGGTAGGGTTGGCCTTTTGTGAGCCAACCAGGGCGAACGACTGAGTGACGTTGGGGTAGTGTCTTGGAAGATTGAAACTGCAGGTGGTGTTCCTGTTTAGACAGTAGTCCACAATGAATTTCATTGTGTCTTCCTCCCAACCGTTGAAGAAGTCGGCGTGCAGGCCAACCAGACCGTTCCAGGGCCAAGTCCATGTGCCGTCTGTCTCTTGAACAGGGTTGAGCGAGAACTGGGCGCCAGTGAGATCCTTCTCGGCGTTAGTGATGGCGTAGTGGAGATGCATTCTCAGCTGGGGGATGCGGACTGGGTAGTCGGCCGGGCATGGTTGGCCTCCATCATAAATCGCGTTCTTGTACGTAAAGGTGGGGCGGATGTTGACTCCGTCCCAACAGTTGGGAAAGAGAAGGGTCATGGCCAAATTGAACACCGTCTCGTTCTGGCTGGAGCATGTGGAGGGAGGTTTGTACATGAGTCCCTGGTCTGGGCAGTTCCACCAGATGTGGCCATCGGCCACTGTTGCCTTGGGGTTGCCAGCAATCAATTGCAGACCCTTGGGGATTGGTGTGACGGGGTAGGTCAAGTGGCCAAAGTAGTAGATCTTAATGAAGCTGGCTTTGAACATCTTGCCATTGATCCTTAGGCCTGGAATCCAGTAAGACGCTCCGTCGGTGGCCTCCTCACAGGACGTGTTACTGAGTGAGTAGATAGAGTCAATTGTGGAGAGGCCGTTGGCTAGCTTGTTGCCATAAAAGTCGTGGATCATGGCGCGGCCCACTGAGTTGGGGAGAAGGATTGGATCGTCTTGTAGGGTGTGGGTGTAGCCGCAAACGGTATCTATCTGTGGTCCTGCTCCAGGTTGGGCATTGACATGATTTTGATTGATCAGTGGGAGTATGATAAAAATACATAACAACCAGACATAGTAGTAGCTGGTGTTGGATGTCATTGTCAGGACTGTCAATGACTCTGTAGTTTGGATCTGTATAATTATTATTACAAGTTGGATGGTTATAAATGATTGATCAGGGGTGATGTTTTGTTAACTGTGAGTATATATGTAGATGTAGATACTTTAAAACGTTAGGAGAGCTCAATGATCTTTGTGGTGGGTCCGGTCAGACAACCATGGGACCGCATATAATGAATAGATGTGGGTTGTTGCAATGTGTACTTAATGCGAAGGGGACAAACAAAACGCGGGTTAATATCCACTGTTTGAACCATGGGTTCGGGCCTTATCATAGGATTGGGCACATGAGCTCTCTCTATCTCTCTTCTTTACTGAATACGACAGACCGACCGAATTTAAACTAGATCGATGGAACACGGGATCCACCCTGCTGTGGTTGGTGAATGAATCTGAAATTGACCAGTGGTCACGTCCACTTCTTGATCGAATTGCAGCAACACCAGACAACACAACTGTTAATCTTTATTAATATCTCCTTCACATCATATTATTGATCTTCATCTTTATCACTTATATATGTCAGCGTTGATTACACCTCTGAAGCAGAGTGCACTGTGGCGCACAAGCAACAACAACAAAGACAAAGACTACGATAAATGAATCATTATTGAACATTGGACTGATCAAGAAGGCAATAACATATTTGAACGACATTGATAAGCATGAGAAGGTAGATTCACAGACATTGATTGATCTTCATCAATCGATAAACGCTTCTATGCGACCAAGTTCTTGATGGCATGGAGCTTGCCACGCTTCTACAACGAATCATTGCCCAACAGCGACCGCATGAACAACCCTTCCAACGATGAAATGTTGTTGGCATGGCGATTGTTGGATGTTGATGAGTTGAGTGATCCAGCCATCAACGATAAGTTCATCAACACGCGATTGTCAATAGGTATCGAGTACCCTTTGATGTTGGAGCGTGTCGCGCCTTTGGTTCTGGACACTGTAGATCTGGTGGAGACCAATCGACTCGACCCTCATACATCATTCATACGCATGGCCCTGTCCTTCCAGCTGGCTGAACATTTGTCAATGTGGGAGGAGATACGCATACTTGGTGACATGATCTCGCTCAACTACTTGGAGGCAATGTCAGTGATGCATCAAGAATCAATCATGCAGCCCGAGACATTTGACTATCACTCAATCTACATACTGCTGAGAAGCACACTTGTCAACCTGCCCAGCGCTCACGCTTCGCGTCGTGCCGCGCTCATGGACACCAAACAGCGATATCAATTGGAGGTGTACTTGTTCAAGGACGCGCGTCTGGAATGCAAAAATATCGAACCGGCCATCGCCGAGCAGTCCACCAAGCAGTTCATCGAGTCGAATGGAGGGGCTGCCATGCAAGGCCGCGACCGCATCGTACAAGCTAAACAAAGCAACACCCTGGTGCTCAATCAATGCGTGTTATGGTACCTCGAGTTTGAAGGCCTGCCGCCTGTCGCCCACTCTGGTGTGATCAGCAGTGGCCAAGGCAACAACTATGACGACGGACGACTACATCTATTTGGATATGTACTATGGAAACAGAGCGAGACGTTGGAATTGGAGGTATCATCCGAGTTCCATGGCAAGCTTGGACATCAACAACGTGGTGATGGTGGGAGTAGCATGGATGGCAAACCCAGTGATCTCCTCGTGTTCCAAGGTCAACACAAACGAACACTAAGGAATACCGAGAATGATCAAACATACATCTACACAATGGATGTCAGTATTGTATTTAAACGTGAATGATCATGATTGATTGTTTGATTGATCAATTTCAAATGAACTGGCCCATTATAATAACGGATAATTAACAAATCACTTACCTGTCTGTCTCTTGTCAAAGAGAATTTGTGTGTTTATTGTGACAGACAAGGAGTCACCGGCAACATGTCACATCCCCTTGTCTTTCCCTGTAGCCGGTTTCAAAAAACACTTATAAGGGCACTTTGCCAAGAGGCAACATGAACCCATTCATTCCATCCTATCCAAAGAGGAACCAAGTCCTATCGATATAGTTCTATCAATCCAAGGAAAAGTGTGTTGCCTTCATTTAGTTGGTTGGTCCTCATAAATTCAATCAATCAATTAATCAATATGAATGATTTATTCATTCACAAATAGATATATTAAACAAGGTGGAGTTTATTATTTAGATGAACTGAGATGACAACAATAATGTTATGACAGTTAGAAGGAATGATGATGATATGTGGCTTCCAGAGCTTGGTCCGTCTGGAGTGTTGGTAGTTGTCGAGCCGGGAGTGCTGGTGGTTGTCGAGGTGGGAGAGTTGGTTGTAGTCGAGCTAGGAGTTCCAGAAATTGTACTGACCTTTCTTGTGGTGGCGCCAGTGGTCGATGCAGCAGTGGTACTTGGTGCTGGAGTTCCAGAAGAGCTCTCTGAAGGGTTGGGTGGCTGGACATAGGGCGAGGACATGACCACATTGTCTTGGCTCTGCTTTTTCGTTGGATCCAAAAACCAAACAAGTGGCATATGTTCCTGATTCGAGGTGGAAGCAATCGAGTAGGTCTGGTCAGCATCGTTGGAACGGAAGCAAAAGTATATGGACACTGAGCCTTTGGGATTGTCGACAAAAAACTGTCGAATCTGCTTTGCAATGTCGATGGCATGGTTGGCAGGGTTGGAGTCAAGGGTCACYGTACCAATCCTCTGCTTGGAGTCTGTTGGACACACGGRGTTGGCGCTGTTGTATACGTCGGCGGTCACCTGGAAGAGGTTGAGCCATTTGTTGCCCACCCCCTGTTGATTGTTGTATGAGTAGAAGTCGAGGTTGGCTTTCGACCAGCTGGAAGTCCTGGCGCGGTCTGGGATGTCAATCTTGTAGAATGGGACACTAGTGGAGTCGACAAGGAGAAAGGGCGGGTTGGCCTTTTTTGAGCCAACCAGGGCGAACGACTGAGTGACGTTGGGGTAGTGTCTCGGAAGATTAAAGCTGCATGTGGTGTTCCTATTTAGACAGTTGACCACGATGAACTTCATTGTGTCTTCCTCCCAACCGTTGAAGAAGTCGGCGTGCAGACCGACGAGACCGGTCCATGGCCAGGTCCACGAGCCATCAGTCTCTTTGACAGGGTTGAGAGAGAACTGGGCTCCAGAGAGATCTTTCTCCTTGTCAGTGATGGCGTAGAGGAGATGCATTCTCAGCTGGGGTATGCGGACGGGGTAGTCTGCCAGGCATGGTTTACCTCCATCATAGATGGCGTTCTTGTACGTGAATGTGGGGCGGATGTTGACTCCGTCCCAACAGTTGGGAAAGAGAAGGGTCATGGCCAAAGCTAACACCGTCTCGTTCTTGCTGGAACATGTGGTAGGTGGTTTGAACATGAGACCCTGGTCTGGGCAATTCCACCAGATGTTGCCATCGGCCACAGTGGCCTTGGGATTTCCAGCGATCAATTGGAGACCCTTGGGGATAGGTGAGACGGGGAAGGTCAAGTGTCCAAAGTAATAGATCTTGATGAAACTGGCCTTGAACATCTTGCCATTGATCCTTAGACCTGGTATCCAGTAGGATGCTCCGTCGGTGGCCTCCTCACAGGACGTGTCGCCGAGTGCATAGATTGAGTCAATTGTGGAGAGGCCGTTGGCAACCTTGTTGCCATAAAAGTCGTGGATCATGGCGCGGCCCACTGAGTTGGGAAGAAGAATTGGATCGTCTTGTAGGGTGTGGGTGTAGCCGCAAACGGTGTCAATCTGTGGTCCAGCTCCAGGTTGGGCATTGACTGGATTGAACCATGGGTTCGGGCCTTATCATCGGATTGGGCACCTAACCCTGCTGAATCCGACAACCGACATAATCTAGATCTAAAACTTTGTTTGATCGAACACGGGATCTAGTGTGTGGGGGGTGGCACATGGACACCACTTCTTGATCAGTGGTCCAATTGCAACACCCAGTCGTAATCTTTATTAATATCTCTCTTCACTTTGATCTTCATCTTTATCACTCATCCATTCATCCATTCATCCATTCATTCACATACATGTCATCATTGATTACACCATTGCTTCTGAAGCAGGGTGCACTGTGGCGCACAAGCTACAACTACACAATAAGTAGATATTGTCTACAAGCTGCAACCATCTCAACAAACAAGTTGTTTCTTCGAACTCATCTTCAACCATCACATTTCTTATCATCATTATACTCAACAACACATTCATCATCATCAATAAGATTATATTGTACAAACTCAAACAACAGCAACAACAACAATGGTACAGCAACAACAAAGACGACGACAACGAGTGAATCATTGGACATTGGACTGATCAAGAAGGCAATCACATATTTGAACGACATTGATAAGCATGAGAAGGTAGATTCACAGACATTGATTGATCTTCATCAATCGATATTATCATTCGCTAAACAACTGCCAGATGATGGCAAAGTCAGATATAATGACAATGACACAGTGGAACAACGCTTCTATGCCACCAAGTTCTTGATGGCATGGAACTTGCCACGCTTCTACAACGAATCATTGCCCAACAGTGACCGCATGAACAACCCTTCCAACGATGAGATGTTGTTGGCTTGGCGATTGTTAGATGTTGACGAGCTGAGTGATCCAGTCATCAACGACAAGTTCATCAACACGCGATTGTCAATAGGTATCGAGTACCCTTTGATGTTGGAGCGCGTCGCACCTCTGGTGCTGGACACTGTGGACTTGGTCGAGACCAATCGACTCGACCCTCATACATCATTCATACGCATGGCCCTGTCCTTCCAGCTGGCGGCACACCTGTCAATGTGGGAGGAGATGCGTATACTTGGCGACATGATCTCGCTCAACTACTTGGAAGCAATGTCAGTGATGCATCAAGAATCAATCATGCAGCCCGAGACCTTTGACTATCACTCAATCTACATACTGTTAAGCAGCACACTTGTCAACCTGCCCAGCGCTCACGCTTCGCGTCGTGCCGCGCTCATGGACACCAAACAGCGATATCAATTGGAGGTGTACTTGTTCAAGGACGCGCGTCTGGAATGCAAGAATATCGAACCGGCCATCGCCGAGCAGTCCACCAAGCAGTTTATCGAGTCGAATGGCGGTGCTGCCATGCAAGGCCGCGACCGCATCGTACAAGCTAAACAAAGCAACACCCTGGTACTCAATCAATGCGTGTTATGGTACCTCGAGTTTGAAGGCCTGCCGCCTGTCACCCACTCTGGTGTGATCAGCAGTGGCCAAGGCAACAACTATGACGACGGACAACTACATCTATTTGGATATGTTCTATGGAAACAGAGCGAGACGTTGGAATTGGAAGTATCATCCGAGTTCCATGGCAAGCTTGGACATCAACAACGTGGTGATGGTGGAAGTAGCTTGGATGGCAAACCCAGTGACCTCCTAGTGTTCCAAGGTCAACACAAACGAACACTAAGGAATACCGAGAATGATCAAACATACATCTACACAATGGATGTCAGTATTGTATTTAAACGTGAGTGATCAGATTGATTGATCGATCGAGCAAGGTCCACGTCGCCCCTTTTGGCGTGGCGTTTCCAAAACCCCAACAACCTTGAAGGTTCATTCATTCTTTCATTTATTCTTGCATTAATTAAGTTATCTGTATCTGTGTAAATAGTAATAATATATAATAGTAATGGCAGAACAATTGAATGAACTGTTTAATGATGCAGTGGCGTATCTGAGTGCTAATAAGATACCAAAGATATCTGATGAACATCAATTATACTTCTATAGTCACTTCAAGCAGGCAACGATTGGTCAATGCAATACTAAGCAACCATCATTCTTTGACTTTGTTGGAAAGGCCAAGTGGTAAATGTCATGTTGGTCGATGTAGCTTTAACCAGAGAGAGAGCGATTACTCACTCCTCGCTCATTCATTCATCAATCAATTAATGGAATTTCAGGGGTAGTTGGTCATCTCTTGGTGATCTGAGCAAGGAGCAGTCGATGAAGAACTATATAGCTAGGTTGGATACATTGGCACCAAAGTGGAGAGAGAGTAAACAGCAGCAGCGACAGCAACAAGAGAACACATCGACTACTTCAACATCTGAATCTTCGACTACAACAACATCAACAACATCAACAAAACCACAAGATAGTGTATTTGAGGATGATTCAGAAGAAGATGCAAAGCCTTCAAAGGGCATGGGTCCAGTTATGAGCAGATTCTCAATGATTGGTCAGGAGGACATTGATAATGCAACATCAAGTGACCCGTAAGTACAATAGCACGTGACTAGGGAGGATCAACACACTGACATCTGATATCTCGGCATCCAAAAGGAAACATGACTTGATATACTGGGTATCATGCGACGATGAAGAAAAGGTTAAGGAGATACTTGGACAACAAGGACTAGCGATAAACGAACGTGAAGAGAATGGAAAGACAGCATTGATGTGGAGTTGCGATAGAGGTCATGTGGAAATCACTAAGCTACTGCTATCTGTGTCTGGCGTCGATGTCAATTGTCAAGACAACATTGGAATGACTGCACTGCACTACGCATCACTCTGTGCCTTTGGAGATATTGTCACACTGTTGCTACAACACCAAGGTATCGACTGTACACTACTGGAAAACGATGGAAAGACTGCTCTGCAACTTGTCGATCCTTCAGAGACAGATGTAATCGCCCTGTTTAACAATCGATAATATAACACTCATTCATTCATTCAATCAATCATTATACGCTTGATGGATCTTTCATTCATTCATTCATTTAGTTGAAGTCAATGTCGCCGTCATCATCCTGATCGCCAACAGTGACAGTGTCCAGGAATATCCTAACGTTGAGCTTTGTAATATCCATGTTATCAATGTATCCATCGCAGTACTTGTTGATACAATGGAAGAACAATACAATGGTGAAGAATATGTTATGCAGTCCCTGATGAGTGTGGATGAGAGATGGAGGTCAGTAAGATGACTTGCTAGTTGTCCAGGCATCGGTTCGACTCGACTAGATTCAACTTACTGGTGAGATGTCCAACAGACGATGAGTGTCGTTGGTTGGCACCAAGAGATCGCAATGCAATGGTCGCTTATATGTTATGTTGATCAATGGGATGTGCTTAAACACTTGTTTGGTGCTGTCCTCTTTGATGTACTTGGAGGAGAATGGCAGGTCGGGGATGGGTGCTGTGATGTCCTTGTTTAGTCGCTCGTCCATGTAGGTGAGGAACAATGCGAATATCAACTGCTCGTCCGTTGGCTGCTGGAGATCATTCAGATCCGATGATTTGTCGCCAAACTGAGGGAATATGTAGCCATCCTTTGACCACTCCTTTATCCTTCTACAGATATAATCGTTCTCATTCTTGTGATGTACATCATTCAATCTCTTCAAATGATGTACAGTATGTCTAAGTACATTTTTGATGATGTCCAACTTGCTCATTCCCTAATTGATTGAGTTGATCGAGTCAGTGATCTAATTGAGGTCCTCTTTTCAAGATGGACCTAGGTCTTACAAATGCATTAAACTTGGATAGCCTTGATTGATCATCGACTAGTAGCTGCTCATCCTTGACACCAAGGTATTCCTCGGCACTCTTCTCGAGAGGCTTGATGATATTCTCTGCAAACCATCTCTGGCAGTTTGGCACTGCCTCTGTCATCATCAGGTGATCATCCTCACACATCTAAATATGATTGATTGGTTGATTGATAGAGCGTAAGTAAGTAAGTATATGATGGTACCATGGGCCCAAATTGGCACACCTACCTTCTTCCAAAGGAAATACTTGGTGGACACAACGTCCTCGTATGACAACTTGGCAGCATTCTCCACGATCTTGGACTTCTGGAGGACGCGGTAGTTCTGAATTGGTTGGTAGTACTGAGTGACTATTGGTTCAATCTCAAAGATTTCTGTAAATGTGATTAATCAGATGGACAATCATTGTTAGCCATTATACATGGTTCATCAATCCATTCAATCAATCATTGACCATACTCTTGTTCTTATCCTGTTCCATCCTCTCCTTGTCCAATTGTGAGAGTGAGAGTGACTCGCTGACGGAGAGATCACTGAGTGAGGTGAATAGACGTCCCTTGAAGTTGCTCTCGATCTCTTCGCTCTCACGCTCCATCACAGACTTGGGTGGAGAGTATCTGTGTGAGTAGGGCGAGGTGATGGGCGACTGTTGCTTCATCGCTGACAGTGGCGTGGTCACTGATTGTGACTGTGGCTGTGGCTGTCTATAAGGTGATACAGCACTGAGTGATGACATTGTAATAGGAATAGGTGCTGATGCACGATCATGATCGCGAGATGGAGGAGGACTTGAAGGGAAGTACTCTGGCCATTTATACAATCCTCTTTGCTCCTCAGTCATTACAATCTCTGGCACCGTCTGGAAGTGTTGATAGAGCATCGATGTGCTCAGTCCAAGGCAGACCGACGCGACTATTAACATTGTGAAGTATATGATGGGTGCTATATAGAGAGTCTTAGTCAATCACTCAATCGATCGTTCAATCAATCAATCAAGTTTGATCATACACTTTGTATACATGACATCTCCATTCTCGATGAGATAGCTGAATAGACTGATTGATAGGATGAGCAGACTGAGGGCCTTGAGGAGGTAGGGTCGCGACTTGACTTTGACAAAGTGCGACCTAAACTTGAGGTATGACTCGAATGTGTCCAACTCCCATGATCTCGAGATAAATGGGAATGATGATGACTTTAGTACAGACTTGGTTTGTGATTGTGTAGTCTGTTGTTGTTGTTGTTGTTGCTGTTGTTGTTGTTGTTGTTGAACAGTGATTGGTGTCATTGGTTTGTTTGACAATGATGACACTACTGATCCACTACCTATACTACTTATTGGTTTGTTGTTGTTGACCATATTCATTCCACGAGGTATTGTCTGCTGCTGTGATGCACTGCCAGTAACACCAATAGGTTGTTGTTGATGATGTAGATACTGTCCACCACCTTGAGATGTTGGTGTCAATTGTACTGTATTCATACTATTATAATAGATATTGTTATTATTCTCTATCTATCTGTATAGTATATGATCTGAATAACATGCATGTTATTCAACAATGAACATCTCTTTCGTTCATTCACTCTTTGTCAAAGTGCGCCTATTTTTGTGAAAGTAGCTCAAATGATGTCATTCTTTCCAGTTTATTCAAATAATCAATCAAGTATATATTATGATGGTGTTCCAACGACACCTACAGTATTTCCTTGACCTGCTCCATGATGTCCACCTGAGTCATCAACCTGATTGGATGATGCGTAATGATGAGGACCAGGATCAGTTGTTTGTACAATGGTCAACTCTGGAAGTGAGTACGATGCAGTGTTGTAGATGCCATTGAGAATGTCTTGTTGCCAGAAGTCCTGTTGTACAATGGATTCACTTGTAACACAGATACGAGGTAGTATAACATCCACTTGTAAACAAGTCATATTCGGTCCACATGTTATCTGTTGTTCACATGCTTCAAACTCACATCTACGTGATGTATGATTGCAGAACTGAGTGTACGTGCATTGACTGCGGTAACAAGGTACGATGGACTCCACCGACACTGACTCTGAGCACACAATGCCCCATTCAAACTTGTTACAATCAAAGTTGGGTGGACACTGATCGCAGTTGTAAAGGTTTTGGTCTAGTTGTTGTGGATTGAGGTTGAGTGAGTGAGTGATTGATCATTGTTTGAGTTGATTTGGATAGTTCCAGTGAAGTACTTACCGAATGAACCTTCTTGTGATGGAACACAATCATAATCTGTGAACTCGCCCCTCATACAAATGAAGCCAGGAGGGCAAGTTTCCTTTAAACAAGATTCCAAGACTCCTTGAACATCTAATCAATCATTGTTAATTGTTAGTAAGTTTGGAATCATTCCAATCACATCAATGAACTTACTCTTTTTGAGGAAACATGTTGATATTCCAATGTCGGGTAGGTTGGCACATGTACTGTACTCATCACAGACCAAGAAGGTGCAGTTCTTTGGCATGCATCGTGATTTACCTTCATCAACCTTGCATACAAAGCCAAGTCCACATGGTAGTTCACATTTACTTCCAGCCAATGGTTGTTCATACTCATGATAGTTGGGTGCCAATGTTATATTCTGAGGTATAGTCCTATTTATACATTGATACGTTGGTGCACAACAAGACCAATCTTCAATCTTACAAGTGCCATGTACCAATGCACATATCATACCCTGAGAGAAACAATCCAGTTCCTTACATGATGCTAAAAGTTGATATTGTGTGATTGAGTGATTGAGTGAGTGATTGGGATAGTTCCAGTGAGTGATCAGAGGTATGATCAGAGAGTTGTGATCATTGATAGTATTGTTGCGAGATTGAATGAATGGGATAGTTCCAGTGAGTGATCGTGCAGGGACATTTCGGTGGTGATGATCGAGTTGGAGTCGAAGTTTCAGTATGCAAGTGATTGGGATAGTTCCAATGATTGATTGTTTGAGTAATTGAGTTAGTGATCATAAATGAATGAATGAATGAATGAAAGAGTGAGTGGAGACATACCATTTGATGGAATGAATAGTTCATAATAATCATCAGATAGTGGAGGAATATAGTTGAAGAATAGGTTGAATACTTCGTTGGTTTGTTTGTTAAGTAGACATGATCCAGGAGCCACTTCAAAGTAGTAGTCAGAGTAGTTGACACATACTAGTTTGGGACCATTACAACATGATGCCATTTGAAACAGTGCACAACCTTCATTGAGTAGACATTGATCCTCTACCAATGCTTCGCATATATCTATATTCTGAGGTTCAGGTGGAGGTAGATATGGGTTCAACTTATATGACAATGTCTCATTATATGATGTTTCATGAGCATTCCTATCGCCTCCATATTTATAAAAGTCTGTATCTGATTTTGATCGATCTACTAAACATAGAGTTGTTATAATTATTATTAATATGAGTAAATTATTATTCCAGAGTATTTTATATCTGAACATTGTAATTTATATATAAGTATTATAAGTATATTATTAAGATGATTGATTGTTTGATCACATGATCAAGATATAAGTATGTGATTGATTAATCAATCATACACACATACTACCACACTCACACCCAGACACACACACTAACCCCTGTAACACTCAATGAATGATGACGAGTCATCAATGGTCTAGACTATGTGAGTCGAAGTAGTTGGCCTCCCAACTTTATTGTTTGTATGATCCAAGCCAGGTTTGTTCTGGATTATCCATTGAATCCAGAGATAATTCGCTGGCGAATGGCAGAGTATATGGTGATGTTGAGGCAACTACTTCCAGAGTATGAACGTCTGGTGAGACTGCAGTGTTGGGCACAACTTCCACAACTGATTCATTGTGACCATCATCAGTCTCTATACTATTCAATTCGTTTGATATTTGTTTGCTGTCATTGAATTGGAAGCTATCCTTCTCTGTGCTGTCCTTGGGATCGGCTGGCGGTAATGGTTTGTTCTTGTTCAATGCCTGCATCTGAGCCAAAGGTATACTCTTGCGATAATTATCATTTGCCAAACGTCTAGTGATCACCACTGGTTTGAACATGAGATAGTTGATACATTTATCGGCAACGGCATACATCACAGTGAGTGAAGACAACATCTCCGCCAGGAATGTGATGAATGAGTACAAGTGTCGGTAGTTGCTATCTTGTGGCACTTTGAGTACATAGAATATTACCGAGCGTACTATTAACATTGTCATTGAGAAGGCAATAACAAATGATAGCAACTTGATATCATTGACAATGTTGGCAATGGCCACATTTGTATTCTGTGTAATCACCTGGTTCTCATGACGTCGCATCTGAATCAGCAGTGTAAGACCATTTATAAAGATTGTTGTGCCACCAAATCCAATGATTACAACGAATGCCACATTGTAATAAGTATCCAGATTCTTGGCACTTATAGTATGTTGAAGAATAATGTACAGTATGTTATAAACAAAGCATAATACTACAAGGAACCAAGAGTATCTGAATGAATGTTTGAGTTAGTGTGTGAGGGGAATGGATCCAAGAGTCAGTACTTGATTGATTGATTGATGGTGATGGGATGGTTCCATTACATGGTGGACCATCACAAGGTGTATTACTTACTTCCAACATCTTGATTGGTTCTCAAATTTGATCTTATCGGAGATGAAGAATGTATAAAGTAAGGTCATCCAGAAACAACCTATAAAGATAAATATACAGAATTGGAAGAACTATCATCAAACATCATTAAGTCAGTCACTCCACAATCCATAACTCATCTACCTTCCGAACTAACTTACTGTTGCCCACATTGATGAGTAGAATGCTCTCATGTCATTGGTATCATATTGATGTGAATCCAAAATGAATGAACAGTATAATAGTCTTGCTGTTGTTTGATTGAAAGTGAGTCAGTGATTGATTGAGTGGAGATGTTCCAATCAACTTACTTAAAGCAAATCCAGCTAGACAGAATAGTACACAACATCTTGCATTTGGTCTCTGTTTCCTTTGATGAAAGTATCTAATGTCAAAGATGAACTGAGGTAGACATATGACTATGATTGCAACTAACAACATCATTCTAATGATGTAAAAGGACAGTACCAACTTGTCCAACGAACTGTCACCTGTGAGCGATGAAGGTGTGACTGCCATAGCTCTCTATCTCTATCTCTATCAATGTATATGATCAATCAATCACTGAATAATGAATGATGATGATCATCATTGTGAGTGGCCATGAGGTCGATGATGAACTTGTCAACCAACTAACCCAATGAGTATGAGTATCCAAAGGGGTGCGATGATGATGAAGAGGAGGACCGACTCTACCTCTTGATTTGTGATCTGGTGCACCCTAAAGCATATATCTGTAGGGCCATGAGTGGCCCAAGATGAAGGCTTATTGGTCACATCATCATCATCAATATCAACTAAGATATATTTGATTGACTGAACTGTCTTTAACCCAATCAGATATTAAAAAGTCATCGCAGGACTAAAGATAAATCAGAGGACACCCAGCTCATCATTTTGACCTTTAATGGGCCATACCCAAAACATTGGATCAACCATTTCCAACCACCTAATCTAACATCCACAACTATTAATAAATCTTGGTATACTTCCTATTTAATCAATCAATGTAAGTATGTAAACCCAAAAAATAATACTACCGATTAGGAAACTACTGTCTTTGTTTAGGAGAGTCAAGGACAACATTCATATCACTCGTTTTGGTTTTCTGGACCTGGGAGGTCTTACACCATAATTAAAATCGTCATTTTTTTGCTTTTCAAAAATAAAAGCTTCTGCCTTTTGCCGGGATCGAACCAGCGACCTTAAGATCTTCAGTCTTACGCTACTACCAACTGAGCTAAAAAGGCGATGTTTTGGGAAGATCCTTTCCTCCGCTTTTGTCCCTATTTATTGGGGTTTTTAACTCGTTCTTTCTGAAATCTGAAATTAGTATATCAAAAAATAAATATTCCATTCTAAATTTATATTAATCCTTCCACCAGTTGGAAATTAATATTTTGTAATAAACTATCACCAATTATAAATCACCATTGTATTATTAGTTCAATCAAATACATAAAATGAATAATAATAAACCTAAGACTCAATGTATCATCCATCTTGGTGAAAAGATCAACTTGTTCAATCAATATTGTAATCATCTGGATCATCTTGTTGATCTTACAGATGGCTCCACTGCAATACCTTGGCATGACGATGATGCCAAACAACTACTACTATACAAGGTCACCAAAGATAATGTTGTCAGACACATGCTCAACACATTCAAAACGTCTCAACAACATGTTGCACTGCCATCACTAAACATTGGTTCATAGTATATATCGATCAATCTCAATGAATGATATAATGATTGAGTGATGGAGTATACTAACATCATTCAATCATACAATCAATCAGTTCGTCACCTCAGTTGAGACTGTCTCATCAACAGATGGATGTGATATCGATGCATCGTGGCGATGTGATTCTCAAAGAGCCGTCAGAGAAGGCATCAATGTCTTCAAGGATACAATGGAATCCAATGTATAATATCAAAGCTGTATGTTACTCTTGCATCTCAACACTTAATGAACATGACACCGACACATACATCACTTAGGAGTCGCACTTCGACACAGTCAAGGTCGGTAACGATGTATCAATCTCAATGAAGTCCAAAGTCAAGGATCTCAACTGGCACCCTACAGGCTTACTTCTTGCCATGTATGTACTAGTAGATGTATTAACATCGTTAAGAAGTGGAAGTAGTATGACTAAACAATGATTACACATGTACAGAGTTAGCAGCAACGAGATCAAGGTGATTGAATGGCGCGATATGGCAATGGAACAGGAATACAAATGCAATGAATACTATGTTGAAGGTGATAGTATGACATACTCTGCAGTAAGATGGTGCGGTGTTGCCGATGGTCTGTTTATTGTCGCCACCGAACAGTATCTCTATGTGAAGGAGGTGATGGCATCAATGCCAGCAATCAAGAGCTCAGGTGGCAACAATAGCAACACAATTGGAAGTGGTGATATCTCATCATTGGACGACATTATCAAACCAAACTTTAACATCATTGATGAGCAACCGACATTGGTAACGAGATCTAACAAACAGAATGTAATCAGCTCATTGTTCATGGTGGACCCAATGTCGTCATCGTCATTATCAACATCATCATTCTCAAACATGGTCCAAGACAACAATAACAATGATAATGCACCATCCAGGATACATCTTTTCCAACATCCATCAACATCACCAACACCAATCAATAGTTGTTCAACACCAAGATACAAAGTGGTAGACTTGATGGCATACGACAAACAAACTGGTATGCTTGCCATTGGTTCCAATCAATGTGCTCAGCCATCCATCACCCTGTACAAAGTTAATCAACAAWTCAAAACATGTCCAATGTCACTCAACAATACCATTCATTGGCGACCACTCTGAAGACAACAACAACATACGTATCAAGGGTACCCACTTTGATGGACATGGAAGACTGTTCGTTTTGCATTGTCGCAAGCCAACATCATCGCAACCACTCATCGGCATATCTCCCAATCCCAAGTCATTGTATTCCGATGTCGACATATTAGTGTTTGACCTTTCCCAGGACATGACCAATACAGGTGCATCAGTGAAAAACAAACAAGTTGGTGCCAGTGATGTTGGTGTTGGTGGTGATGTCAATGACAATGCTTTACTTCTTCAGATTATGGAGAGCATGGCATCGATTCATACAAAGTTGGACTTACAATCGCAGAGACTCGACCGAATTGAAAAACAGATCTCGGCGCCAAAACAGTAGAATGAATAATCCGTTGAATAATTTTGACTTTGGTTCACCGTTATAATAAATTTTTGAATTTAAAAACCAAATTTATGTGATGAACAGATGGGTGTTGGTGATGTGTTGAGGGGGGTCTGGGCTGGCTGCGATTCTCAAGATGCTCACAACCAGTCAAGTGAAGTGTGTGAGTGAGTGATTGTTTGCAAACATTATTATTATTATTTAGTGTGTATGTTTAAGTGATTATTTGTTTGTATTGTCTTGTCTTGTGTTTGTGTGTCTTGTCTTGTGTTTGTTTGTCTTGTCTTGTGTTTGTTTCGTGTTCATTATATTATAATACTTAATACATAATACATAATATATATATCAGTTAGGTAAGAGGAAGAAGGAAAAGAATGAATATCAATAAAGAAAATGTGCCAAATGCTGCCTTCATGGGAAGTATGCCACAGGACCCAAAGGCCAGACAACCATTGGCCAATATACAACAAAAGTCAAAGGTTTCAGTTAAACCACAGCAGCAACAGCAGCAACAGCAGCAAATCGTTCAACAGCAACAGACCATTATATCCAATGCCAGAATTGACAGTCTAGAGAATGAGCTCAGAAAACTTAGAGAGCAACTAGAGCAAACCAATCGCGAGAATGAAATGCTAAAGGCTGCTGCCAATGATCATCAGAACCAAAAGAGTATGATATCCAACCATTGATGAAGCGATGCATTCAGGTTTGATTTGAAAGGTATTCTAACATATGTTCAATAATTGAATGAATCAAGTGAATGCCATTGTGCACAACAACAGACTTAGACAGTTGTTCAAGCTTAGAGAAGAGAACAAGTTGAAGGACGAGAAGATTGCAGAGTTGGAGGAACGTTTGAACGATGCTGAGAGACCAGAGCCATTCGCTATCAAGCAGAATGTTATGAGAGCAAGAAAGATTCATCAACAGTCAATTAAGATTGTAGGTTTTTGAACGATGAGGAGTATTGATGCATTGACGTACTCCAGTACTAACTCTTTTTTTGCTTGATCAATTTGTAGGACGAGTTGGAGAAGGAGAATGCCGAACTCAAGAAGAAGTCGAAACAACAGGAACAACAACCAATTGCCGCACCATCGCCATCAAAGGTGAACTACAGCCACGTGCGTGAGCAGATCCGCACTGCTGGACAGTCAAACTATGGCATCATCGAGAACCACCTTCCAGGTGAGTGTTAAGTCACATCCATTCTCGGGCGAGGCTTACCCAACAGCACATATCAATCAAAGTGTGCGTGTACGTGTACAGGCCAAAGGCATCTATTTCTCTCTCTCATTCTCTGTATTTAATACGATTAAATATTATTATATTATTATTCCTACTTCATCCTCTTGTTGTTTTGTTATTATTATTATTCTATGTTATCTCAACAACAAGTAATAGTAATGACAATGTTCATTGGTATTGCTTGCTTGTTGTTGGTGTGTTTGCAACCAACTAATCCCTTCTTGGAAGTGATTGACATAAAGTGAGACTTTAGAAGTTCACAAGTTCGACTTCATTTGAAACAACCAAAAACACCAACCTTTGATTTTTTAATTATTTGAAGGTTTGATTGAATTCATGATGCAATCAATCTATTCACTAATAACACAATATCTATATTTATATATATATAATAATAATAATAAGATTGACATGTCAAAGGCGGAAGAAAGCAGTCAAACACAGGAATCTGCCGAAGACTTCCTCTTCACATCAAAGAACCTTGGCAACTGCGAGATTAATGCCAATCATTTCTTCACATGGTACATATCAATGACATTGACTGATTGATTGATTGATTGATTGATCGGATGATTGGATGAGCAGTTTCACAAGCATGGACTGGAGTACTTATACAACAAGGTCAAATTGATCAATATATACAGTATACAAGATAACAGAAAGAATCCAACAAAGTGTATGGCAGCCTTTGAAAGACTGGAGAAGTGTTGCGAAGATGCCAAGAACTTACCAGAGCCTGAGGAGCACGAGATATCACCTGCAATCAAGACATTGCAATTCTACTTCCCAAGAATCTTTACATCTGACGCCCCAAGGTATGTTGGGATATGATATGTGAATATGGAAAGGACTACAATGCATGGATGAATGGTATACTGACTGACTGACTGATCAACTACAACAACAAACAACAGAGAGAGAACTGTAATGTCAGAGACACTAGGTAAATTGATACCTGAGATCTTTGAACCAAAGGAGGAGGACGATTAATAGATTGATTGATTGGTTGGTCGATTGATTGATTGATTGAAAGCCTGGTCTGAAAGTGTCATCAGCAACATCAAACTACAGCAAAAGCAACAACACAGGGTTTGCATTACTCTTGCATTAAGTCATTGGCATTGACAATATTGATCATCACCATCATCAACATCATCAACATCATTAGTAAAATAGAAGAATGCAGGAGGGTGACCAAGCAGGCATATTATGCTTCGTTAACATCTCATATGCAGTTGTATAATCAACCAATATATAATAGATATCCAATGCGCGTCTAATGATCTTTGGATCGCTCTCTGGTTGCCCCGCACCTTGGAATAGGCTCGTTGTGAGTGTGGGGGAGTCGGGAACTTGATCGTCCAGTCGTACACCCACTCATACACACACACACACTAGTACTACTGCGAACCACTATCTTCACTACATGATCATAATGATCATTCCTTCCGCTCATCAGCTGATGAGGAAGAGGAGGTGATAATGGAGATTGTGGTTTAGGGCCAGGATAGAGTGGATAGGATAGGATAGGTATGTTTGTAATATTGACGTGATAGTAAGTGGATACTAAACCCCACATTGTCTACAGCACAGTAATACAACTCCTCCTCTTCTCTTGTTTGCATAATATTTTTATTATTATTATTACTTTGTGGTGTCATTGGTCATTCATTCATTCATTCATTCATTCATTCATTCATTCATCTATCGGTCAAAGGTCATTTCAATCTTTCATTCATTCTTCCATCATATCTTAATTAAGTAATAATAATAATAATCATAATCATTGATCATTATTAATAATAACTTGGAAGGTAAGTGATATCACTTAGTAATCAATCTATGACTTGATAAATAACTCATACCAGTCTCATCAAACTCTATCCATCTTCATTTATTTATTCAAGATCAAAGGGTACCCCCTTGACTTGATTATTACACAAATTAAACTTTGTTGCAACTTCATCAACTTCAACAACATCCGAAAAGTAAAGCTGAACAGGGTCCCAACACACAACCCCTGTCACATCAAATCACATGATATCCAACCAAGACAAAGCATCTGACAGCATACTGCTGCAGCAACATCATCCACCTCAATCATCAAATAACTATAACATCAACAACAACAACAACAATAATAATAATAATATTAACATTAAGAAGGACCCTGCGACAATGATAAAGGACAGCGGACGCACGGGTGTCGTGCATAAACACGACCCCAACAAGACGTTCAGCATAACGATGACAGGCAATGGCTCCGAGCCTCCCTTTTCAAACAAGGGCCTGGTGTTGCCACACTTTGGTCGTCTGAGAATAATCATTCCATGCGGCCTCGACGTTGCCAACGCCCAGCCACAGCTCTACACCAACTACCCGACGACACAGGCATCGGCCTTTGTCCGTGACAGGTTCGACGTGGTGGAGCGCGCCTCCAAGGAGTACAACGGACGCTGCGACATCTACTTTGAGCTGCACATCCTCCGATACGGCTGCTTCGACTACTACCTCGAGTGGACCGACCCCGTCAAGAAGGTTGTGAAGCGCGGCACCATCGCCTCGTTCCAACTCTATCCCGAGCTGGCAATCAATGGCCGCACAGTGCCAAACGACAGCATCGTGCTACAGACCGTGCTGACTAAGTGTCTCGGCCCTCTATCTAACTGGGAGACACACATCGCCGCTGCTTCCAACACTGGCTACAACATGATACACTTCACGCCCGTGCAGGAGGTCGGTGTTTCGGGCTCATGCTACTCAATCTACGACCAGCTCGCACTGGCCAGCTCGTTGTTCGAGCCTGGCAAGGCACCAGCCAACGAGGAAGCTCGCATGGCTGCACTCGATCAGGTGATCAAGCTGGCCGAGTCCAAGTATGGAGTGCTGAGCATGATCGACCTCGTCTGGAATCACACGGCAAACAACGCAGCCTGGCTCAGACAACATCCCGAGGCGTCATACAACATCGACAACTCACCACATCTCAAGCCGGCCATCGTACTGGATGACGCACTCGTCCAGTACTCTAAGCACATCGAGGGCACAGTGGTGAGCGAAGTGGGACTGGACACACTCATGCTGCGACTCACAGAGAACTGCATTAGTCCTCTCAAGCTTTGGGAGTATTACGTGTTGGACGTGCAGCGTGAGATCGACGTGTTCAAGAAGCACTTCCCAACCGAGCCCGAGCAGACAACCGAAGCGATGTCTCCCGCCGCACAGCTTTTGATCTCCCCCAAGAGCGCCAACGCCGACCTCGTCAACCAGATCCAGAAGAAGGGCCTAGTGCGCGACGCCAGCTACGAGCGCTACTCGCTGGCCATCGACACGGACTTCACCTTCAAGATGCTCAGCACCAACCCCACGTTCAAGCTCTACACATACGAGGAGAAGAAGCAAAAGTATGAGGACCTGCTGCGTCTGATCAATCTGAACCTGTACCGCGACTATGACGCCGATCACGACGCCATTATCAACAACATTCGCGAGAGGCTCAAGTACGAACGACTGGCTGATCACGGCCCCAAGCTGGGCCCCGTCACCGCCGACCGTCCACTACTCTCCAGTTACTTCACACGTATTGAGGTCGCGGGCAATGGCGGTGCGACTCGCACACTCCACTTGGCCAACAATGGATGGATCTACAACCACAACCCGGTGATCGACTTTGCCAGCAAGCAGTCGCGCGCCTACATGAGGCGAGATGTCATTGTCTGGGGCGACTGTGTCAAGCTCAGATATGGCCAGTCACCACTGGACAACCCTTGGCTGTGGGATCACATGAGGACGTACACTGAGAGGATGGCCACACACTTCCACGCGATCAGAATCGACAACTGCCACAGCACACCAATCCACGTCGCCCAATACCTGCTGGACGCGGCCAGGACTGTGCGCCCAACAATCTACGTCACTTGTGAGCTGTTCACAGGCTCAGAAGAAGCCGATGGCGAGTTTGTCAAGCGACTCGGTATCAACTCATTGATCCGTGAGGCTATGGTGTGCCACGACAGCTGGGAGCTCGGCCGTGTGTGCCATCGCTATGGAGGCAATGCTGTTGCCTCTTTCGTCGTGCCACCCTCGGAGGACACTCATCTCTACACCGCCACGCCACAGTCATATGGTATCAAGCCATTGAAACCTGTGTTGCCGCCCGCTCTATTCATGGACTGCACACACGACAATCAGACTCCAAATCAAAAGAGGACGATCGAGGATACGCTGCCAAACTCGGCTGTCGTCTCCATGACTGTGAGCGCCATTGGAAGCACACGTGGCTACGATGAGATCTTCCCTGAGACTGTCGACCTCGTCAATGAGAAGCGACAATACACCAAGCAGAGCGATTTCAACCGCGGACTGCTGCCCATCAAGAAGCTGCTCAACAATCTGCACGTGGAGCTTGCCGACCACAAGTACTCCGAGGTGCACATCCACCAGGAGCACAACGTCATCATGGTGCAGAGGTTCTCTCCCTCGCTCAACAAGTCCGTCTTCCTCATTGCCCACACAGCATTCGCCGAGCCCGCGGTGGTCGATGGCCAGGCCGAGGAGCTCAAGCTGCCCGACGTGCTCCAGATCCCGTGCAAGATCACCGAGTTCGTTGTTGGCGCTCGCATCACCAGACATGAAGGCTGGCACAGAAACGACAACTACCTCACTGGAGTCGACATCGATGTTGAGGCACATTATGGCGATCGCGTATTCGAGAAGTACTGCTACATCGAGTCGGACTACAGTCTCGAAAGGAACCTCCAACTCAAGTATGTTCGTCGACACTCCCGGAATCATTCCAAATCGCAATCAATCATACTTACCAACTCCCTCACCAATCAGACTTAAGGACTTCCCTCCAGGTGCAATCTTGATATTCCGCGCAGAGGTACCACAAGAGTGCAGGAGTGCAATGGATCAGCTCACAAACATACTGTCGGATATCACTTCGTTGGAGGCTTCACTCAAGCCCTACACACTGCTCGACATGAACTTTGCCTTGTTCAGACACTCGGAAGAAGAGAAGGTGACGGATGGCAGCCACGGCTACTCTATCCCCAACTATGGCACACTCCAATTCTGTGGCATCCAAGGCTTTGCAACGATTCTCAATCGTGTACTCGAGTGGAACGATCTTAGCCACCCACTGTGCAACAACCTGCGCGATGGCAATTGGGCGATGGACTTCATCGTGTCACGTCTCAAGACCCGCGAGCAGTTCAGCCCACTGTGCGAGTGGCTCAACAGTTGTTTCTGGTTGGTCAAGCAGCTGCCCCGCCACTTCATTCCCAAGTACTTTGGACAGGTCGTGCTTACAGCCTATCGCTGCCTCGTCGACCACACCATCTCCTTAATGTCTCCATTTGTCCAGAACGGTAACTGGTTCGTCCACGCACTGGCCTTGGCATCGTTGCAGTTCTACGGCGTGTGCACACCACTGATCAAGAACCCCAAGGTGCTGGAGGGCTACCCACACCAAGACGCCTCCCTTGCCGCTGGCTTCCCCCACTTCTGCTCTGGTTACATGCGCAGCTGGGGCCGAGACACATTCATTGCCATCAGGGGTCTCATGCTCACAACCGGTCGCCTCCAAGAGGCCAAGCAACTCATTGTTGGCTATGGCTCAAGTCTTCAGTTTGGACTGATTCCCAACTTGTTGGATAGTGGCACGCGTCCCCGCTACAACGCCCGTGACAGCACATGGTGGTACTTGAGGAGTCTACAGGATCTTGCCGAGCTGCTCACCAGTGATGAAGAGCGCAGGGACTTCCTAAACACAAGGGTGACGAGGCTCTTCCCTGTGTCGCCTGATCAACCTACGACATCTATCGAGGACATCATTCAGGAGATCGTCCAGAGCCATGCAAAGGGCATCAACTTCCGTGAGCCATTTGCTGGAAGGGACATTGATGATAAGATGAAGGACGAGGGCTTCAACATTAACATCAGTGTTAACAAGGAGAATGGATTCATCTATGGTGGCAACAAATCAAACTGTGGCACATGGATGGACAAGATGGGCGAGTCTGGCAAGGCTGGCAACTACGGCGACCCCGCCACTCCCAGAGACGGTGCACCTGTCGAGATCACCGCCATGGTCTTCTCCACGGTCAAGTGGCTGGCAGTACTCAATCAACGTGGCCTCTACAAGTACTCTGGCGTCAAGCTTGGCGACTCTCAGGAGGAGCTGTCCTACAAGAACTGGCAACAGCTCATTCAGGACAACTTTGAGAAGTTCTACTACATCCCTGGCTCGTCCGAGGACAAGAAGTTCAAGGTCAACTCCTCATACATCAGACGCAGATATATCTACAAGGACACGGTCGGCAGCAGCGCTCAGTACACCGACTATCAGTTCCGTCCTAACTTCCTCGTGTCGATGACGTTTGCACCAGAGCTGTTCTCTAGGGAGCATGCAGTCAAGACACTGGAGCTGACCAAGACCTTCCTTTTGGGACCCCTCGGTGTCAAGACTCTTGATCCAAACGACACCGACTACCACCCCAACTACGACAACTCTCTGGACACTGAGTACAGACCAACAGCGCGTGGTTTCAACTATCACAATGGGCCAGAGTGGCTGTGGCTCTATGGATTCTACTTGGACAGTGCCCACAAGTTCCTCAACTACTCGGCTTCGACCACATCACACATTGTCGAGAACCTACTGCTTAAGCACAAGTCGTACATCCTCCAATCATCGTACGCTGCATTGCCAGAGCTCACCAACCGTGATGGCAACTTCTGTAAGGACAGTTGCGACTCGCAGGCCTGGTCCATTGGCACACTCCTATCTGCACTCTACAACATTGTAAACAACAAGAAATAGAACTATTATTTTAAATGTATATATATATTATCATAATTAACTAATAAATGATTGATTGCTCATCCAATTTAATTGATCAGCCACACACTCAATCACTTGTTCCAGCCCACATGGAAACTATTGACCTGTCATCAATCAAATCAAACAAGTACAAGTGATGACTTAACAAAGTAACACTAACTTTATTATTTAAATGGATATTGAGGAGCATGAGGAGAGTTGAAGCAACAACAAACAATGTATTCTGTACAAAGAGAAGGAGGAGCTGGGAAGTGCTCTACTGCCCAGCAAAGATACGAATGGAAGGAAGTGGGAGAATGAATGACATTATGACTTGCTCTTGGAAGGAATGGAGTAGTTGGAACAGGCACTGGTCTGAACGATGGATCTTGCCTTCTTCTGCATCATGGATGCTTGCTCCAATGCCGGAGCGGCATTGTACTCGTTCATGAAATTTTTGGCCTCAGTCTCACCGTACATATCCTTCATTTGTCTCTCGACAAACTTGATGTCGGTGTCCAGCTTGGACAACTCCATCCAGTGACCGGCCGAAACGACCATGTAGGCGTGAGTTGGCTTGTCCGTGACACTTGGGTCAGGGACGGTCTTGAACTTCAAGATGGCGTGGCCAACCGAGCCCTTGAACACCTCACCATTGAATGTGACCTGCTCGTTACCATCCTTTTCAACATTTGTATCGTGGTGCGTGAGCACGGTAAGCACTTGCAGGTCGTAGATTTTGTTGTCAGTGTTGGCCTTGTTGACTGTGAAACGGACAGTGCCACCCATGGCAGACACCTGAGCGCCACCCTTCTCACGACAAAGACCACCGACGATCTTGAGTTGAGCGGATGCACTGTTGACCAATGTGTCTGGGTTGAATTTGAGTTTGAAAGTTGACGAGAAGGTACCGATCTGTTTGAATGGCTTTGGTCCGAGCAGGCTCTGATCCCAGTCCTTGATGAGGGCCTTTGTAGAAAAGTCACCAAACTGCACCATGTATCCACTGTCCAAGCACTTCTTGATGAAGGGCATAGCGACCCTGTTGCCAAAGCCGCTGTCGGAGCAACCGCTGCAGCACTCAAAGTTGACGAGGACACTTGCTGGCTCGATTCTCTTGAGGTCGTCCACTAGCTCCTGTATGCTCTCGATTGCGATCGATCCATTGAGAGTGTTGAGAATGGCAGTGACTGCATTGTAGTTGACCTCCCACAGCGAGATGGCGTAGTCAGAGCTTGGCGACACTTGCTCGACACTGGTGTACAGATGGTCATACGATGATCCACTGTTGATTGTGATCACCATGGAGCATATTGGCAACTCCTTCTTGTAGCCCTTTGTTGGTAGACGGTGGGCTACAACACTGCCATTAATTGGTGAGACAGAGGTGCCTGTTGACGAGCTTGGTGCTGAAGAGCTGCCCTTGAACCAACTAGAAAAGAATGACATGTTTTGTTTGATTAAATGATTATGATTATAAATAGATATATATGTGGGTGGTAGTTGTAAATGAATTAAATTGACTGGATGTTGACCATGGTCTAATAAATAAGTTGCTTGTGTTGGTTGAGAACGGTTTGTCGATCACAAACCTGATCATTTCCATAAATTTCCTACAAAAAAATGATCATTTTTGTCTTCAACGAATCTATTTTTGCTGAAGTAGTGCTGAATTGAATCGCGTGGTCATCAGCTGGCACACTTTCCTGAGTAACTCAGAGCACCGGTCCATCTTAGATCCAACCAACAATGATTCATCAGGAAAGATGATTCATAAGGTCGCCAAACAACTTCCAGTGAAAATTCCAACCATCATTCACTCGCTCTTCACTTCATCCGAATGAGATTACCAAAGTAAATGGTGATGGTCTTAAAGTTGCCATTAAGGTAGTTCTCTTCAACCTCACAATGATCACTTCCACCATGCTGTTTGGACATCAGTGTCAGTTTGGCAATGTCCATGTTGTCGGTATTCTTTGGCAGGAAGTAGGCAATGTTTGGAGTGATGTTCAATGCATGGCGGAAGATCTCAAATCCATCAGGCTTGAAGTCGGACAGTTTGACAGACTGTTGATAGAGGTAAGATGGTCCGCCCCATGGCGGCGACAGGAACACCGCATCCACGTGGCGTATACCCTGAATGCTCGGGCCAAAATGCATAAAGTCCGCATTGATAAAGCTGATCCTGTCCTGCACCTTGTAAATAGAAGCGTTGTGTTGTGCCATAAGAAGTTTGTTAACGTCCAAGTCAGCCGCTATGACATTGGTACATGTGCCTGCGAGTGCTATAACATTGCCGCCAGAGCCACAGAATGGATCAAACACTGTGTGGCACTTCATGCGCTCTGCAATATGAATGGCAATCTTCTCTGGGGTAACCGAGAACCATGACTCTGTTGGTGAGTGAAGGCAAGGGAGTCAGTCAATGCCGGTTTGTCGTACACTCCAATCGATGGAGGCGCCACAAGTACATACCCTTGTCTAACAGTATACCCTCATCAAACTTGGTGAATAGAGTATGTCTCTTGTAGAAGTACTTTCCAATCTCTTTGCTTATCTCATGATCGTTCTGCATTGTCCTCTCCAATTCAAATCTTTGTTGCATCTCAAGTATTGCTTGTTGTGACTTGACGAGATGTTTGACCACTGGAGACAGTTCCCCAACACTTGCAGGAGAGTTGGCAATTATCTGTTTAGGCCATGATGGTCGTCGTTGTTGTTGTTGTTGATCATTATTTTGTTTCTTTTGTTTCTTCAGTGGTTGTTGAGGATGAACATCCTCTTGCTGTCGTTCTTCTGATTGCCGCTGTGGTACTACATCTTGTTCTACTAATGCTGGCTCATCGTTATCTTCTTCATTATCTTCGTCCTTGACTACTTCTTCATCTTCATCTTCACCATCCTTTTCTTTGTCTTGTTGTTCAGCCTGGTCTGGAGACTGCATCCCCAACGTCTGTGACTTCTTCTGTAAGTATGACAACTTCTTTCTCAATCTCTTTCTTCTGTTTGCCGTCAGGCCATTGCCAGAAGTCTTATCTGTACCCTCCTCCATCCTATTCTTTAAATATTGTATCTTCTCTAACAATGTTGGTTCATCTGTTTCTTTATTATTATCTGTATAGTTGTTGTTATTGTTGTTGTTGTTATTGATCATAATGCGATGCGATGTATATGTATGTTATTAGTGTATGCATATGAAGTGAACTGACGAGTGAGTGGTCTTCTTACTTTGATGTTGTTTCCGCAAAGAAACAAGATGACTTGTCGACCTAATCTCAAGTTCATTCTCATCGATCACTTGTCAAACACACTTACACATACATATACATCTAGATACATTCATTCATACATCATATATACACTAACAAATCATAAAGATGAATGATAGTAATAATAATAAGAGATCAAGAGATGTATGTTAACTAGTTTTCTATCTTGTTATCTAGAGTTTATCATCTTACAAACTCAATCAATCAATCAATCAATCAATCAACAATAGGAAAGGGCGGAGATGTCTTGGGAGGCAGTAGAGATATTCGGCTTTGTCAATCCTGTTGTACAGGAGGAGATTGCAGAGAGTGGCAAGTTGACAATGCCATTATACTTGGTACCAAGACTAAAGACAATGGAGGACAAACGTGAGAAGAAGGAAAAGTTACATAGAGAGTCACAGTACAAGAAGCAGGCTGGCTCAAAGAAGTCGCGAGACATCCATCTCTTTGATATACCAAAGGAGAACTGTATATATGATCAATTCATCCCTTTACACAAGCTATGGTCGCAATATATTGCAGAGGTCGCTGGTAGTATCAAAGGACAGATGCTTGTTGCCAAGCTGATAAAAGCTGATCTACACGGTGCCATCATCAGAGTTGTTCGATCAATGTGTCCTTCATACATTGGGCAGAAGGGCATTGTCATACAAGAGACAGAGAACACATTCAAGATGATCATGACCAACAACAAAGTCAATGGTATGTCTGTCTATCTTTGATCGTGTGGTGGTTGAGTCCAAAGCCATGTTATGCTAACGTTGTTGATCGTTGTCTGTAGTAATACCAAAGGCAAACAGTGTATTCCAACTCAATTGGATGAATATGGAGATAGAGATATACGGTGATCACTTTTGTTATAGAGGCAGCGAGCGAGCAATCAGGAAATTCAAACCAAAGAAGACAATAGAAGTAGGCTAAGCCCGGCCTTAATCAGGCCGATGCTTTGGTCCAATTCCTTTATCATAGACGATTGTACAAAGACAAACAATCAATCAATCAATCAATCAATCCAAAGAAAGATGGATAGATGGCTGGATGGCACCATCGACATCCATCTATCCATCCAAATTGTTGGCATACCAACAGGTACGTTCTTTTTCTAGCTCAAGCACCATCACGGATTGCCCCGTAATCAAACGTCCTAGGTTATGGGCGACGGACTTGAATGGGGTTACAACTTCCAGTTTCTCCATCGCGGGCAGGGTGAAGTCTTCAAGACTCCGCCGCTCACACTCACACACAACCAAGCAACAACAACAACAAACACATCACAGCCATGAAAGGAAAGAAAGGACCAACAACTGTTATTAATATCTCTTCCTAACTTGCCTTGAACTGTTGTTGATGTTGATGTTTTTAACGTAACCAATATGTGGTATGAATGGAATGAGGACTGCTTGAGGGGAGAGCATAGCGGCACATGTTGTTGGACCATCCAGTTTGGACAGAGAGGTCAACAATACTTCCCATTGTTCTTGGGAACACACTACCTGTGTCCAATCATCCTTCTAGTTGTAGGTAGTAGGTTCTACTTTAGTAATCAATCAAACATTCAAACATTCAATCTATCCATCAATCAATCAATCAATCAGTCAGTCAATCTTGTAATTGTCGATCATTGATGATGACGACCGACCAGAGCAGCACTACATCAACAAAATGTCCTCAAAGTTAGCCTCCTCCAAGCTACATACCTATCCAAAGGTTGGCATTTTCTGGAACATAGAAGAGGCCCCAATACCACCAATCATGACACTGCCTGCAGTCCTCTCTCAACTCAAGATGTATGCCATGTCGTTCGGCATCCTAAAGACGATAACAGTGGTGTCCGATAGTATGACACCTCACAACTTGACTAAAATAGAGTGGAACCAACAAGGTGTACATTTTATAGAGGGTATGATACCAGAATATATCCATCAATCCACTAGCCAATGTCTTACCATCCATCCAACCATTCAATTAATCAATCAATCAGTACCATGTTCATCGAATACAGGCCAACCAACAGGATTGGATAGGATGGAAATGGTATCAAAGATATGGGAGTTTGTCTATGATAACCATGACACTTCAATCAATGTGATCTTGATTGATCGCAAAGCCAATGAATATACAATATCCAAAGCACTTCAACAAAGAGGTGTCCACATGGTCACACTGGTTTCTCCATGTCACGTCAACTATATCTCTCCAGATACCTTTTACCCTCAAGAGGATACCTCCTCCTCGCCACCATCATCCTCATCACCAATCCATCAAACTTTTAAGTATGATCGACCAATCATTCCATGTTGGACTAGTAGACCCTAACACGAAACAATCCAATCAATTATAGTTATGACTACAAGGAAGTCAGACCAGACATTAGAAGTAGTTATGAAAACATCAATGACATTGGCTCCAACAATGATTATGTACACAATCATCCAAGACCAAAGTTGATCATGAGCTCAAGTCAACCAAATATACACATTCCTCATCTACATCAGACATTATATATGAATTGCTCGTCAGAGTCCCTGTCATCAAGATCAACAAGATCATCACCATTGCTATCCGGTGGATCAACACCAATGAACACGCCAACCCAGTCAGGCTCGCCTGTCATGCATATGGGTATCTCTCCGATACCAACACATCCTTTGTCAGGCCCTACTTCATCTACTTCACACAGGCTTGGAAGCCCAGCAGACTCACTCTCACTTCTCCCGATGCCAAACTCTCCCAGGACCAACACTTCATCATCGCCATCTTTACTCAAGTCACCTGGCAGGTCACCAGCTGCTACAGTCTCCTCTGCTGGAGCTAGCACCTACTCTCAGTCGCCACCACACTTTGACAACTCTGTTCTCAGGAACCTGTATACAGTGATTCAGGGACTGAAGGAGGATGGCTTCAGGCCAACATTCAAGGTGATTCTTCCAAGGCTGGGCAACTTGATGGGACTGAGGATCCATCGCAGCCACTTTGAAAAGATACTGGATAAGGCCAAGAGCAACAACTTCCAGGTGGACTACTCCACCAAGACTATATACTTCAAGGATGATATTTATGGAGGAGCTGATCCACATCGAGCCAAGAAGTCCCACTTTGCAGAGGAGGTCATTGGCGAGTTATTACAGTTAGTGGAGAGGGCCCCAACCAAGGTGTTCCCAAGTCGCTTCAGTATTGTTCTATGGCTGACCTCACAGAACACGCCCCATATCAACAGCCTCAAACAGGGTCAGATCGTTGAGCTCTGCCAAGTTGCTATCAATGAGAACTACCTCTCACTCAGTGAGGTACAGAAGAAATCAGAGCGGAGGTCCAAGAACTCAGTGTCAGCAGGGTTTCCAAAGGAGTGATCGCCATCGCCACGTCATACATGACCTAGGAACCAGAGGACCAAGGTAGATAGCCCTTCCTTGGTGGATGGATATAATTGTACATATATATATTTATTATTAGAAGAACAAACCATATATCAATATCGATCCCTTGTTCACACCAGGTAAAATGTACAATACTATATATACAAACTTGGAAGAACATAGACTTGATGGCTTGGAGGTAGAGACATTGCATGAACCTGGAACTGTTCCACCACTCTCTCCTCCCCATCACAAGTCATATGGAATAAAGAGATAAACAAACAATCGCAAGCGTAGGATAGTGGATGAATGGGTTTATTATGGTAATAACTAAAGTTATAATAATGTGTTCTTGTTGTACAAGCATGTTGGGGATCACTGATCAATCAATCAATCAATAAATCAATCAATCAATTGGCTTGTTGGTGATGGGTGGCTTGCCCTTCCTAAAGAATGCTCCTAGATTGTTGTGGTAGGACTTGTGATGGAATCGAACATTGCCTTGGTATAGATAGGTGATACCCAGCTTGATAAAGTCCATTGGAATATACCAGAGTATGCACCAGATCCATGTGGTGAGCGCCCAGCCCCAGCCACATCCCTGGAAATCAGTCTCTCCATTGTGTGGATATCCTCTGAAGCCGTAGGTGCCGATGAACGTGGCGACAACCTGCGAGCCAACGAATGCAATCGCCATGAGGGTACCGGGTCGCTCGAAATATGAGAAACCCTGTGAACGTGACACAAAGATAGTGGCCAGTCCAGAGATGGACACCTGGAGGTAGATGAGGCCACGTATCTCATTGTCAGAGAGATGTCGCAGATTGAATGTTCGTTCGAACCAGGTCGAGTCGTGCACCAGGGCAAAGTAGACAAGTGTGGAGCCGACCAGGTAGCATCCGTAGCAGATGGCCATCAAGAACACCTCCCTTAGATCCCATTTGTCCGGTGTGTTACGTGGCCTCACGCGATCCTTAGAGATACTGAGCATTGTGCCATCGTTGAGAATGGCTATGATGACGGTGGCGATCGTGGGGAAGTAGAAGTCCCAGGCAATTGTGAGGATTCCAAACGTGATACATATACGCACAGTGGCTGACACAGAGTAGATAACGTAGTTCCTCATACGCTGGAAGATCTTTCTCGATGTGATGATAGCATCAATGATGACGGACAGACCGCTGGATGTGAGCACAATGTCTGAGACAGATCGCGCGGCATCTGTGGCGCCAGCTACAGCTATACCAATGTCTGCCTTCTTGAGAGCTGGGGCATCGTTGACACCATCACCAGTCATTCCAACAATGTGCTTGCGCTTCTGTAGTGAACGGACAACCTTGTACTTGTGCTCTGGCCACATCTCGGCGAAACCATCAGCCATCTCGATAAGATCGCTGCCCTTCATACCCAGGTCGTTGTTCTTGAGGTAGGGGATGGTGAAGAAGTTGCCACCCATTCCCAAACGTCGCGCAGTCTCTTTGGCAATGGCCAGCTGGTCTCCTGTGATCATCTTGACCTTGACACCCATGTCCAGTGCACGCTTGATCGTCTCCTCAGTGTCGTGACGGGGTGGGTCAAACAGGGGGATCAGACCCATGAACTTCCATACCTTGAAATCTGGGGCATCTTCGGAGCGCGACACACCAAGAGCACGGTAGCCTCTCTCGGCAAGATTCTCGATCTGCTGTGAAATCTCCTCGCCATGCTCATCCTTGTTGGACGACTGGTTCAAGATGATCTGTGGAGCACCCTTGGCAGTTTTGAATGTCTTTCCACCTGGACCCTCGACCAGACCCATGGCCTTCTTGTCCTCAGGGTTGAATGGGAAATGCTTCTTGATGACGTACTTGTCGTACTCGAGGTTCGGGTAGGTGTTGTGTGCATAATCCGTCGTCGCAATGTCTATCGCGTCTCGATCGTCACCTTCGGAACATGCCAGATACGCGTCGAATATGACCTGGTCGGGTGTGATACCTCCAAAGCAGATGGGCTCGTCAACCGTGAGAACATTGAGTGTCAGGGTTCCGGTCTTGTCTGAACAAAGGATGTCCATACCAGCCAACTCTTCAATGGCAGTCAAACGTGAAACGATGGCCTGCTTCTTCGACAGCTGTGTGGCACCGATGGCCATTGTCACAGATAGCACAGTTGGCATTGCAATTGGGATTCCACCGACTAGCAGCACCAAGGCATTGTTGAGCGTGGTACACTTGCCCTCGCCGACACCGGTACAAGACTTCTTCCTGCCGACGAATTGGACGAGCAGCTCGACGAGCACCCAAACAGCAATGAACGTGATACAGAACAAACCGATGTTCCTGAGCACGGTCTGCAAGTGGCCATGGCTCTCGGTCTCCTGGACGAGGTTGGCAGCGCGACCAAAGAACGTGTTGACACCTGTGGACGTGACGATGCATGTTGCCTCACCCTGCTTCATTGTGGAACCAGAGTAGATCTCGTCGCCGACCTTCTTGCTGGCGGGCAGCGACTCACCCGTTAGCGATGACTGATCGATCTTGACCGACTCGCATTCGAGCACGCGATTGTCTGCCGGGACGACCGCACCGATCTTGAGTATGATGACGTCGCCCGGCACCAGCTCGTGCGACGGTATCTGCACCCATTTGCCATCTCGCTTCACACGTGAGTTTGATACCAGTGAGTTCTTCAACGCCTCCACGGCGTTACCAGCGGTATGCTCCTCAAAGTAGCCAATCGCTGCATTCATGAATAGCAACGCGCAGATCAATATAAAGTCGACCCAATCCAGCAACACTATCGACACCAAGGCTGCCAACTCCATTGTCCACGACAATGGATTCCACATGAAGTACAAGAACTCCAATATAGGGTATCTCTTCACATCAGGGATCTTGTTCAGTCCATATTGTTTCGTTCTGTTTGCATCGCATTAGTATATGTCCACTCATTCATTCAACTATATCAATCAATCAATCAATTACCTTTCAGCGACTTCAGCTGTGGTCAGTCCATCGGCATTGGCCTTGAGTTCGGCCATGATTGATTCGAGCGGCTTTTGTGCTTCCTTCTTGCGCTCGAGTGTCTTTCGATAGTTCTCCTCCTTCTCCTTGGCCAGCTTGACTTGCTGGTCGGAGGGCACATCGAACAGTTGACGTCGCAGCGGGGTTCGATAGGACTTTCTGTAGTCGTAGTTGGAGGTGGTGCTGGTGGACGATTGAGGCAAGATCGTTGGGTCCTTGTTGGAGAATCCCGAGAAGGTCTTGGTCGAATCCTCGACCTTGTCCGAGATGAATGGTATCTCTTGTAGTGATCCACGTCTCTGTATTGGCATATCTATTTTAATATCATCGCTACTGGACCGTTGTCCTGCTGCTGCTGCCGCTGGTAGTGCTGCTGCTGCTGTCGATCGATTGATTCCACTATTTTGTCCGGGATCCATTGTCGAGTGCATCTCGTCCATATTCTCCATCTCAATATTTGTGCCCTGTCCCTCTGGCGGGTCACCCTTTGAGCTCTTCCGTTGTTGGTCCATATTGACCCTAATTATTCAAACTCGATTAATGCTCGGTCGTCGTTACTAGTATTGATTGGAATATTGTAATGTATAAATGTGATGTATGTGATACACAATCTCTCCTGGATTGAATGAATATAATAATAATTGTAAGTAAGTAAGTAGGTAATTCAATATACTGATTGAAACAAACAAACTGGAGTTGAGAGTGAGAAGTAGTAGTGTGACTGACTGGTCGTAGTCGTAGTCGTAGTTGTTGTGGTATTATCCAATGCATTGCTACACCAATCTACACAACATGGGTCAACACACAAGCCATCAGCCAACAACCATCACGTGTACATCATCTTACCCAACACACACATACATACACACTCACTCATATACCTAATTAGTGACAAGTCTGGAAATGAGGTTGACAGGTGTGGTGTGTATGTTCATTCAAGGTCATGTCCGAGGACAATGCACTTCAGACCACACCTCACCTCAACACACACTCAGCCATTGACCATGACATTGACATTGACATTGACACACGTTATGAAGTGAGGATGATGTTGTTGTTGCAATGTAGTGAATGTTTGGGGAATTGGAAGAGTAGCGACATAAGAGTCACAATTGATTTGAAATGATTGAACATGGTGATTGATTGAAAAATACCTTGAATTGGATGGATCACTGAGGTATGAATGTATGAATGAGTGTACATCATGAGCGTGTCCTGGATGGAGTCCATCGTTTGGTTGTCCACACATTGATACAGTAACGGTTTGACTCTAGATCGGTCAATACTGATGATGACAATGTTGATGTTGATGATGATGATGAACCAGATCCAGATTCAATGTTGTCATCTCCATCTCCTCTACTTTTAACTCTACATATGATAGTTCCTTTGGCAACAGACTCTGATACTCTATTCATTCTACTTAGGTACTCCCAACTTATATCATTATCATCATCATCATCACTGTTGTTGTTGGCGTTGTTGTCGTCGAATTGAACAATCACTTGATATTGAGCATGTACCAACTCTGGTCGCTTCTTGTATAATACAAAGTCACAGCCATACTTTAGACCTGAGCGAGGTATCCAACCAGTCGATCGGAAATGATGATAAGCAATGTAATGTTCTAAGAACTTGTTGTCCTCCATATTGAACCTGTTCCAACATTCATCAATCGACATCTTATAAGATTGTTTGGTGTTAGGATGCATGTACATGTCGTCATCCCATCCATCAATATACCTACCTCGACCATTACTTTCCTCTTCCTATCCTTTGCAACATTGACCTCTTCAGTACCAATGGGATGTCTCAATATTGTAAGACATCCAAGTGCATAGAGTAAGTAGAATGCTTCATATAGACTGAGTTGGAGATACTCAATCATTGTTGTTTGTGACTGAGACTGGGATTGAGTGTATGACAATGATGATGAGACTGTTGTGTTGTCTTCACAATCATCATTCCTCTGTACCTTGAGAGGCGGCTCCACCTCATCAGTAGTCTGCTCCCTATTCCTGACAGTCTTGATGTGGAAGCCACTACTTGTACCTCCTCCTACACCATTGTTGTTGTTGTATGATGGGTTTGAACGAGAGAGTATACCCTTTCCAAAACAGCCTCTGTTGTATAAGTCCAATGATTGTTGTTGATCGACTATCTTCACAGCATAACCAATGTAGATACCATAGTAATGTTTGATTGTACCTGTTGTTGGTAAGTTATTAAGTGCATCCAATGCATTGGATCTCCTCTTCCTATTATAGTCATTGTAGTTGTTGTTGTTGTCATTTGAAGATGTTGTTGTGGAAGTTGTAGACATCTCAATGTATATCTGTATGATTGATCGATCGATTGAATGAATGATGGATGAACATCAAAGTGAGCGACTGAGAAGTCTCGGTCGTTTTTGACTTTGATGAAGAATGAACAAGGAGTTGGCGACCAACTCGAGTTGCGCCAGATATACTATTACTATTACTATTACTTTATTGCGATAATATTATCATGTTGGAACATAGTGGCACATGCATCGATTGATGTGATGGAGGGGAGGAGGTAGTGGAAGGATAGATTGGTGGATGGATGGTAGTTGGGATGGGATGATTATAGCGCTTGGTGGAAACAAGGCCTTGTTGGTTTAGAATTGTGATGGCAATGGTGTGTCTGCAATCTCACTGTATGCTTGTCCATTCAAGGTGAAGTCGATCTTGAGTCTCAGCAATATTGGCTTCTGGCCTTGTTGAGAATTCAGGATCTTGACGGTCTGTGTCACCTCGACCGAGTTGTTGGGTGCCACCGTGGTGTTGGATGGAGGCAGCATTTGGATCTTGATGTACTTGGGCACGGCAGCCTGGATGGCCAGGTTAGTGATGGGCGATTGGTTGGTGTTGGACATGAGCATGATCACCTGGGTGAACTGCACGTTCTCCTGTGGCTTGCTGCAGTCGAACGAGATGTTGAGACCAAACTTCTGGTACACCTGGAAGTTCATTGGCTGCACCTGGGCAACCAGCACGGGCTGCACTGCCTGCTGGGGCTGGGGGTTCAGGTCGCCCATGAGGTCCAACAGAGCGTTCTGAGGCTGAGCCTGACGTGGTGGCTGCTGTTGGTTGTTTACATTCTGTGCCACTGGAGCTGGGCCAAAGATGTCCTCCAAGAGTGACATGGTGTTGGATTGAGTGGCAGCGGGTGGTGGCGAGGTTGGCGAGCTCAAGTCTGACAAAAGTGTACCGAACTGGCTGTTGTTGTTGCTATTGTTGTTGTTGTTGTTGTTGTTGTTGTTGTTATTGTTGCTGTTGTTATCATCATGACGTGGTTGTTGCTCTCTGTTGTGATGGTGTCCGCTATGTTGTGGCTTTTGTGCTGGAGACTCCTCAGGCTTCTCAATGGCTGGCATTCTGTCCAATACCGAAGTCTTCAAGTCCATTGCAAACAAGCTAGAGTACTCACAAGCACGCTGCTGCAGCTCCAAGTTGATGTGAACTCTAAAGTTATCAATCATTACCTTGACACGGCTATTGGTCGATCATGTGATTGATTGAGTGAGTTAGTGATTGATCGATTGATTGATTGAATGAATGAGCGAGCGAGTGAGGCTTACTTGAGTGATGACTGTGAGAATCTGGAAGAGAGCTTGACCAGAGCGGTCAGGGCGTATTGACGAGTGTTCTGGGTTGTGGATGCATTCTTGAGGATCAACTCGATGAGATCGATGACTTGTGTCTCGGTGACAGCGATGCTCAGACCATCCTCCTCCTTGGGCAACTGGGACTTGTCAGCGACCAAGAAGTCACCGTACTCTCCAATGCACCAGAGTCCAACCTGGCATAATGGTTGCTGAGCTGGATCAGACACCAGCGCAAGGTAGAGCTTCTGGACGGCGTATGAGGACAACTCGGGGTTGGAGCTGATCAGCTGGATCAGGTTGGATGGCACCTCGTCGGGGATGAAGTTGCCGGCGATCGACATCACACGGAGGATAGTGTCCACCTGCCACTTCTTGTTTGGCGCGTACTTCTCGGTGACGGTGCACAGCTTGGCCACAAGCTCTGGCTTGAACTGCGAGTCTGAGATCAGCAGGAAGTTGAGCAGCTCTCTGACCAGCACTCTGATGTTGGTCTCATTGACCAATGAGTAGATCAGGTCCAGGGCTCTGCAACGAATCGATACGTCGGGGTCCTTCAGACACTCGACGATGGTGTTCCTGTGTCGCTGAACAGCCTGGATGTCAGTGTTGACGACCTTGGACAGTGTGTTGAGAGCCACGTAACGGATGTTGTTGTCACGGTTGAGGAGGAAACGACCAAGGATGTTGATGGCCATCACCTTGAGTCCGTTCTCAGACTCGATGGACATGATGGTCTGCACGCACTCGTAGAGGATGGCGTTGCCGACGTTCTTTGAGCCCTCGGTGTTGGTGGCCACCTGGGCCAACATATCATTCATGACGTCACTCGACTCTGCATCGTGCTCGCCAAGGATTCGCAGTAGCTTCAGCAACTTGACCTGCAAGAATGGATCAGTGATACCCGATACATCATGCTCTGGCAAGTATCCAGAGTGTACCAATGTCTTCAATATCCTAACCAATTGTGGTACCATCTGTTTGATTGATTGATTGATTGATTGATTGAGTGAGCGAGTCAGGTGATTAAATGATGTGATTGAGTGAATGAGTGAGTGATACACATACCTTCTTGAATTGATGTATCTGATTGGTATCAATCTCGCAGACCTCGATGATGAGGGTGAGGGCAGTCAAGACGACACCATGGTTGCGCTCTGAGAGTAGACCCTTGATCTTGGGCATGTAGTTCTCAATGAGATCTGGTACCTTGCGAAGGATACGAATGGCGCACAGAGCAGCCTTCTTTCTAATGTATGGGTTGGTGTTTGAGAGCAGCTTCTCAACATCAGGTGCAATATCTCTTGCCATTGCCTGCGAGCAAACATTACCAAGTGCACACAATGAGATACCAACTACAAACTGATTTGGGCTGAGCAAGTCACTGTTGATTGATTAGATTAGATTGAGATGAGTGGAGTGAGTGAGTTAGTTAGATATATCCAATGTTTGATTGATCAATCAATCAATCACTTACTTTCTCATGCAGTTTGTACCGAGCAACAGGACCTCTTGCTTCTCATCAAGCAACAACATCAGACCGAGATAACCTATTCTCTTGTCAGAGTATGATGGTGATACGATGAGCTTCAAACACTCCATCTGACCAAACTGTGTTGGATATCCCAGCATATGTATATACAGTAGCTTGGCAACATTCCTCTGACGTGAGTCAATATCCTCCTCCTACAATTGATCAATCAATCATTCATTCATTCATTGTAATGTTAGTCACCTGTTTGCTGTTTTCTGTTTGTTGCTCTGTTCCTGGTTATGTTAATGACCATACCTTGATAGCAGTACGAATGGCAGCACACTCCTTGGCAACCTGAGCACGCTCCTCAGCGGCAGTCTTGCAGCCTCTGACCGTCTTGATCAAATCTCTAAGTTTCATAGACATGGCTGACTATGTATGTATGTATGTATATATATATTGTATTATATGTTACGTATGATTGTATATTAGATATATCTTCCCTCTCTTTCACCTCTATCAGTCTCTCTCTCTCTCTCTCTCTCTATCTGTCTCTGTTTATGTTATGTCAAGTAGAGTGAATGATGGGCAATGTGGGAAAAAGCGCTTCACCAGTAGCACTTCATTCATTCAGGGGAGAGTGGTGTAAAAGCTGGCAAACAGCAATGTCAGCACCTCATTCATTATTTTTTTAATTATTACAACAGAATTTTGCAAATACCATCCAACCAGGATACCAATTTCAAACTACCACCTACAACTAAAAGAACAAATAATTAGTATATTTATATAATATAGACTCCAAACACCAATAAAGTAAATATACTCCAAATAGATAGATATATTAATTATTTGTTGGGAGAAAGACATAAACTTTTCCAACTAGATTGTGTGGATTGAATCAAAAAAATCAAACCAAGGGAAGTTCATCAAAAACATGCATCGTGAATGGGATGGGAAGGTCTGATTCGTGACATTCTATTTGAAGGTTGATGTAATAATAATACACATATATACATATAAAAGAAGATGGCGCATCACATACCACCATTAAACTTTGGAATGGTCACAGATGACTTGTATCGATCAGGTCAACCAAATGAACTCAACTTCCCATTTCTTGAGAAGCTACAACTAAAGAAGGTCATCTTCCTTGCACCAGACGACCCATCACAACAATTGTAAGTCATACATATACACATATATAGTGATGTCAATCAGTCTATATCTAACATTCATTCAAATCAATCAAATCAATCAAATCAATCATATATATAGTGTAAACTTCTGTAATGATCAAGATATAGAGTTGATACACTTGGGAATGGATACACATACAAACCCTTGGAACCCTATATCAGAGGACATTGTTATATCTGCACTCAAGATCATATTGGATCCCAACAGCTATCCCCTGCACGTGATGTGTAACCTGGGGCGACATCGTACAGGCACCGTCGTGGGCTGTCTGAGGAAACTACAGCGCTGGAACCTCACCTCCATTCTGGAAGAGTACCGCCGGTTCGCCGGCAGCAAGGTACGACTGCTGAACGAGCAGTTCATCGAGCTGTTTGACACAGACCTCGTGGGCATCCCAGACAATGCCCCCAAGGCCTTATACTTAAATTAAGATACAGAGAGATATAGATAGAGACGACAAGACAGATAAACTGAAGTAGAGTATGTAACATATGCTTGCTAGCAAGGGTGTAGACGACATGCACTTGCATTGTGTATTTGTATGTATGTGTATGTGTATTATCCAGATGAGCGACAAACAGAAGACAGACAGACATTATTCGAATGCATGCTTAACCAATGTTGACCTCGTCATCATCGTCGTCATAGTCATCATCGTAGTAGTCCCTGCTGTTGCCGCCTGGCGACTCGGGTGTGAAGGGCGAGTCGTAGGGCGCGTCGTAGATGCTGTTGTTGGGATAGCCCGAGTGCGAATCAGAGTGCATTGACATGTTGTAGTGTTGCTGCTGTTGCTGATGCTGTTGTTGAAGTTGCTGTTGTTGATGATGGTGTTGCATCTGCGATGATGAGCCGCCCATTGATGGATGGTGGTGGTCCCTGCTGCCGCCGCCGTGGTGGCCGCCGTGCGACTGGTGCAGTTGGTGTCCCATGTATGTTGGCGTGCTCTTCTGATGTCTGGTCCTCCTTCCGTCCTTGTGCAAGTCCTTCAGCTTGCCAATCCTGATTAAGTATTGACCGTGACTTTGCACTTGCTCACGACTCTTGCCAGGCAGCATGCTGTGAATGGTCTTCCAACTCTTGCCATGGCGGTTGTAGGCGCGTGCGAATATCTCGTCGTCCTCGGCCGACCACAGCGTGTTCCTCCTGGAGCCCGTCCTCTTCTTGGCTGGACTCTCATCGCCCTTCTCACTAGTGTCTGGCTGCTTCCTCTTCAACTCCTCGTGTGAGTAGTTGTTGTGTGCTCCCTGCTTGCTTGGATCGGCGATGGACGACCTCTTGGGACGACCTCTCGGGCGAGGCGCCTCGTGGTCCGAGGCACCGCCGGCGTCCGAGTGTCTGGACGAGGAGCGCGAGTGAGCCGACGCCGACCTCGACCTGGAGCGTTCGCGCGACACTGATCTTGAGTTGGACCTGGATCTGGCCTCGTCGTCCGAGCCCGCTCTGTCCTCAATCAGTTGTAGCAACGTCTTTCTATATTTTGATAATAGCACATCCTTCTTGGCAATGATTCTCTCGAGCTCGGCGATCTTTTGTTGGTGGTTGCCGCTGCTGCCGCTGCTGCTGGTGGTGCCAACGCCACCCTCTGACTCTGTAGTATGCTCGACCTCCACTCTATTGCTGCCAATAGACTCTCTTCTCTTGTCTGGCGACTCCTTGTACAACTCGCCCGCTCTTGATAATGGTGACAATGGTGATCTAATATCATCGCCTCCTCTTTCTCTATCTCTATCTCTATGTTCTCTATCCCTATCTCTATCTCTATCTCTGTCCCTGTCTCTGTCTCTATCTCTGTGGTCTCTATCTCTATCTCTTCCTCTTTCTCTGTCTCTGTCTCTATGATCTCTATCCCTCTCTCGGTCGGACGAGTCGCGGTACTCAGACTTGGCTCTCTCCTTGTGTCTTTCAGCTCGCTCTCTCTCCTTCCTCATGCGATCATAGTCGTCGCCATCGTTGACGTCTGGCGTACGGTATCTACTGAGGTGCGACTCATCGATGCCTGCCTCACGCTTGACATCCGGTGTCATGAGCATTGGCGCGGCAGTAGTCTGAATTGGTGATCTGTCGCCAGGTGTCGGTGTGGAGCTGGAGAATGGTGACGAGTGCGATCCACTACCACTGCCACTGCCATTTGTGTTGTTGTTTAGGTGTGACCTTGACATTGATGAAACAGGGCTTGAGGCGACGGCTGTGGTCAGCTCCTTTCTCTCCTTTCTAAAGTGGTCTTGTTGTTGTTGTTGGTCCATCATTGCTGACGCTGTTGATGCAGTTGATGTTGTTGATGTTGTTGATGTTGTAGTTGAGGTGGTTGCTGGTGAAGTGTTTAGTATGTCCCTCAGTTGTTGATTATGGGTGCCACCACCATTGAGATGGTGGGTGTTATTGGACGATGAGGGCGACTCGGCAGTGTCGACCTGCTGCTGTTGGTGTTGCATTTAGTATCTCTTCTCTATCTCCTATCAATATTTATAAATGTATGTATATATAAGTATTATTATTATTATTAATATCTGTTGTTGAATTATTATGTTGGGCGACTGGGAATGAGTTGAACACAAGATGTATTTATTAATTGAATGAATGAATGAATGAGTGTAAGTTAACAAAGATTAGATGAGATACACACACATACACACTATCTCTTTCTCTCTTTTTCTCTCTCTCTACCTCTCTCTCCTACACGTAATAACTAACTTAAGTTTGTGTGTGTTGACACTTTAGACTTGTATTAGTGTTCCAAACACACACACCCCAAATATCTTAACGTCAAGTTATCCACACATACATACATACACACAATATCTAATTATCTTTTTGAGTGTGTGTGTATGTGTTTGTGTGTATCTCATTGCCCCCTTAAGGGGACGACAAGTCTAGTGGTGAACTGCAGTTCAAAGCGCGTCGTCCACTCAACTAGTTTGGTGGGTTCAATTGGACTACTTTGTTGAGTGGACACCACATGATGAGGCCAGTAGTTGGGCACTATCTGTTTCTGGAACCTCTAACTTACTTTGTATTCATTGAAAAGATCATCATTCATTTGATACATCATCATCATCATCATTATCAAAAGTATAGGATAGGATAGGATAGAAGGATCACAACAACAACATGTTGACTGTCTCTAGGAGTATCTTACCAAGAGTGTTGTTTCCTAGTAGTAGCAGTTGTAAATCAACTACTACCACGACTACTACTAGCCTACTACATCTAAACACTCATCATCAACCTTTCGGACATGTATCAGCCAACTATGTTAGTAATAGTAGTGGTTCAACTACAACAACAACTACTTCATTACTAAAGATAAATGTTGGAGACAAGGCATCAATGTCAAAGACCTTTGGAAAGGATGAGGTCAAAGCATTTGCTCAACTATCAGGTGATCACAATCCAATACACTTGGATGAAGTCTATGCAAGCGGCACCCGATTCAAGCGACCACTCATTCATGGCATGTTAGTAGCATCAATGCTCTCATCCACAGTGGCTTCTAAACTACCAGGTAGGTAGGATGTGAGGCATGCATTCATTCATTCATACATTGACATTATTCATTGTGACAACAGGTCCTGGAAGCATATACATGAAGCAAGAGTTGAACTTTATCAAACCAGCATATGTTGGAGACACGATTAGAGCAGAGGTAGTTGTTGAGAGTATCGTTGGATCAAAGATACTGCTAAAGACAACTTGTATAGCGATCAGTCCAGAGACTGGCGATGAGACTGTGGTGATCAGTGGCCCTGCTCTAGTCTATCATCCAGATGTAAAGGGCAGTAACAACAACTAAAGATATATAATATAGATATTACAAACAAGGAGGTGATGTAGGATAGTGGATACCCTACTACTATATCTCTTTGTTTATTTTGGTAGCGCCAAGGTTGATCTTCAGGACCATCTTCTTCTTTGGTTGATCGGCTGCAGCTGGTACGGCACTGGCATCGCCTGTAGACTCGGCCACATGTGGCGGCGTCGATGTGGAGGTCGTGGATGATGTAAGTACAGGTGTTCCAGTCACCGACTCTATTGGTTGCGTGGCACTGGTAGAGGACTCGAGTACTGGTGTAGTTGGCGATGTTGTGCCACTCTTGCTCAGTGGCTTGATGATGATCTTTCGCTTCATCTCTGCTGGACGCGGTTGATCGACCACGACCAATGGCGACGTGTCCTGGTGGACTGCTGCGGGTGCGGTTGCCACAACCACTGGTATGCTTGAGTCGGACTGCTTGATGCGAATGGGGAACTTGAGCGACGACTTGAGCGGCACCTGTCCACCCTCAACCTTGACAGCGGGCAATGTAGTCTCTTGAGTGTGCTCGATGACTTGATGCTTGTCTCGCTCCTGATCGCGCTTGATCTGTGCTTGTTGTTCGGCGGCAGATGGTTCCTTGTCTCGTCCATGATGTGATGATCGCTCCCTCTTCTCTCTATGCACACGATGCTCGCTTCTATGTTCACTCTTGTCCTTGTGCTCGCTCTTGTCCTTGTGTTCAGTCTTGTGTTCCTTCTGCGCACTGTCAACGCCAGAGTGGCTGCTGCGCTCTCTATGCTCTCGTGGTTCGCGATGTTCTCTAATGGGGTGGGCATCCTTCATCACCATGTCATCAAGCTCCTCCTCCTTGATATCCCTAAACTCTCTTGCACTGAGCTTGGGTGTGTCCCTTGTCTCGCCTCTACTCTCTCTGCTCTCTCTATTGTGCTCCCTCTCGCTTCTGTGCTCCCTGTGCTCTCTATGTTCACTGCCATGATGCTCCTTTCGTTGCTTCTTCCTTTCTCTCGATCGCATGTCTCTTTGCTTGAGGTCTTCAATGAATTCCAAGTCCTTCTTAAAGTCCTCGTCGTTCTCCATTTCAAGTTGGAGGTCGTCCAGTGACGCCAGGTATGCATCGCGCTCCTTGTACTCGCGATTCAGCTCCTTGGTGAGGTCACGAGCAATGTCCTTGTCCAGACTCTCGATGGTCTGTTGCGGGTCTCTATGATCACGATGGTCCTTCCTGTCGCGCTTCCTAGACTTCATCTCTCTGATCAGGTCCTTGAAGTCCTCGTCATTGTCCTCCTTGATCAGCTGTCTCAACAGCTCATCCTTGGAGTCTCCCAAGTCGAATGGGCCCTCTTTGTGTGGGGTGATGTCCCTGTCCCTTGGTCTGGATGGCTCACCAGAGGACGCTGTTGTTGAAGTTGTGGTAGTGGAGGTGGTCGTGGTTGTGGAGGTGGTTGGTAGATCGCCAAGCTCCTGCATATCTGGTGGCAGCATATCATTGGCCTTCCTCTTCTTGAGCATTGACGTTGAGGCCGAGGACGAAGATGACATCGATGAAGGGTGTCTGTCCAACGAGGATCTGTGAGGGTTGCCAGGCTTTGAATGGGACGGCATGTCATTCGGGCCTTTCCTCTGACTTGACGAAGCATTCTTCAACTTCAGCTTCCTTCGGTGCTCAATGATGCCAGGTGTCTTGGGTCCATACAGATACCTGTATATCCTCTGGAGGGCAAGCCGCAGCTGGAAGTCATAGCATGTGGCGCTTGAGCTAATGGAGTGAGGGGGATTAGTACTGGAGTCACATTCCAAACTTGTCAATGAATCAATCAATCACATACTTCAAGTATGTCCACAGTCTCTCCACTAGATGGTGGTCGTCTCTGAGCAAGGATATGTATTGCCTGTCATCGAGAGATGGAGGTGGAGTACCAACAAGGCTGAGAAGGAAGTTCTTGACCTGATCATTGATTGATTGAATGTTAGTCGTTTGTCGCACATGCATGAGCGTAGGATGCCTGGTATCTTGTCACTTACAACTAGTGAGCTCTCCTTGTCGAACTGATCGAGCATGTAGCTAAAGTGTCCGGACTTGACGGTGATGTTGGTGTATTGTTGGAAGAGGTAGGAGAGACGGTAGTAGCAGGCGAATGCGGCCATGCGGACCTTCTCGTGGTGGCGTGGTTGTGTGTGCTCCAGGAAGAACTCAAGGTCGACGGGAATGTACTTTTGTGCCTGGAAGTGACAGAGGGCGTTGAGACACTCTACCGTGATGACGTTCTTGTAGCATGGGAACAGCTGGTCGAACTTGAGATAGCGGTTGGTCTGCTTGAGCATCTTCTTGATCAGTGCCTGGTTGTTGGTGAGCACATTGGTGAACGATGATATGATCGCCGCCAGGTAGTAGCAGTCCGAGTACTGGTTGGATGAGTTGTCGTTGTCCTTGAGCACGTCGATCAGGAAGAGGATGGCGTCGGCGGGTGTTCGACCCTCCTTGTCCTTGACCAAAGACAATGATATCGGTGTGATCTTCTTGATGTAGTATCCAACAAAGTCGGAGAAGTTGTTCTCGTCCAATAAATGACTCTCCGCGTTGAAGTACATCGACTTGAAATACTTGACCATCAGATCAATGCCCTCATAGTTTGTTTCTTTACATGTCTGTTTGTTTGGAGTTGAGTAAGTGATTGATTGAGTGATGGTTGAGAGGAGGTACACTTACCAGCTTTGATATGACCATGGCAGCGTCCATTCTGGCTTTGTAGTATTGTCTTTGATTGGAGAAGAACTTGAAGACGGCACGGAGTGAGGTCGAGCTGACAAATGTGGAGAGACCGCGCAATGCCTCGCCCTGTGCAATCACATCTCGATCCAACTCCAACTGATGTATCCACATGTACTCTGGCTGCTTGAAGGTGATCTTGTGCAGCCACTCAATGTCTGGGTCAAGACGGAGCCACAGCAACGGCGTCTCACGCTTCTGCGACAGATCGATCTCCATCTCCTCGCCATCGTCCTGTCTGATCTTCTTCTTCTTGCTCTTCCTGATTCTTGAGTGGCAGGGGAAGTCAAACTCGAAGCAGTCATCATCAATGTTGATCGTGTGCTCATAAGTCTTGTCCAGCTCAGTGATCTTGAGCATGACTGTCGTCGATATCTTGTCCTCTGGTCGATGATACACCTGTTTCAGAGCGAACTCAGTCTGATGTCGCTTCCTGTTGAAGTAGAATCCGCACACCAAGTTGGGAGTACACTTGCCAAAGCTGGATTGATTGAATGATTGATTTGTTAGTCACGCATGGCGGTCAATGTGCCAGCCAACAAGTATTACATACATCCACTTCTCAGAGAACTGTTTGAGATCATTTCCAGTGAGTGTCTTGATCATCTTGAGGAACTTCTTTGTGGGCATGATGGTCTCGATGGGTTCGTTGCCAGTCTGACTGACGAGCATGCTGTTAAGTACCTTACGCAGACCATCTTCGGTGATCCTTCGCTCTATCATGTAGATGACCAGCGGTGCCTTTCGTCGCTGGAACTCAGAGAACAGGTCGATGGGGTGGGAGAAAAGCTCAGTGGAGATGGGCGGCTGCATGCCCGTGTCCAGACGGCAGACGTAGTCGATGTCCTTGGCCAGCTGGTAGCGATAGTGATTGATGCCGAATGTCTTCTTGATGAACATCGAGGCCAGATGACCCGACAGACCTTGGCTCATCCATATATCCATCCACGTCTTTGCGCCAATGTACCATCGGAACCATTGCTCGGCCAGCTGGCTCGCCATGATGGTACGTGTGTCGAACGTCTGATCGATGATGCGTGGCGAGTGTAGCAGCTGTGCGCTGAGCACTGCCAGCGTTGAGTAGCTGGACTGGCTGTCGGGCAGGTCGTCGACAAACACCTGCTTGTACGAGCTGTAGGGGAACTGCGAGCCGAGGTACTCCTCATAGAACTTGTATGCCGTCGAGAGGAAGTGCACTGAGTGCTTCATGTCAGACAGCCTGTGCGGCAGACAGAAGTGGTTGACGCCGTTCAGCACGGGGTCTGGGTAGATCTCGAACGGGCCCACTGCAAAGCCGATCGCTGGCGCGCACGTTGGTATGTCCTGACGATAGTGGAAGGTGTTGCGTGTCTCGTCGTCGGTGGCTACCTTCTCGAGCAGCTGACCCGACGACACTACGACGAGGTCTGAGCTGGTGGTCAGATCGAGCTCCCACGTGCACTTCTCGCCAAGGAGATCGCAGCATGGCAGCCACATTCGCGTGCTGTCTGGCTGTGACATTGTGTAGCAGTGTGCTCTTCGATTGGGCACCTCGCTGTCGGCGGGCACAAACACCAGGCCGCCCTTGGGCGACACCAACTTGTAGTGCACCTTGACAAAGAGTGCTGAGAACTGAATATGTTGTCTCTGTGATGATGATTGTTGGTTCGCTGTTGATTGCTGTCTCGTCAGCTGTTGTGATTGTGAAGGTTGTGGAGTCGATTGAGATGGTCCAGTACTTGTGGCTGTCGTGGTTGTGGCTGTGGCTGTGGCTGTGTCTGTGTCTGTGGTTGTGGTTGTCGCTGTGGATGTCGAAGTCGCTGCTACTGGTGTGGCTGCTGCATTGTCCACACTCTCGCTATTGGTATTTGGCTTCTCCTCATTGTTTGTTGTGTTCCCATTCATCTGAGTGTTTGAATTAGTAGTTGCTGCGGCTGTTGTAGTTGCCGTCGATGTGGTTGATGTTGCTGGAGTTGATTCCTGTGATTTGGATGTGAGTATGATCATTCTTCAATCACTCGATCAATCGATTAAACATACATTTGGTGCAGCTGCTACACCTTCGTAGAAGGTTACTGATGCTGGGATGTCGATGATCAGCTCACCCTCGTCAGAGTAGTGTGTGGCGGCACGGGTGTAGGCTAGGTAAGAGTCCATGTCTCGGAGGTCAGTCGAGTCGACGACACATTCTAGATAGTTGCGCATGGTGAACTGCGTGTCCACATTGTTGACCTCGACTCGCGTCACCTGTAGTTGCCTCGAGTTCAACCTGATCTTATCCTGTCGAAGCTTTCTTGTCTGTGGCTGCACTATCAGCTCTGTGTATCCCTCGATCGTAGCATTCTCCACATCGATACTCAACACGACCTTTTGGTGTATCAGTTTGAATCCCTTCTTTATCTTGCTTGTATTAACTTGTTGTTGTTGTTGTTGTAATTGTTGTTGTTGTAGTAGTTGTTGTTGTTGAAGTTGTTGATGATGTTGTTGTTGCGGAGGTGGTAGTTGTTGTTGTTGATGTTGTGAGTGTTGTTGATTGTAATGATGACCGCCGTCTCTATTATCTCTATTATCTCTATAACCATCTCTACCATCTCTACTATCTCTAACATCTCTATTATCTCTGTATGAGTCCCTGTAGTTGTCTCTACTATCTCTCCCATCTCTACCATCTCTGTTATCTCTGTTATCTCTGTAAGAGTCTCTATTATCTCTACCCTCTCTATTGTCTCTACTATCTCTGTTATCTCTGTTGTAGCTGTCTCGATTGCTGCTATTGTATTGATGTGATGAGGATGATGAGAGTTGCCTACTGCTACTCCCAAAGTGTTGTTGTTGTTGATGATGATTGCTCATTGTCTTCTTGAAAGTGTTGTTGTTATTGATGAGTTCATTATCTCTCTCTAGAGAACTCATTTAAATACATTGATCTGTGAATGTTCACTGCAAAGCCAAGTGATTGATGATATTTCAAATCTTAATTTATGGGTTACTTTGGAAATTATTATTATCTCTCACTTTGAAAGCAAACATCTAGAGACATAAACAATGATGATCTTTCCATCACTGTTGTATAAACATATACTCAGCATCATCTGGGATGATTGGGACATCCAAACATGCGATATCAACTATGATTTTCAGGAACACTATCAACTTCAGGAACAATATTGTTGGATGTTGTCGATGCGTCTAATCAGTAGATACTCCAATCAGTTGGTGCAATCATTCAATCATAGTCTCATCTTTGAGGACTATTCAAATGAACAGACACTGGCGCATGTTGTTGAGCGATTCCTTCGTGAGCGCGATCAACAACTACCCACCAGCCACTGGCATGCCTCAATGTTCAAGACGATATCGATGGTTGCGACCTGCCTGGGTGACCTAGCGTCTGTTCTCGACAAGCAGGACAACAGGGACGTTGTGATCACTGCTCTCAAGGAACTCTTCACTGCTGCTGGATCAGTGGAGCAGCAGCCTCTAATCGAATCAATCCAATTGGATATCGAGAATGAGCCAGAGGCATCACTCATCATCGCAGAGAACATCCCTATTCGCCAAGTCTTTGCCAAGATTAATCTGGACGATGCCAAGTATGAGGACTTGCGCACCCTTGAGCACTTCACAAGTGACATATTCAACTTTGACGAAGACATCCAAGAGTACATGCTCTTTAATCCAAACCTAGAAGCCACGGTGGAGGACGACAAGATCCTGCCTCTCTTTCACGCACTTGCTCGCCATCAGACCCTTGAGCGTCTCGAGTTGACGGAGAGATCTTATTACGGAAGGGACCTGCTCAAACACTTTATCCTGTTTAGCGTGCTCTTCTCCTCACCATTCAAAACCCTGACGTGGCTTCATATCTCATCGGATCCATCAAATGAAGGATGGACAACTCTCTGTAGGTTTGCCTGTGATTGCAGCGACTTCTTCTTCCGTGGACTCCAGAGACTCGATGCCCTCTGTCACCTTGGCCTTTCCTTCGAGTACATCATGTTTAGTCCACGTGAAGAGCACATCGTGCAGCGATTCTTTGACAATCTACTCGCGCTTCTTCAGAACAACGACAAACAACCCAATCTCAACTCTGTGCAGCTTCGCATCATGACGGATAGGTACTCCAGGGTGCTCGAGTATGAGGACCTTCGTCCAGATATTCCAACATACCTTCTCCAGAATGGCAACTCCAAGTTTCGACGAGTGTCACTATATAAGTTGGACAGAACATTTGAGGTTATAAACAGACTCGAGCATCTTTATACTTTCGATGGCAGCAAGGTGGAGCTTCTCAACAATATCAGCTCCCTCGAATTTGGCAAGTTGTCGTTGGACATGATGGTGGCAATCATCCTCTCCAAGGACTCGGCGGTTCGCTACCTTAGTGTTGGATCTATCCAAGGCTATTATGATGACCCATTTGACCGACTCAGTGATGCTCTCCAACAAAACACAACACTGGAAAGACTGTCATTCGCATCAGGCTCTTCATACCAATTGGACCAAAGTCCATCTTTCAAGCGCTTCATTAATGTCATTGCCAAGCATCAATCAATCAGAAACAAGACAACAGTCCTGATTGATATAAACATCGAAGTTTAGTGATACAGATACAAGGAAATTAAGTTATTGTTTAATTGGAGGATGTCTGTCTGATGTCCATTCCACGACATAACATCGACTTGGACTTAGAAGCAGAATGAATCCAAAAGGATACAGCAACAGGTGGATAGACCACGTGCAGCATATCCAACTTGTGACATGTCCAGAGAACGATTGTGACAGGTGACGGCTGTGACTGAAAATAGGAGTTGGCTGGAGAAATGGAAGCTGGTGTCGAGGGCGACTGCCAGCTGGTCGTTGAGCTCCTCAGACAGCGTGTTTTGCGAGAGGTCCGCTTGGAAGGCCGATATGACGGCGCGTATCTCCATGACATCCTGGGCGATCATCTGTGCAGGGATGACCATCTGCAGGTCGTGCTGCTCGCTTGAGTACAGCGACAACGACTGGATCGACTTCTGGATCGACGCGAAAAGTGGCAGCAGAACGCCCTCTTTGGGCAGGCCGACGTGCGACGACTGCTGGTTGTTGGAGCGGTAAAAGTCGATGGAGCCACGTAGTTGCTTAGCAGCGCTCTCTACCAGCTCGTGCTCGGCCTCCTGCTCGAGGAGGGGCGTGACGCGCGATGGTACCATTGTGGAGATCGTTGTCTTGATCGAGCTGAGCTGCTCGGCGATGATCTTGCCCAGGGCGATCAAGTTCTCAGGTGACTTTTGCGTGTCACGGTCGCCCAGGATCGAGAGTACCATAAGCGACTTGAACGTGCGGGCCACCAGCAGACACGAGTCGGACAAGCGTTTGGCCAGCGCGGGGCTGCGGCAGACAAACACTCGGGCGCTGACATGGCGACAGAGCTTGGCAATGTTAGTCAGCACACCTGGTGGGATCGATGTGCGGTACGTAATTGCGTTCATTGCCAGACGACAGGAGAGCGCACACTCGGCGATCGACGTGTTGATCGCGTCATCAGTCACTTCGAACCAGCAGTTGTACAGCCACTGAAGTGAGCCGACTAACGCGGCCACCAGACGGATCACCTCGGTCTGCTCAATCCTGTTGAATAGTCGTAGCTTGAGTCCATCACGCACATTCTTCACTCGCTCGCTGATCGTCGCCACGGCCTCCTGATTGATCACCGACTCCATGAACGAAGTGTTCTCAGCATCACCAATGATGGGCAGGAAGTGTGCCAGCACGTTGCCACACTCGTCTACAGCCTTGGCAATGTCGTCGTACCTGATTTTGTCCGAGCATATGGCCACGATCGACAGCTTGTATGTGATCTCCAGCCACAGAAGACTGATGTCCTTGACGCGAGAGTAGTCTTCGGGCAACAGTGTAGTCGCGGTGATGTCCAGCTGCACAGGTCGCGTGTAAGTCTTGCCCGAAGCTGTTGTTATGGGCGCAGGCGCAACCGTGGAGATAACTCCGATGGGTGGCGAGCGCATGGCTGTTGACGAGGTCGATGGTGGTGGAGAGCCTCCCAGCTTGGAGAGGTTTGGCGACGAGGTTGTTGTGACTGATCCGACGCCGCCAGGTGGCGATCCAGGAGGACTGGAGGTGGACGCGCCGCCAGTCGAGTTTGAGATTGAGATTGAGTTGACCTGCGTGGTCAAAGTCGTAAGGTTGGGCGATGATGTCGCTGCTGGTTTGTACTGGGGTATGGACGATGATGATTTCGCTTGATACTTCTTCTGATAGGCTTCCTTATACTTGACCTGGAACCTCTTTGGCAAGCTCTCCAATATCCTCTCTGGTGTACGTCTATCCCTTGACTCGCAGTTCAAATCAGCACCTCTTGACATCAAATATATTGCAATATCCTCTTGTTTCTCGCTTACTGCCACTCTCTTTAGTGATGCTATAATTGGCTATTATGATGTGTGTGGAGTGTGAGTGAGTGATCACCAATGTTAGATGTGATCGGATTGGACACATGACACACATACAGTCTCTACACTCTTTGGATCTTTATAATTGATGCTTGCTCCATTGTCTAACAAGTGAACTACACAATCATAGTGGTCACCTTCAATTGCCCAATGTAGTGCTGACTTGCCATCTGGATATGTTTGAATGATTAGTGACTAAACATGATTGATTGATTGATTGGACACCTGATACATACCTTTATCGACTTCATTGCCTCTGACCTCATTGGGGACATACTTCCTAATGGTCTTAATGTCACCCTTCTTTGCAGCCTTGCATATATCCTTTGTCATTGTATGTTTGTTTGTAATTGTCTCGAGAGATATAGAGATTGTTCGGTCTAATAGTTGTAATAAATAATGTTGTTGGATGATTGTTTGTTGTTATAAATAAATAAATATATGTTACAGGTGTGTGTGTGTGTGTGTATATCTTTAACAATGATATAATGAAGATATAATTAGAGTGATTGTATGGGTCTGTGTATGTGTGATTGATTGATCAATGATTGTTTGTGTGTGTGAATGAGTGGGGTAGCGGGGTTGATGGGTGTGTGGGATGGCAAACCGACACACATCTGGATTCTCCAATGACACCCATCCATCAATTCAAAGAGGGATAGAAAGTTTATTTGAAAAACTGTCACTTCACCAGCTCTATGTCCGCCCCTGTTACCATGTCTGCTGCTGCGTCTACATTGTCCTCAACAGCAACAACTTCTTTGTCAAGACAGTCTACACTATGCTTGTGGGAGTCTACCTCACTGATACCATTGTCAATTGGCATCACAGTGGCAGGCTCATAATCACATACTTGGCAACGAACATCCAACAACATATCAGCTTGAGTACGAACTACTTGAGGCTGCTGCACTGACTCTGAGGACACTTGAATGAGTTGTTGTGATTGCTGCTGTAGACTGTCGCTTGAGATGCTGATGGAGGTGTCGATGGTGAGTGATGAGGGGGATGGCGTTTGGACGGGCTCCCTCTTCTCCACAAGGTAGAATGTCGTCATGTCTCCCTTGCCTTTGACACGGATCACACCTCGCTCCTCGAGGACGAAGCCCTTCCTGAGTATCCGGCTCACCTCTTTGGTCACCTGTATCTTGCCTGGCGGGGCCGACGTCTGCATGCGGGATGCTGTGTTGGCAGTGTCGCCCCACACATCAAACTTGGCGCGCTTAAGTCCAATGCATCCGGCCACACATGGTCCGAAGCTGATGCCCACCTGCACATTGAGATGCTCATCCAGACGCATGACATACTCCTTGACGGTGAGTGCCATGTTGGCGGCATTGGCCAAGAACATCTTTGGGTGTTGGAGTGGCAGCTGACCAGAGGTCTGCAGGCCGGACGCCAGCATGTATGTCGTACCAATGGTCTTAATCTTCTCCATCCCAAACTTGGACAATTGTGCATCCAGTATTGAGAATATATAGTTCATGTAGGACACCATCACTGATGCGCCCATCGTTGGCAACTTCTCGAATCCAGTGATATTAATAAACATAATGGCGACATGGCTATAATTCTGTGCGATCAACATGCCATTTCCATTGCCTCTTCCTCTTCCCTCTCTTGCCAGTAGTTTCTCAGAGATTGATGTAGGCTAATGATTGATTGAGTGAGTTAGTGTGATGATGGAATGATTCCAGCGTGTGATGGCATGACAACACTTACAAGAATGTTCTCGAGTAGTTTGGATGACTTCTCTCGCTCCTTTTGAATGATCAGACCTTTGAACTTGACGTTGGACTTGATTACCCATGCCTTGCGCAACAACAACTTCATTCCATAACTTGAACATAGTTGGATGAGTGGAATAAGGACGATTCCAATGTAGTCCGTAAGGAATATATGTTCAGGTAGCGATGTGGACACAAATGTACTGCACAGGAAGAAGACGACTATTTGTTTGATAGATAGATTGATTGAGTTAGAGCATGTGAGCGATGAGAGATGGATCACATCCACAACATAACATACTTATAAGGGTGAGGTTGGCTACGGACTCTGCAAAGAATGACATGGCGTGGAAGACGTTGGCATAGAGGAAGGTCATGGTGACACGGATCATGGATGAGCGTGCCAGTGGGTTGCCATAGCGCATCAACTCTAGAATGGTACCAACTCCAAATAACATGGTCATGAAGAAGAAACTAAGTTGGTATACGATGCCAATCTTGAATAGGCGGGTGAAGGACAGCATCATGAAGATGGCAAAGAAGAGGCCCACTCCAATGTAGATGTTGGTGGCGTTGAGTATTGGTCGCGACTGCATTATGTAGTCGTCAAAGAAGAACTCGGCGTGTAGCATCATGCCCATCAGAAGGAATAGCTTGGTCTCCACAACAGTCTTGTCCAACACATATCTCTGATACGCGCTCTCCACTCTGGGGTTCCTGAACTTGACGGCCACGCGATTGAAGTTGGTGTACTCCTTGAAGCAACGGTCCACCCCACTCATGTCCTCCGAGAACAGACCCCTGCTGCGCGACTTCTCGGTATCTTTGAAGAAGATTGAGTTACCATGCTTGAAGGGAACCATGAGTATGTGCACCATTGAGTCGTTCTTGTTCCATAAGTCCGACTTTGCTTTGGACTTGGTCCTTGGTTTGACTGATCCAGCGCCAGCAGCGCCACTGCCGCCACCTGCACTGCCAGATTGTTTGAGTGATGTTGCGTTGGGTACTCCAAGTGCGGTGGTGTTGTTGGCGGGGTCGGTAGACTCTTGTAACTTGGCATCGTCCACTGGATGTGGTGACAACAACACAGTCTTGAAGTCCAGACGACAATCAGAGTTCTCTTCAATCGTTCCATAATTGGCGTCTACAGGCAGTTTCTCCAGATGCTTCTCACACAAGTGTATCTTGCCTGGTGTGCCATTCTGTTCCAGGGTATGCGCAATGGCGATGGCTTCGCCCCACACATCAAACTGGAACTTCTCACATCCAATCACTCCACCAATGACTGACCCAGTGGCAGCTCCAACACGTAGCTTGATCTAAAGTGATTGAATGGGTGTGAGTGGGGAGGGAGGGAATAGTTCCGAATGGTGATTGGGACACATACCTGGACGTTTAGACAGTTTGATGTGAGGATAGGCAACCTGAGGATGTCCGAGGCAACCTCGACTATGGCCTTGAAGTGTTGGGTGTTCTCGATGGTCAGTCCACCGGCACACACGTATGAGTCACCATCAGTCTTGATCTTCTCGCAGTGATGTAGTTCGACAACACGATCAAACTCAGTGAACACCTCATTCAACAGTCTGACCAGCTGCTCGGCCTCGACCCTCGACGCCAATGTGGTGAACTCAACAATGTCGCAATACAGTATCGAGCAGTTTGGGAAGTGCTTGGCAATGGGTGGAGGTGGCTCTGATATCTGCTTGGATGTGGTGACTGTTGATGCAGCCTCCTCTCTACTACTAATGGTATTGGCGCGGCCAGCCCTAATAGTCCTCGTTGTCGAATGTTCGTTAATCATCTTGATCACAAACTCTGGTAATATATTGGCCAACAACTGTTCAGTCTTCTCCTTTTCCACCTTCAGTCTTTCAGTCTTTCTTTGAAGTCTCTTGCTATCCACAAAGCTCTGTTAATGTTTGATCATTGATTGATTGATTGATTGGAATGATTCCAGATGAGGTGGGGAGAAGTGGGTTAGTGTTTGATTGAGTGATTGGCATGATCCCAGAGTTGATTGAGTGAGTGGAGTAGTTCCAGTGTTTGGGATTATTCCAGTGAGTGAATGGACTTACCTCTTTCCTGGACTTCTCCAAGATGTAAAGATGTGTGGCACCAACTAGGAAGATGGTTAGGACGTAGAGGATGAAGGATATTAGGTTGGGCGTGTCAAGACTGGACTGCATCAGGAGGAAGAATATGAAGAGGACCGCATGTACAAGGTTGAGTAGCACCATCCATACAAAGAGTAGACAGCCAAGTGAGTATAGACAGCTGAATACAACACTATACAGGAAGATGATGAATGTGATCGTGGCATTATGGTACTCGAGCAGAATGGATAGGAACAGCGTAGTGAAGTTGAATAGGAACAGTGGATGGTACGTATGCATGTAATATCGTTTGTTGGACAGGAAGCTGAGGAACAATGAGAAGGCAAACACGTTGAAGCAGAATATTCTTACGGCCAGCAACATGAACACGCTGACTTTGAATATTCCATAAGACACTGCCAGTATACCGATCAGATTGGTCATCCTCAGCAACATCATCTGCTTGGCAAAGTGCACCTGCAAGTATTCCTGTTCCAGCCTATAAGGATGCAGTCTAAGTGTGTATCTATTGAACATCCTATCGCTCTTCTTCAATGTTTGTTCGTCTGGTACATTGATTGATTGATTGAGGGAATGATTGAGTGAGTGTGTGTGAGATGGCGGGTTGGGCTGGAATCATTCCACACCCACCAATCATACATACCTGCATTAATCAAGGGCTTGTCGCTCCAGACCATGGGGTTCTCGAGGTCCACATGTGATGCTGTTGATGTGTTGTAGCTTGATCGAGTCTTTGTTTTGAACTTGGTCCATAGTCTTTGAAATATATTCATTCTCTTGTATTCTTCGTCATGTTCCAGTCCCACCATTCCATCTTGATCATCGTCATTCTCATCATCAGCATTATCGTCCAACTCCTTTTCCAATGATTGTTCTATATCAGGTAATTGATTACTAAAGTCTTCGAACCTAAGTTGATGCAATGTCGTTGAGTCTGACAACTCTGAAGTCTTGAGAAAGTTCAACTTTTGATATATCGTCGCTGTGACCTCCTCTTCTGATGCCGTATCGTTGGCATTCTGATTATAATTATTATTTCCATGCTGTACATGTTTCTTTCCACCTCCACTATTATTAATATTATTATTATTATTATTATTATTACTACTACTGCTGCTGCTACCTTTATCCGATGACATGCTGGCACAGTATATTGAGTCGCCCAACTGCATTATATTATTTCCACTATGTTGTTGTTGTTGCTGTTGTTGTTGCTGTTGTGGTTGTTGTTGATGTTGCCTTCCATGTATTATATGATGGCGATAACTTATAAGTGATGACCTGAGTGACATTGTTTGTTTGTTTGATTGAATGATCTATATCTCTCTCTGCCTATTAAGTTAGAGAGTTGAACTAGAGCTGTCTTCGAAACACCTGTCTGTGGAATAGAAATAAGAAAATATTGATATAACTCCAAAGGTTGGAAAGAAGTATGGTATGTATGGCTGGCTGGCTAGCTGGATGGATGGATGACGCCAAAGTTTGGTTGATTGGATGATTGATGGTCAAGCCAGACTGATAGTCAGTCAGTCTCAGTCCAGTCAAGTCAACCAGTATGTGTGTGTAGGTGATCTTGATTGTTATTTACATAACATCCATCAACATCAACATCAATAATAATAATAATCACCATCACCAACACACGCAACACGAGTGAGAGTGCGATAGAGATTGAGACATAAGTAGTTGGAATGTGGGTTGAGTGTTGTATGTGAATGGAATTGGACATGGACATGGACACGGCAAGGAGGACAACTACAACAATAACAACTGTTTGGTAAGTGAGTGCGTCGCCATGAATCAGTGTGTGAGTGGATGGGGCAGTTGGTGGAAGATGTTAGTATATCTACATATGGAGTCACACTATCGTGTGTCTTTGTGTGTCTCTCTCTCTCTTCATTCATTCTGCCTACTTACTGTTGACTGACTGACTGACTGACTGACTGTCTGACTGATTGATGTCTCAGACACACACACACACACACACTCACACACTAATCAGACAACAACAACTATTATGCTCCACTACCAACAACCACAACCAATCATTCGAGTTTAGTGTTAGTGTTAGTGTGAGTATGAGTGTGCGTGGGATTGATCATGATAATGATCACTTCACTACTTACTTACTACATACTTGGACAACCGGATGCATGGATGGATTGGTGAGTGTGGGGGGTGGGTTGGGAGGTATAACCATCTGATCAGCTGATTGAATGAGTGATTGATTGATTGAGTGATTGGCAAAATGCTATTCCGGCTTGGACATGTTATAAGGATCGATCACCACCAACTACTGCTATGTTTGAGTACATGTTTATGAGATTAGCAGTGTCCATGTTATGTTATTATTATTATTATTATTATTATTATTTACAGGATACATGGATTGATGGATGGATGGATGGAAGTTGTCGTCGTTGTCGTCGTCGTCATCGTGTCTCGATGTTGATTGATTTGATTGGAAGGTAGTAGGGGACCTTTTGTTTGATTATCTCCTATTATATAAAGTTGATGGTGGTTCTCCGGTTCCTATTGATGATTGTGATGTTGTTGTTGATGTTGATTGTTGTGATGTTGTTGTTCCTTGGGATAATGATGTTGATGGAGATGATGTTAATGTTGATGTTGATAATGATGTTAGTGGCGTGAGATCTTTCAAACCACGCAACATTGCATCCAGTGATTCGAGATCATCTCGTTTGAGCTCAGGTATATCCCTCTCGAGATGTTTGGCGATGGCTTGCACACGCCTGACGTCAAGGTCACTGTCACAAAAGGTGATGGCAATGCCCGAGCGGCCAAACCTGCCAACACGGCCCACACGGTGGAGATAGGTCACTGGATCAGGTGTTTGCTTGGGGTCCAGTGGCACATCATAATTGATCACCAGCGATACTTGAAGGATATCAATTCCACGCGCCAGTACATTGGTCGTGATCAGGACCTTTGTCTTGCCCTGTCTGAAGTTGTCAATCTCCTTGAACCTGTTATTACTCTCCATCCTGCCGGTCAATATCGTCACACTGAATCCTTCCTGTGTCATCCTATGATACAATGCCTCCGCCGTCTTAACAGTCTGTGTCCAATGTTAGTCCACCAACTCGAGTCTTGGCACATGATGATGTTTGTTGATACGTACATGGGCAAAGACTATACTCTGGCCAACACTAATGTATGAGTAGAGATCACATAGGATGAGTGGCTTGTTCTGAATGGAGTCGCATGGTACATAGAACTGTCGTATCTTGTCAACGCTGAGTTGATCACGCTTGAGACGAATAGATACGTATGGCTCTGGAACAAACTCTTTGATGTACTTCTCCACGCCAATACTGAATGTGGCAGAGAACAATAGGACTTGTACTGTTGGTAGTAGCAATGACTTGATGGCCTTTGTCTGGCCGTACATTCCACGTGTGTCCACCATGTGATCGGCTTCATCCAACACCAGCATCCTAATAAACTTTGCTTGGATAATTCGTTTCTTCAGCAGGTCCTCCACCTTGCCTGTTGTTCCAACAATGAGTTGGTTCGTCAATGGTCCCTTTGGCACTAGTTTGTTTGTATGATGTTAGACTCCAATCAATCAATCACAATGCATGCTGCTGCACATACATCTAACATCTTTGATGGCCAAAAATGGCTGAATGTTGGAATGCTTCGCCAATGCACAGACTACTGCATGGACCTGCATTGCAAGCTCCAATGTGGGACAGATACACAACACTTGTGGAACCTGCAATCCAGCTTCAATAGTATTAAGCATGCCCAATGTGAATGCGGCTGTCTTGCCCGTTCCAGATTGTGACTGAGCGACCAAGTTTTGTCTGGATTGATGAATGAATGGATGTCACGTGATCGATCGATAGGTGTCAGTGATTGATTGGATTGATTGATTGATGACCACGCCATCATGTATGTGTATATCTCCATTACCTTTGATTGATTATAACAGGTAGTGATGCCTCTTGTATCTTTGAAGGCTTGTTGAATCCCATTGAATAGACACCTTGCAATATCTCTGGCTTCCTGTTGATGAATAGATACATAGCCTGTGTGTTAACAATCACGTGATGATTGAATGATTGAATGATTGATTGAACATTACAATTGAAGCTCTTCAAATGTCTTTACAGAGTAGAGGGGAGAGTTTGGATCAGAACGTTGTATTTCAAGCTGTGTATCATAGTCTGACAAATAATCAGACTTGATAAGTCCTAGTATTGGCTCTGTATGTATGTATAAGTATCTCCATCATTCATTCATTTATTCATTCATACCATCTCCGTTATCATCATCATTTGTATTATCATTATCAGCTGATGGTTGTTGATCAATTTCCATCTTGTATCAATATTGTTGTTGTTGTTGTGTATGTGTATCTGTATCTTGTATACGTATATAGATATTAACTAATAATGAACAAACTAAAGATCTGGTGGTTGCCTTTCAAAGTTTGAATAGCGCGCGCGAGATTTAGTTGGAAGTGCGTGGCGCCACATAGACAACACTCGAGTTATGGGCAACAGATAATATCTTTGTATCTATCTCTCTATTTTTAATGTATCTATCTATCTATCTATCTATCTGTCTATCTCTATTTTACATATTGTCTTGTCTCTACACCCAATGGCATATAATCGCTTGGCAAGCATGAAGTGGAGGAAGTGGAGGTGGCCGCGGCGCCAACACTATCAAAGTACATGCCAATCTGTAGCAACATACTGTTGTGATCATCTGTCAACTCCTTCTTTTGTGGCGCACTCAATGATGATGATAACAATGGTAGCCACTTGCTTCTAAGTGTCAACAATTGATCTAATATACAAACTATCGTAGCATTGTTTGACTTGACCGTGGTCCATCCATGTGATCCTAAGGTTAGGTATATGAGTGAGTATGCTAATGATTGAGTGCGAGTGATGAGCGAGACACCTACCATTGGGCACAGTCGTTAGGAAGTGGTATATGTGTATACGGAAGGGCGTGGAGGAGAGGAAGGCGATCTTGGCGAGGGCGTCGACACTGGCCATACGGATCTGCCATGGGTGGAAGATGGCGTATTGCTCGAGACGCAAGATGATGGAGTTGAGTGCCTGATCTGTGACTGGTTGGTTGTCACCAGCCTCACCCTCCAACGTGATCTTGTTGGCATTGTCGCCGAGGAATTGAACAATGTCCTTGAGGATCTCGAGACTGACCACGCGGAAGTCTGGATGGATGGAGCGATCGAGCACGTCGAAGCAGTTCTGCAGGACACGCTCGCGACCCTCGCGACCAAACTCGATGATCTTGGTCCAGATCTGAATGGCCAGTGGCGTATCAACCTTGTGCGGCACAATGTCGATCCAGTCATAGACGAGCTGCAGCACGGATGGTGCCAGCACAGGCGTGACGACCGTGCGCTTGTACAGCTCCATGAACAGTTCCTTGAACAGCAGTGCTGGGTGACATTGCTCGCGCAACTGATTGCGGAAGCATTCAAAGAATGTGCGAGACGCAGGACACAGCGTCGATGGGCAAAGCCAGACGAGAGCGCGCAGTGCCTGGATGCGGATGGAGATGTTGGGGGAGATGGAGAGCAGGCCCATGATCGACGACGTCAGCACCGAGAAGGGGTGTGTGAGTGACGACGGAATCGTCTTGTCCACCTCGGTCCACGTGCCGATGGCGGGTGAGCCGTCCGCGGCCTTGGGATAGGCGTGGCGCACGTACGAGTGAGACAGAGCGTTGACCAGCTTGCAGACCATGTGCGTGAAGGGGATGGACTGCTGGGCGGGATGCGCCGTGAAGTGAGTGTTGAACGCGTTCTTGATCTGGTTGCAGATGCCGGTGATCAGGGGCACAGCGGTTGGCTGTGTGTCGTAGTGGTTGGGAGTGTCGTTGTCCACGACGATCGCCTCGATCATCGCTGTCTCCAGCGTCTTCCAGGGGAACTTAGTCAGGTTGGATACGGCACTGCACCACACGCCCAAGTTGTTGTCCATCACACTCTGGCATATGTTCTGGAAGAAGTCCTTTCCATCTGGTGACGATGACAATGCAATCATACTACATGTGGCCAAGAAGGTCCTGCGAGCAAAAGGGTCCACCAAGGCCACAGCCTCCTTTCCCCTGTTAGCCTTTAGCAATGGCAAGAATCGTTTGATCGTCGCTGCAATAGTCGCTGGGTCCTAATATGGTTTGGAGGGGCATGTTAGTCACTGATCACACTCCCAATCAATCACACCAACATACATCTTTAGCATAACTGTGAGTCAGGCATACGGCATGCCTTGCGCCAACTGGATCAGCACACTTGATGCCCTCGACGATGGGCATGAACAAGGATGGGTTGTTCTTGAATCTGTTTCGGCAGGCGACAAAGCATGCGTACTGCAAGAGTGCGCGCTCACGTCCCAGATCAGACACCTTGGTGAAGAATCCAACCTTCTTCTTCTGTACCTTGTCGGGGTCTTCGCCAACCTTTCTCAGTATACCCGAGATGACCTCTGTGATATTAGCATCGACCAAAGTATCATTGGGCGCCAACATTGCCGTTGTCTTCAATGATACAACCTTTCGTGATATATCCTTATGTTGCATCTCCTTTGAGAATATAGTCGTTATGTTCTTTATCTCCTGTGTTGTTGGTCACGTGATGGTGATGGATCGAGGGTAGGGTCAGCAAGTGATGTTCATGTGAGTAGCGTGGCGCGTTGGGGCGAGAGGGTGGAATACGAACAGCTGAGTTGTTGAATTGAGCCCTGTATACAGACAACTCAATGAGGAAGTAGTAGGCCAACTTCAATGTCTTCTTGTCGTCAGTCATTGAGATCACTATATGATGATTGAATGATTGAATGAGTGAGTGTCGCGACATGATGCATCACCTCACGACGAGGACATACCTGAGAGTAGTGGATCGAGTAAGTCCTTCTCGACACGGTAGTATGTTAGGTTCTGGAGTGCTGCCTGTATCCTTGAGGAGTTCTTCTTGTCGACGGCCTCTTTGAACGAAGACTTGAGTTGATCGTATGTAGTGCTAAGCTTGGATTGCAGATACTGGCTCTGGCAACGCACTTCGAACAACTCACCAACTGGCACACCTGCTGGTGTTGCGGTTGTAGCCGGTGGCGATGACCTTATATTGGTTGAAGCATTCGATGCTGTAGATGTAGTGCTGCCACTACTACTCGCCAACGATGTTGATGAATGTTCATTTGGAGTTGACATGTTGTTGTTTGGTCGCGCGCGTGTAGTCCTTGGTCCTTCTTTGAAGGTGTCAATGATCCAAATGAATAAGAATGACTATATTAATACAGATATAGATACAGATAGATTGTTGTATAAGTGTGTGTAAGTGGTGGGGTTGGTCGAATGATTTGATTGATTGATCATTCAGTGCACTGCACTCCCACAATCACTTTGTCAAACTTCACAAACATAGAATGGTTCAAATAAATAAATAATGGTGAGTTTATTCAAAGATCACTGGATTGAGTGATGGATGGATGGAGTGATTGACCAATGGTGCGACGTGCGACGAGCTTATGCGGGATGGACATGAGTGACGGGAGTAGGCGGGGAGGACGGCGAGACCAGAGGCGTGTGTGGAGCGCTGGAAGGGCCGCGCGCTTAGATGTTGACGGTGTCAATGGAACCGGCACGGTTGTTGCTGATACCACAGTCAGAGTTTGGATCGGCAGAGATCTTGCCAAATCCGTTCTCACCCCATTGGGTGCCCCAGTTGTTGCGGACGATGTAGTAGTTCTGCTCCTGGTTGTAGCCGACGAGCAAGACAGAGTGGTTGGTGCTGGTGACTGGACCGTCGCAACGGAAGATACCTGAGCGGTAGTCATAGAAGTCGTTGGTTCCGAGCATGGCAACACCGACTGGGCCGAAGGTACGGCACTTGTTGATGATGTCGTCCTTGTTGGCCTCAGAGAAACGGACGTATCCACCACGGACGACAACCTTGTTCTTGTCATAGTGGCACTGACGGTCGAGCGAGCCAGAGTTTCCAACGTATCCGTAGTCGGTCTCCTTCATCAAACCTTGGTCACGGACGTAGATCAGAGCGTCGTTGAGACGGCCTCCAGTGCAGTAGTTGGGGTTGATGGCATCAGAGCAGTCGAGGATCTGCTGCTTGCTGAGGTTTGGACGGACTCCCTCACGCATGGCAACACGTGACTGGACGATTCCGACGGCGGTGAAGGCGAATGAACAACCACAGTCCTTGGTGTCCTCTGGCACGGCGACAACACCTTGGTTTCTCCAGTCGAACGAACCGGTGGATGGGACACGGACCTTGGAGACGAGCTCCTCCTCCTCAGCGTCGACCATCTTGTTGGACTTGAAGCTCAACAGACCGTTGAAGTTGGATGTGGCCAGCTTGGAAGCTGAGGCGTGGTCCTGGGCGGTGTATGGCTGGATTCCAGAGAAGGAACCGGCTGGGTAGTAGTTGCAGGCAACCTTGAAGTTGTTGTCGGCACACTGGACCTTGGAGCAAGCGACCTCTTGGGAGTTAGCCCAGATCATGTTGGTGTAGGCCTGGCAGTTGACGCCATCATCACATGCATTGTCATCAAAGTTGTAGGAGTTCTTGCCGATGGTCAGGGCTTGCATGACGTTGGCGGGCGAGGGGTCGTAGTCAAAGGTGACGACGCTCTCACCAAATGTGCCGGCGGCAGCAGCCTCAGACATGTAACGGGCGCCACATGCGTTGGCGAGGGTGTTGGCGTTGTCCAAGAGTGTGGCGTTCCAGTTCAAGTACTGGTAGCCGCCGTCGACGGGCAGGGGCACTACGCTCATTCTCATAGTGTTCATCTGGTTGACCAGCTGGGTCCTCTCTGTCTCAGAGAAATCGGCCATTCCGACCGAGGCGATAGTGCACAGCACTACCAATGTTAACAACAACTTCATTGTTTTTTTTTTAAAAAATTGTTTGATTAAATAAATAAATAAATAAATAATATTATATTATATTAATTGTTGTTGTTGTTGTTATTGTTGGATGATTGAATGAATGAATGAGTGAATGTTGTTGTTGATATATATTTATGAATGTTGGAAAGTGTAATAAATAAATAAATAGAGGGAGCTGGTTGTAATGACCAAGTCTTGGATGAGCTGTGTTGTTAAGTGTCTGTGGGATCCTGGCTCCTTTATGACGGAAACCCAACCCTTGACCGTCATGGTTCATTCATCGAAGTTGTCCGTCATTCACTCCCTCACTCACTCACCATTGTCGTCAACTTTAGAGATCGACGTACTTGAAGTGTGGGTGTTAATGAGGAGATTGAACGATGTCGTCGAGAGGTGTATATCACTTGATGCTGATGAATATCATATCTATTCAATGTACTTACTTAAAATGAGTATCAATCGATTAGTCATACATAGGTCGCCAGATGACTACAATTGTGTGAATGTATGTTTAGGTTTATCTAATTTTCAAGATGTAAACACACATCCACCACTTCACACCACAAGACACACATTCAATGTCATTCTGACTTTCATTGACCCGACTAACAACAACACCTTTGGGAAGGTGTGCGAATAGGTGTACATTGATATACTAAATGCAAGAGATACAGATTCACAAATATATATATCATTTGCCACACATATGATGATGTTATCATATCATATTAATGCCACCCTCCCAAAAAGACTGACTACGATGAAGAATTCGATGCTAACAATTAATAATAGATCGATATCATATGGTATGATGAGTGTATACCCGTCTGGTTGACGGGTCATGTGTCATCCACTGTGTGTGTGGGCGGAGACATGCACTGACGGATACTTATCAAGTCCAAATTCAAAGTTATTCTAAACCATATAGCCACCTGTTGTGACCTCAGTCCAATTCACTTCACTTCCACTCTTCACTCCTATAACTACAACAACTTTCAACCAAAGTTTATTATTATATTCATCCAACATCCCAACAACAACAAATATTATTTATTTATTTATTTATTTATTATTTATTTAGTTAGTTAATTAATTAATTTAATTATTTCCAAAACAAGAATGAAGCCTATAATTCCAGTAGTCGGTATGCTGGCTGTTGGTGCTCTGGCCACAACAGTCGATGCCATCGGTCCTTTGGACCTGTTCGGAGGTAACCCTTTGAGCATCTTTGGTTCCAACCCATTGCAGTTGGCCTACAGCTCATGGGCTCGTAACTACAACAAGCCATCCCAGGTTCCAGACCTCATCTCCAGTGTCTGGGGTCAGCGCCAGCGTAACGTCTTTGGCCACAACAACGCCAGATTGGAGGGCTCATACTTGAGTAAGTTAATACATCCCATACCTTCATTTAATCAATCAATCAATCATACTAATACTTTGAAACAACCAACAGAGCAAGCCAATGGATACTCGGATGTGACTTATGACAACTTTGCCAACACTCATCTTGGCTCGAACCAGGATGGTTTCTGGCAGGTGAACGCCACCTCCAAGCCAAAGAAGCATAGACATGGTCTGCACGGAGGTAGATTGGCTGGTGTGATCATCGGTTCAGTGCTCGGAGGTCTCCTCCTCCTGGGTCTGCTGATTGCCCTGATCTTCTGTTGCCGCCGTCGTCGCGCACGCGCAAGAGGAGGACTGTACACTGAGCACAACAACGTGCGCACTCAGCCCGCCGTGGCCACCTACCAGACCGAGGTGCGTCGCGACCCATACCTTGACCGCCCAGTCCAGACCACCACCGCCCCAGTCACCACGACCACCACCGAGACCGTGTACCGCGAGCGCCTTGCTACGCCCCAGGACAACCACGTCTACAGAGAGTCACACCGCAGCACACTCAACCAGGGCTACGTCAATGAGACCACTGCTTCAGACCGCTTCCAGACTGAGAACATCCCCACGTACCAGGACCGCAACGTGACCTACACCGATCGCACCACCCTTGTGCCACGCGGTGAGACCGTTCAGTTCCACAACTAAACTGACTAAATAGTTGGTTAGGATAGGAATGAGTGTTGTCAATGTTGGATGAATGAATACCTTCATGTTGGACACAAGCAAGCTATAAATGATTGAATGAATGAATGAATGAATAAAGTTAATTCTTTCAAAGTTTGCTCAAAGATCTGGGTTTGTTCACTTTTGAAGTGCACTTCAACTTCATTCCTGCATTCATCATTTAATCAATCTAGAATACACATACTTATACACATAGCACTTATACATATACATAATATTCATAATGAGTGATAATGAAGATGATGATATGTTTGGAGATGACTTGGTCGAACAAAGTCAGCCAATGAGTAGATTGACAAAGGAAAGAGAAAGGAGTGACAGGAGTGATGGAAGTGATAATGATGATCGTCGTAAATCAAAGAAAGACAATGATGATAATGATGAAGATAATGATAAAGAGCAAAGGGATGGTGATGAGGAAGAGGATGAAGAGGATGATATAGGTACAACAATCAAACATAGTAGTAGCAGTAGTAAGAGGAAGAATGGACATCATCATCGATCAAAAGAAGAGAGACGTAAAGAGAGGAAAGAGAAGAGGAGAAAGAGAAGACATGAGGCTGAGGCACGTGCTAATGATGAAGAAGGCAATGACGAAGATCAAGACAATGAACAAGAACAAGATGATGATGAGCACGATCACTCGGCAATGTCAAATGATGATGAGAATGCCAGCAATGATGAGCATCATGGATCTGGTCGATCACACAAAGATAGACACTCAACCAAAGATGCCAACAGCACAGACTACGAGGTCACCGGTGAACAAGAAGAGGAGGAAGAAGAGAAAGAGGTCATCAAGCCTCCAATCAATCTGACGCATATCAACAGAGACCCCCTGCCATCAGCAAAGGTAATGGTCGACCCAGTAGCTCTCGGGCGCGCTAGCAATCACAATGCTAACCTTATTCAATCAATCAAATAGTTGATGAAGCTTAAAGTGCTCAATATCTTGGGCATTCAAACAAAGCCATTTGATGCTGAGACATTCGAGGAGGATGAGGGTCCTGCAGAGGATGGCAAGAAAAGAGCTAATGTGGAGTCGGTCATACGTTGGCGATGGGCAGTTGGCGAGGGCGGTATGAACAAGAAGGAGTCAAACACAAGATATGTAAAGTGGTCGGATGGCTCATCACATCTGTTCATCGGCAATGAGGTGTTGGAGATCACAGAGAACGAGCTGGGCGGTGAGCACATCTACGTCTACTCGACACAGGACAGCTTCATTGAGTGCGAGGGCAAGATCGACTCGCGTGTCAACATCCGACCAACCGACATCTCAAGCAGAGCGCACAGACGTCTCACCGAGACCCTCATGAACAAGACCAAGAAGGCCAGCAAGATCAAGTCACATCACAACACCTCTGGCATTGATCCAGAGAAGGAGAAGGAGGCAAGAGAGAAGGTATGTCGACACCCCAATCGATTGATCGATCAATCATACTAACGCACGCATGCTCTCATTCATTAGATCGAGGAAGAGATCATCAGGAATAGGGCCAAAGAGGAACAGGTCAAGAGGAATGAGGCCGAGAAGTATGGACTGGATCCAGAATACCTTGAGAGCTATGACGACGATCAATACAACAACAATGATGATGATGGATATGGAGGCTCGGGCGATGAAGAAGGCGATTCACTTGGCGATGATGATGAGGATGACCTGGGCGACTTTATCGAGCGCGATGACAGGAGTTCAAGGAGATCATCTTCATCTCACTCGCACCGTGACCGTGATCGCGAAGATCGTGAGCGTGCAGGCAAACTGCAGAGCATCAAGCACTCATCTTCCTCCAAACAAAGCAGCAGCAGTCGAGCCATATTCGATGACGACGATGATTATGAAGAGGAGGATGAGCATGTCCGAGGCAGGTCAAGTCACCAGAGATCACTCAACGACGACGATGATTAGACGTGCGTGTATTCGCCCCAACATAACAATGTATCATCAATGGCCAAGCTCAATAAACATACAATATTGATTGAATGGTTTGATGTATGAATATGTTTGATTGAATGATGTATGAGTGTTTATCTTTAGTTTGTTTGATTATTTGTTTAAAGTATTGGGATGTCCCTCACTAGATATTGTATTGTCAACTATGTTATTGTCGAAGACACATTGCGATATCTGGCGAGTGATGGGTCCAACCAATCTCGAGCAGTTATGACCCGAACAATGCCGAATGGACATGAACGCTTTTGCAAACGATCAAACGGGCAATGGTCTTAAGGACTACTCTAAAAACAGGCACATCACTTCAAACAATCATTAATCAACATCATTATATCATTTATATTATGGTTATTAAACATTAAAAAAAAAAACGAACGAAAGTAACTTGTTTGAAAAAAATAACACAACTGATCAGTTTTTTCACCATCAAAAGTTTGAAAAGAATTGGACACCTTTTCGACCTTTGTGGTCATCATGAGTGGGAAAGTGTTAATGGGGTGATGATGGTGATGAATGGCAACCTCAAGTTTCCAAACACGAACCCTCACATACCCTGTGAGCCAATCGTTGGGACGTAAGATGTGTCCCATGGTCGCGACGACCCTTGTCTCTTGTTTGTGTGTACACCAACTAACTCAACAACACCAACAACAATAATATTATAATTTTTTATTCAATATCTGCATACCCAGGGAACATTTCTCTTATTACCATCCATCCCACCAAACCATCATACATACATATATACCAACACAAAGACTATTTCAAACAATCACATTGATATTTATCTGTGACAGAACACGACACGCAACACAACTCAACTTCAATTTCGAAACTTTCAATCATTTCAATTCATTCTTTCTCAAACAACATTCACAAGTTCATCATTTTTAAATGTTGAGACATTCAACCAAGTTATTTGTCAATCTTGAAAGAGCAGCAGGCTTAGGAGCATCATCAGCATCAGCATCATCAGCAGGAACAGGTTCCTTCATACCAAAACAATCAGACACAATGACTTCATCAACAACTCCATCATGTATGTGTCCATTCATTCATCCATAACCATTCATTCAATCATTGAACTAACTTGAATCAATCTCATTACACAGACCAGAAATCATTGACATTGGACAATATGTGCCCAACTGTACGTACAGCTCAATATGCTGTGCGTGGAGAGTTGGTGATTAGAGCAGAGAAGTTGGTTAGCACTTTGGATCGCCAGAAGAATGAGGGCATCAAGTTGTTGCCATTCGAGGAGATTGTTTACTGTAACATTGGTAACCCACAACAGTTGAAGCAGAAGCCACTGTCTTTCTTCCGTCAGGTCGTCGCGCTGTGTGAGTGTCCCGAGCTGCTCGAGTCGCCACACATCGACAAGATCTTCCCAGCCGACGCCATTGCCCGTGCTCGCGCACTCCTTGCCTCGGTCGGAAACACTGGCGCCTACTCGGGCAGCCAGGGCATTGCCTCGGTGCTGCGCAGCGTGGCCAAGTTCATTGAGAAGCGTGATGGCTACCCCGCCGACCCCGAGAGCATCTTCCTCACAGACGGTGCCTCTGTGGCCGTGCAGCGTATCCTGCGTCTGCTGATACGCGACCGTTCCGACGGTATCCTCATCCCCATCCCCCAATACCCACTCTACTCTGCCACCATCGAGCTGTACGGCGGTTCTCAGTTGGGCTACTACCTGAACGAGGAGGCCGGCTGGAAGATGGAGATCCCCGAGCTGGAGCGCTCCTACAATGACGCTAAGGAGAAGGGTATCACTCCACGCGCCCTCGTTATTATCAACCCTGGTAACCCCACCGGTCAGACCCTGGACGCCGCCAACATGAGCGACATTGTCCAGTTCTGCCATCAGAAGCGTCTGGTCCTCCTGGCCGACGAGGTCTATCAAGAGAACGTATATTCGGAGAACAAGCCATTCGTGTCGTTCAAGAAGGTCGTCAAGGACCTCGGCACCAAGGTGGAGGGACTCGAGATGGTCTCCTTCCACTCCGTGTCCAAGGGCTTTGTCGGTGAGTGTGGCAAGCGTGGTGGTTACATGGAGCTGTTTGGCATCTCGCCAGAGGTCAAGTCGGAGATCTACAAGCTCTCCTCGATTGGTCTGTGCCCCAACGTCATTGGCCAGCTCGTCGTCGACCTGATGGTCAACCCACCACAAGAGGGCGAGGCCTCGCACAAGCAGTACATTGAGGAGCGCGATGCCATCTACAACTCACTCAAGCGTCGTGCCAATCTCTTGGCCACCGCACTCAACAGTTTGGAGGGCGTCACATGTAACGCACCAGAGGGCGCTATGTATGCCTTCCCCCAGATCCGTCTGCCACCAAAGGCCGTCGAGGAGGCCAAGCAGAATGGCAAGCAGCCAGACGCTCACTACTGCATCCAGTTGCTCGAGGCCACTGGTATCTGTGTTGTTCCAGGCTCAGGCTTTGGTCAGCGCGATGGCACCTACCACTTCAGAACCACTTTCCTGCCCTCAGAGCAAGCCATCGAGGGTGTTTGCAAGAAGGTGGCTGACTTCCACAAGGCATTCATGGCCAAGTACAAGTAATAATGATGTATATATGGCCTTTCATATCCAATCAAATTTACTTCAGCTCATCATGGACATTCTATACTTGATTCAAGAGGTCTATCAACCAATCCTACTCCAAAGAGTGATTCAGCAACTTCAATGGTTATACAACATCAAAAGAATATGTCTCGCTCAATTGACTTTAAGATCAAGTTATCCCAATTGATTGAAGATTATTCAATCAATAAGATATATTCAATTTGTGGAATGCAAGGTACAACACATTTATCAAATGTATATATTTATAATATTGATAAGAATACTTGGAGAGAGCATAAATCGTTAAAGATGAAAAGAGCATGCTCTTCATCATCAGTGGTATCAATTGGTTCACATATATATATCTTTGGTGGCAATGACAGATTGAACTCTTATGAACGATATAATGTGGATACCGAGATATGGGATCAACATGAAGTGATTGCCAAAGGAGGATCGAGTATCGCTTGTTGTCATGATCAAGGTCGTTTCATCTATTTGGTCGGTGGAATCCAGAATAATGAAGCAATGGATCGTGTCGATCTATTTGATATCCTCACTGGACAGATCAAGGAACGTGGAATTATCTTAAATCCAAGATACTACTCATACACATTTGTCAAAGATGGTATAATATATGTTATTGGAGGTACAACAAAGAAATCAAGTTCCACTTATACATTGGTGAATAATATTGAAGCTTTCAATATTGAGTCAAAGAGATCACAAGTTGTCTACGAATTTAAAGAAGAAGAAAGTCATAGAGTTGAAGGAGTCTGCTTCGATTCAATAGAATATGTATATATTATAACATCGAAATACTTCAAAAGGATATCAATATATACTTGGATAATGGAAACCTTACCCAATCCTGGTCTTACTCAAGGTCGTTATGGACTATCATTGATATTTGGTTATAATCAAGGATTCAAGATATGGATGATTGGTGGAAAAGATGAAGTACAATATGTATACTACTTTGATCAAGGTGATGGACTTTCCTGGGATAGCCTACGCACCGGTGATGGTGAATGGCGTACATTCAAACAGAAACAACAGCTTACATACTTCCAAGGTGCCGTAGGAATTCAATAAATAAACGTTTATTCATTCTTTTGACCTTATCTAAGTATAAATGACTTTTAATGTCAAATGTCTGATTCACACACAACAACTACTACGACTGTTACATCTGAAGAGAGTGATCAAACATCTGAAGAATGTACCTTGTGTTCACAAAAGTACATTGATCAGAAGAAGGCTATTGTAGCAATACTAAGGAAACGATATAAGTTGTTTGATAAAGTTAGTATCACTCACTCAATCAATCATGATCACATACTCACTCACTGACTCGTCCAATCAATCAATCAAAGACTGTACTGAATACATTCCAGTATATTGATGATCATGACGATACAACTCAAGTTGGAGAGAGACTAAACTTGGTCAAAGTGCTCACAATAGTTGGACTGCTATTCCCTTCCTTTGTGACTAGGAACAATACATTGGACCAAAGAGCATTCTTTAGAGTACTGTATCTCTTTCCTCATTATGATTATGTTGTTGAACATGGAGATCAATCATCGACATCATCACATGCTCCATTCATTCTGAGGCATGACACTACAACCAAGTTACCAGACGATCACTCCAATGTGCCACCAATCAACATCGATGACAATGGTGGCAAGTTACCATTGTACGTCATCAGACATCGAGCAAACTACAAGGAGCATCCAAATCAAAATCAAGATCAAGATCAAGATCAAGATCAAGATACATCATCCAACTCAGAGAACGACGATGAAAGCTCGTGAACACCAGTGGCTTTGCTAGATAGTTGTGTCGCGACACGAGTCTGATCGCTATTTATTCCATTATCATCGACAGCCTTGATCACTTAACCAAGTTAAGTTTAGAAGCAGGTTGTTGTTGTTGTTGTTGTCTCGCAGCATCCAATGATAACTTGAGGAATTGTCCAAACTCTGATCGCCATCCTTCGAATGAATAAACACCCTTTGTAAACTCGCGTAGGTTGGTGTCGGTCGCCAACAGATTGCAAGGTATGTTGAGTTGCTTGGCGTAGCCATCTCTGATCTGTCTGATGTAGTCTCGCTCGGGGTCTGCCTCCTTTCGCTCGTGCAGCACAGGCCAGGACTCGCGCGGTCGCTTCGCCGCCAGCTGTATGCACTCAAACAACGAGTGCGCCATGTATTTGCCATTGGTTATGTACACTGGTGACTGCGCCATCTTGATCAGCTCCTCGCGCGTCGCGGGCACATTGGTGCTGATGGTCTGGATGCAGTCGTCTCGCAGCAAAGTCTTGCGCGGTATATCAAAGGAGTTGGCGTTGCTCTCGCGCCACACACAGACGTCCTGGACAACGGCCAGGTTCAGATTGGGGCTGTCCTTGGGGAAGTCGGTCTTGACCCACAGACGCGTCTTGTCGATGGCGAACGTCTGTGGATCGGACATCAGGCGCATCTCCTCCAGCATCCACTCCCAACGATTCATATTGATCAGGCTGGCGTGCAGCATCTGGTAGGCCGGCAGCAGATAGACCACGTCGCACTTGGCGTAGTGAAGTTGATCCTGGCTGAGCGGGCGCGCCAGCCAGTCTGCGCGCTGGAAGCTCTTGTCAATGTCGTGGTTGAACAGTCGCTTCACCAGGTCCTTGTAGCTGATGGGTCTGTCCTTCAGGCCACAGAACGCTGCGGCCAACTGCGTATCAAACACGTTGACGGGTAGCACCTTGAGCACTCTATACAGCAGGTCGAGGTCACGACGCGCATCGTGGAACACTTTGGCGATGTTACCATTGAGGAATACGTCGCGCAGTGGTGTCAGATCCAACTTGTTGACTATTGGATCTATAACGGCGACATCCTCTATCTGACTAGACGTTGTCACTTGAATCAGGCACAATCTTGGTGCATACGTCGTCGTATGATCAAACTCTGTATCAAAGCCAACTGCCGATGCCAACATCAATCGTGTACAATATTCTGTTAACTCTTTATTTGTTGTTATATACATTGTTGTTGTTATATGTTATGTATGTAAGTACTACTATTACTCTATTACTATGAATACTACTACTTCTGATGCTTGTGCACAGACTGCTGCAACAGATGTAGTTGTTGTTGCTGTTGTTGCTGCGGCTGTTGTTTGTTTGTGCACACAATGCCTGTTTGTCGTTGACTCATAGACGTGTACCTTCTGAGAGTTCTTTGTTGATGTACTAGTAGTAACAGGTAATATAGTTGTGGTCGTTGTAGGCAAGTGGCAACTTCATTAGACAACTCTCAAATTATGTTTGAAATTTTGAAGGTGAGGGCTACTCGCGAGTGGATCAGTCTAGTCGCGTGTGTTGCCATCAAGGTAAGACAAGAGACAAGCATATCATGATGGCAAGTAGTAGTAGAGTATAATGGTTTTTTATTAGGTCATAATAATGGAACGCTGCTCTTACAATACATGGGGGAAGGACGTTGGTATTCCAGGCAATACCCTGTGAGAGAGTTGTTGTTGAGTTGAATGAATGATTGGAGAATTGAAAGTAATGTGTCGACATGAGCAGGTCGGTCCTAATTACTACTACTAACTAATAATGATAATAATAATAATTCATTTAGATTCTCTGCTCCAACAACATGTTGTTGTCGGGTGGGAGACCAACGCAAGCCTTGAATATATTCTCGATGGCGGCTCTCTGCTTGAAAAGGGCGTTGACAACGTTGGCCTTCTCTGGCACCAATGGAGCCTTGAGCAGGTAGCTGAGCAGCGAGAAGACTGGGTGGAAGGTGATGAAGTCCTGGCTGTTCTCTGGGCACAGGGTGATACGGTCGCACATCTCGGCCAGGATGACGAGATCCAGGATGATTGGGGCGGCGAGCAGCGAGTCCTCGCAGGTGTTGTGGATGACGATGGTGTTGTGGCCACCCATGAAGATCTGGGAGGTGTACTCGTCCATGGCACGCTTGGAGTCTCCGACGTATGGCACGTACTTGATAACGATGACGTGGTCTGGGTGCTCACCCTCCTTGTACAGGATGGCATTGGAGGCAATCATGTCGTCGACGACGTTGGACTTGGTGATCTCCTTGGAGCGGAACTGCTGTGGGGCCGACAGGTTCTTGCCGTCGTTGTTACCCAGATGGTTGTAGCTGACGATCGAGGTTGGCTTGATACCAGCGCTGACGAGGAAGTCGGTGAGGACAGACTTGATCTTGGTCTGACCGGTCTTGAAGTCGTCTCCGGCGATAGGGACGTTTCTCTGGATGGCCAAATCGAGGACGCCTGGCACAAAGGTGTTCTGTGGGGAACCGTTGATGTAGATGGTGTTCTCGAGGATCGAGGCGACGGCGAACAGGGTCGATGGGGAGATCTCCTCATCTCCGCGCTCAATGCCAGCCTGCAGGTTGGCCCAGGTGTCGTTGGCGCCTGGGACGATTGAAGAGAAACGCTCGGTGTTGGCACTCCACAAAACGATGACCTTGTCGAGCTGGTTGGTCTGCTTGAACTCACGGATGTCGCGACGGATCTGCTCCATCTGCTCCTTCTTGGTGCCGGTCAACACGTTGTTGGCACGGTCCTTCTGGTTGGCGGCAATGAAGTCTGGGAAGTAGATCGATGGCAATGGGCGGATCTCCTTCATGTGTGGCACCAGCTGTCTCTGGAGGTCGTGCTCGAGAACCTGGGCTCTCTCCATGGCCTCAGCGAGGTCAGCGCCGTTGATGTCCCAACCGCCAAAGACAATGTCGTTGGGGTGCACCATTGGCAACAGTGACTTGAGTGGAACGTATGAGTCTCTTCCCTCAGCATCAGTTCCGAGCTTAATGGTCGAGGCCATAATAACAGATCCATAGTAGTTTGGCTTCTGAAGTCCAGTCTTTGTTCTCCAGCACAATCCCCTAATTAAGTTGATTGATTGTATTGTATGAGTGTCTGTGTCGACTTGAGTAGTCTGCTCCAAGTAGTACTATTACTTACTCTCTGTTGGCAATGACACCAGCAACGACGGTGGTACCGTTGTTACCACCGAGACCAACGATCATACATCCGAGCTTGGGGACCTTGCGCTGGGTCTTGAAGGTGTAGTTCTGGTTGAGTGGCTCAACGATCAACTCTCCCTCGACAACCTTGGTAGTGGAAGTGTTGTAGGTATAGTTTGAAATGATCTCCTCCTCAGTGTATTTAACATGAGTGCTGTTGACCTTGAAAGAATCGTACATGCGAGCTGACATCTTTTAATTGTCTGTATGTGTATATATATATAATAAATATATTATAAGTTATAACTTATTATTATTATTATCTGTTTGATTTGAATGAATTAGATTGATTGATTGGTTGTTGAAGACAATGAATAAGTATTATGATTAGCCGTCTGTCTTCGCTTGGGCGTCTAAGTGAGTGAATTGAGTTGAGTGTGTGGGTGAGTGAGTGAGTGAGATAAGTTGTGTCGAGGAGACAAGACAGGGACTTTGGACTGTCGTCAGCACAAGTGTCGTGGTAGTTGCAAGAGTGCATCATACTCACTGTATTTGATTTTTTTAAAGTGTTTGTGGGGATGGTTGGTGTCGGGTCCATTTGGGACCTCGATGTTGGAAGGAGTGATAAATACCCTAAAGTGGCGAGCAACACCACAGTGTTTTGTGTGTGAGCGATCAGTTGAGTTGATGGAGGGATGGTCCTATTTGATACTACCCCTCTATCTTCAAATTGCCCTGCCCTTGTGCAAATTATTGTTTGAAACAAAAAAACAGATATCTATTTTACAAATTTCTTTTTAAATTGTTTTCAACGACTCATCAGCTGAATATCTTATGTTTCCAACCTGTGGAACTTCCACTATTTCGTTTCAATCACATCACGATGTTGACTTCGTTATTCTTTGTTCGTGATCATTAGCACAAATAAAGGATTGGCACAAGTCTAGCATGAACATGACCAAATAGAGGCAGCACATAGAATGTCAATCATATTCCAGCATCATCCATATCAATCAAACATTACATTCAAACAATCATACATTCAATCAAATCAATCAATCAATCAACATGTTGTCACACGAAGGCCTTACCACATTCGAGTGTGTATTTGAGCAAGACCTTGATGAATGAAACAGGTGTGGAGTGTATTGCCTGAATTATGATTGACTGGGGTTGTTCAACACAAGGGCACTACCAAACACAATGACACCCTTCAGAATGTAAAACTTTACATTGTTGTTGGCAACAACAATGATTGAACGAAGCGCAACAGGGGGTCAGAGTTTAGAGGCCATGGCGAGAGGTATATCCAGAGGCCTCAACCACAGTACGATGGTAATTAAACGTAAAGACTATTCTACTAACGAAGTTAGTCACCATGGCAATAGTTTGCCGGAAATGACATGGAGAATGACTGCAGTGACGAGTGATTGGGGTGCCAACTATACCTTTGGCGCTTTAAACATAACATACATCTGATGATTGATTGATTGATTGATTGATGTTTGGGGAAATCGATTGACACATCTTCAGACATTTAAGTTAACAAACACCTTCTTGCCCATGGTACTTTCCATTCCTGGCGCGGGTTCACTACCTATTTAATGATGACTTCCGGAAGTCATTATTCATCAATCAATCAATCAAACAAACAATCAATCAATTATCCAAATAATAATACAATATTTCCCTAACGAACAATACAATGAACTCCAAGATTATTAATATTGCCATTCTTTTGGTCATTTTCAGCGCTGTCCTGGTGCACTCTGCCAACCTTAATGCCTACCCATTCGATCTGACCCAAACCAAGACTGCTACATGGTCCGATGGAACAAACAATGTGTTCTCAACCTTTGATTGCCATCTTATTAACTTATCTGGAAACACAGTGACTCTGACCTCGATTACTGCCAACAGTGCACCAGTGTCAGTTTGGGGAGCCCTGTCACCATCCGAGACCACCACCTTTGCCGTCCAGGAGTGGGCTTCATCCATCAGTCCCAACGGTACCGTTAGCTTTGGATACCTTGTCCAGTCCTCCAACGCCATTTCATGGACCTACTCTTCATCCGCATAACCAACAATATACCAAATATTGTTGTACAACTAGTCTAACTTTAACAAATAATTCTTAATTGAATAAACCATTTTAATAGTGTCTATGTATAAGTGATGGAGTGAGTGAGTGAGTGATTGATTGATTGATCGATCGAAAGCATATATGGACCCAGATGGCCCACACACAACACCCACAAGCCTCTTCTGATCAATTTTATCTGTTTGATTGACACTCGCCCACCTCACACATATCTAACAAACTTGATCGAAGTTAGTGTGTTTGATTGAGTGTTGTTTACTCTTTGGTAATGATGAGATATATAGTGGTTTAACATGTCAATCAACAATGACATTGAGTAGCATCTGTGATGAAAGAGGCCTCTCTTGGCCTATGACATTCATAAATGATCAATTGAGTAAACACATATTCGCACAGGTGTAATGACTAATGACGAACATTGAATTAAAGTATCTCTTGGTATCTATACAGATATACATACTCCCAAGTAATTAATTATTAATGGCTAATGATATGGTAGTATATAGGCTGTTCCTATGACAACCTTTGATTGACATCTGTCAATCATACTTTAAACCTGTTTAATCCTTTTAAGGTCCAGAAGACCAAGAAGTTGTCTATAAATTGGATCAAGAAAAGTACATTATTAGTATCAAATCAACATCAACAATTAAACAAATATCTAAAGCAATACTTATTCTAATCCTAAATAATTAATTACCTTTATACCATACTCAATATTTCCAAAATGAACACCAAGATTATTATTTCCTTGTTCCTCATCTTTAGTGCCTCCGTTGCCTTGAGCGCCAGCTTGAACTCCTACCCATTCAGTCTGACCCAGGACAAGACTGCCACTTGGACCGATGGTGATGGAAATGTCTTCTCAACATTCGACTGCCACTTGATCAATTTGTCAGAGCAGACTGTCACACTCACCGAGGTCATCGCCAACCGTGCACCAGTTGCAGTCTGGGGCGCTCTCTCCTACTCCGAGTCCAAGAAGTTCGGTCTCCAATCATGGGCTCAACAGATCCAACCAAACCAAACCATCAACTTTGGTTACCTTGTCGAGTGTGCCAACCCAATTAGCTGGAGCTACTGTGTTCCAAACGCTGAGGCACCAGCCTCCAAGAAGTAATCATTCAAATCACATACATAGATTAGATTAGATTATCTCTAGTTCTAGTGTAATACTATTATATTAGCATGTTCAACAATAAACATAACATTACTTACTTTACTTATCTGATTGATGCTGAGAGTGTGACAGGCCATCAATTTGATCATCTTGGCTCACTTTGACAAGTTCTCACTCTTCAAAGACCTCAACACACCATCAAATCATTGATTAACATTACTTCACACGAACAGACACGCACGACAAAGAGATAGAAGTGTGATACAGAGGCACTGACAGATATATAGAGAGAGACACTGTCACACTTACTTGTATAAACAATAACAACAACAACATCAATCTTCAAATGAAGATTTACAAGGACTTTAAGTTCTACTTTAGCTCGGATATAGGTGTAAAGTACAAGATAAAGATGTATGTTATTACAATGTACACATCATCAACTAAGAACTACAACGTTAACATACGTACACATCTAAAGATGTTCACTAAAGGGCAAGCGACATAAGGAGAATGCACCAGAGACTGTAATGAAATGGATTGATGATCCTTATCTCAAGAACTCATCATTGTACAAAGAGTAACACAACATAACACAGTTATAACAACAAGATAAGATAAACTAACAAATGATGTATTACTTTGTACATTATATAGTAAGACATTGGATCTATATATCACTTGTACATTATATAGCGATGGCAAACCATTATGCTCACCAGAACAGACTATGTTCTTCTTGTTCACACCAGGCGAGAATAGATGGGACGAGACAATGACGATGCCCATCAAGCATAAGGACCTACCCTTTGACACATTGATGGTGTTCACCATATGGGATATATATGCACCAAATAAGAAGGTGCCAATCGGTGGCACTTCATTCTCAGTGTTTAGCAGGAGTCGTATCGAGCGCAGAGGCAAACACAAGTTGCTGGTCTGGCAAGACGTCGAGGGCAATGGAGACAACCCATCAACTACACCAGGCAAGATTCAAGGCAAGGATGAAGTGTATCGTTTGGAGAAGGTAGGTACTACTTTATTACACATGCTTACCATGCAGGAGTGTATCTGACATCATCGCACAATCACAGTTGTTGAAGAAGTATGATCGCAACTTGGTGCCACACAATGATTGGTTGGACAGCTATGCATTGAAGGAGATTGAGAAGATCAGTAGGAGTGGCGAGCAATTGAACAAGGACACGTTGTACCTGACGATTGAGCTGCCAGAGCTGGAGCTGCCCATCTTATTCAAACAACAGGCATGCCAACTTTACAAGCCCATCACGACACAGAAGAGGAGTTTGGTGCTGATCAACGACGTCGAGATGAACGATCATCCATGTGAGCAGAAGTACTATCGTCTCAACTCTTACGACAAGGATGACAAGGATCACAAGGACCTCAAGCCCAACCAATTGGAGTTCAAGAGCCTCACTGTAAGTCTTAGACGCTCACGCATCCGAAGCGTGTGTGGACTAACACCTCCACCATCATCATAACAACAACAACAGAAACTACTCAAGACACCTCCCAACACTCAATTCGCTCCAAAGGACTCATTCCTCATCTGGAAGTTCCGCTACCATCTATCCAATAACAAGAAAGCATTGACCAAGTTCTTGCGATGTGTCGAATGGAATGAAGCACACCAGAGGAGTGAGGCCCTCTCTATCCTGCCCAAGTGGGACCCGATTGACGTTGCCGACGCCCTCGAGCTGCTGTCATCGACCTTCTCACACAAGAATACACTCAACGTGCGCAAGTATGCAGTGGACATCCTGCGCAAGGCCGTGGACGAGGAGCTGCTCTACTACCTGCTGCAGCTGGTGCAGGCCACCAAGTACGAGCCAGTCAACTTTGCCGAGTCGCCACTCATCTCATTCCTGATGGAGAAGGCTGCCAAGAGCTTTGTCTTTGCCAACTACCTCTACTGGTATCTCACTGTGGACTCTGTACTCAAGAAGAGCTTCTTCTGTCAGCACTACGTGACACTGGGTGATGAGCTTCAGCGCCATCTGCCATCAACCGATCGCAACACACTGACACGCCAGGCACATTTTGTTCGCCGTCTCTCCGAGCTGTCCGCCGAGCTCAAGGCCATGCCAGGCTCTTTAGCGAAAAAAAAAGACAAGCTCAAGTCGATGCTGACAGACGGTGACTACAAGGACCTGTCTGACTTCCCGCCCCTGATTCTCCCGCTTAACCCCAACATCGAGGTGATGGGTATCATCCCCGAGAAGTCCATCATCTTCAAGAGCGCCAAGCAGCCATTGGGCCTCCGTCTGCGCACCAAACACGGTCCAGACTATGGTATCATCTTCAAGACGGGCGATGACCTGCGTCAGGACCAGCTCATCATCCAGATGATCAGTCTCATGGACCGTTTGCTAAAGAAGGAGAACCTGGACCTCAAGCTCACGCCCTACAATGTGCTGGCCACCGCTGAGGAGGATGGTATCGTCGAGTTGGTGTCGCCCTCCGAGGCCATGGCAGCAGTGATTGGCGAATATGGTGGCGAGATCCTCAAGTACTTCAAGAGCCATCATCCAGACCCAGAAGCGCCACTTGGTGTCGCGCCAGAGGTACTCGAGACCTTTGTAAAGAGTTGTGCAGGATACTGTGTGATCACCTATATACTTGGCATTGGCGATCGTCATTTGGACAACCTGTTGCTGACGCCCAACGGCAACCTCTTCCACATCGACTTTGGCTACATCCTGGGCAAGGACCCCAAGATCTTCCCGCCACCCATGAAGCTGTGCAAGGAGATGGTCATTGGCATGGGTGGCGAGGGCAGCAAGCAGTACGAGAAGTTCAAACAGTACTGCTGCGAAGCATATCTCATTCTGCGCAAGTCTTCACATCTCATTATCAATCTGTTTGCGCTGATGATCGATGCCAACATTCCAACGATCAGTGAGGAGCGCGAGAAGAGTATACTCAAGGTGCAGGAGAAGCTGCAACTGGAGCTGACGGACCAGGAGGCCTCCAACTCGTTGCTGCAGCTACTCAACGATTCGGTCAGTGCTCTGTTCCCCGTTGTCGTTGAGATCGTTCACAAATGGTCGCAGTACTGGAGGAACTAAGTCTCTATGTTTTCCATTTATAAAGCCATCCATACCATACCATGTCATGTGCATGGTGTCGACGATGATTGTTGTATTCTTATCACTTGCCATCTCCACTGTCGTCCATCTTCCAACTTCCATCTTCCATTCTCCAATTTTCCCAAGTAGACTCGTTTTGAGTGAAGGCAAGGGTTGGGTCGCGACTCAAGTTCACATTCGTTCCAATTCAATCTAATTATTACTTGTAATCATATACATATACATACATACATAGATAATGAGCCAAATACCAGACTATCTTAAGAAGTACTTGGCATCAGGTTCACAGGATGTGAGTGGCAATGGTGGCAGCTCATCTTCGTCAAAGACAAAGAAGAAGAAGAAGTCAAGTCGTACATCATCATCGACGACAACAACGAGGCGTTCAATTATAAGTGATATGGATGATCAAGAGTCTGTAGAGTTCAATAGTAATAGGTCATCACTGCGGATTAACAAGCAACGAAATGATGATGATGAAGTAGAGGATGACGCACAAGATATAGATGACGAAGATGGTAGGTATGACAATGAATGAATGTACGCATGAATGAATCAAGGAAGTGTCTAACTCGATCAATCAATCATGTAACAGATGAGTTTAAACCAGTGATTGTAAATAGAGATCAGTTCGATGACCTTGACCTTGCCAAGCTAAAGTCAAAGACGAAGCCAAAGATGAAGGAGGAGGACAAGGGTACATGGGTCACAATAGAGCCAAATGATAATGTACAACAAAAGCAACAGCAGCAACAACAGCAACAGAAGAAACAAGACATGTCTCCACCAAGAAGAAGGAGTGAAGTAGTTGATCAATCTCCTCCAAGACGTGGAAGAGATAATGGCAATGGTAGTGGAGATCAATCACCACCTAGACGAGGAGGAAGGAACATAGAGGACCAATCTCCACCAAGGAGGAGGCAACAACAGGACACGGACATGTCACCGCCACGACGAGGCAGGCCCACAGACCAGCCACCACCCAGACGCAGTAGCGATGTATCACCGCCACGACGAAACAACAGGAGTGCAGTCGATACAGACATGTCTCCACCAAGGAGGGGAAGGTCCGCTGTCGATCAATCCCCTCCAAGACTGAGTCATGACCAATCACCGCCTCGAAAGAGGCTACGCGACGAAGAGCCCGACCAAACACCGCCAAGAAACAGGGATCAATCACCTCCTCGTTCGAGGAGGGTGCCAAGCGGCGATGATCAATCGCCTCCAAGAACATCAACAACAACGACCACGACGAACAACACAGATACACACAACAACAATGGCGGCAACCCGGCAGCCAACATGAAGATGAAGATGTCTTTTGGAGCCGATGCAGGATTGCACAGCGGCAAGACGATCAAGGAGCAGACATTGAAGAGGATTGAGGAGCAGAAGGAGTTGTTCAAGAAGGCTGACCAGACACTGTTGGGCAAGGATGCACAGACAGTCTACAGAGACAAGAGGGGCAAGAAACTAGACTCGCTCAACACATTCATGAAGCAGCAACAGGGTGAGAAGACGGCCGACGTCGAGCAGGACATGGAGTGGGGCGTGGGCAAGGTGCAGCGCGAACAGGCTGAAGAGCAGCGACGGCGGCTCGAGGAGGAGAAGGAGAAGCCCTTCTCAAGGTATGCCGACGATGACTACCTCAACGATGTACAGAAGGAAAGAGAGATATGGGGCGATCCAATGGCAGGCATGTCGTCGTCCAAGAAGAAGAAGAGCAAGAGCAAGAGCAAGAGCAAGTCGTCCAAAGATGAGAAACCAAAGTATAGTGGACCGGCTGCACCACCCAATCGATACAACATCCAACCAGGACATCGTTGGGATGGCGTCGACCGTAGCAATGGATTCGAGAAAGAGTACTTCAAGAGCAAGAACCGTGTGGCTGCCACCAAAGATGCTGCATATCTCTGGAGTGTCGAAGACATGTAGTTCATTCGTATTACATAAATAAAACATCTGACAGGACATCAATGTTACCGCGAAACACTCGATCAATCAATCTACTCTGGCACACACACACCATACAATCAATCAATCACATTCGGTCAGTCACTCACTTACTTATGTGATTGCATCTGATTCAACACACTAGCACACATTGATACAGATACATCATACCCCCCTCATCAATCTCTCCCAGTATTGTGAGACATTGTTCTATTCTCCCTCCATTTTTGAACTCGTTCGAAACAAACGAACAAATTAAATTTGAATTCGTTGAGCTTCATCCAACAACACTCTCAACTCTCACACACTCTTCCAACAACAACACTCTTTCACTCACACTCATACGTTAATTCCAAACTTCAACGTATATTCAAACATACAAACATACATTATTGTTATAACAAACAAACCTTAACGGTGAAACAAACAAACATATACATAATAACTTGTAATTTATTAATCAAATAATTATCAATATATACATATACTCATAATAATGGGAAAATGGACTGCACAAAGCTATGAGACAGAGTTAATTTCAAAGTTAAGACAGATAATTGAGGATATCAACGAGAGAAAGAATAAAGATGTATGTTATTAATGAATCAAAGAATGAATGAATGAATGAATGTAAGTTACTAACGATGTATTGTTATTAATATAGGGAGATACACATTATACTTTTGAAGAGTTTGTAGAGAACTTGGATGTGAAGAGCAAGAATACTAGACATTTCATTGAGGATTTACTTAGAGAGACTTGTGGATCAAGGAGAAGTAGAGGTGGAGAGTATTATGGCATTCCATTGAACTTCCAGACAACAACATCGACATCTGGACAATCATCTTCATCCTCCTCTACGTCATCGTCAGGACAATCGTCTTCATCCTCTTCACGTGGGCATCAATGGTATCCCAATCGTTACCTGATCACACAGTCTCAGCTGCCTCGAACATATCTTCAAATGCAACAATTACAACAACAACAACAGTTGCTACCTACACAACCACAGACACAGGCACAGACACAAGCTCAGTCCCAGTCACTGGCACAGCCACTGACACAAACACAAACACATATACCAACAACACTTCATCAACATATATTACAACATCAACAGGCTCAAGAGGCATTGAATAGGGCATCGGTGAATACCGACCGAATCACAAGCGAGCTCAACAACAGAGTTCAGAACCTTCATTCAACAATGGCCTCCACACTCTCGTCATTCAACTCAATGACTCAGGGAACGTCGTCGTCGTCCGCCGCACTGCCATCATCACAGAGCACGGGCATCATCGCCTCAACAATCCCAGCAAGCAACTCTTCATCCTCTTCATCAGCCAATTTCACATTGAGCGCAGTGCCACAGCTCTCGTCTTCATCGTCGCCGTCGTACGCGCCCGACTCACCATCAATCATGTACACATATCCCTTCCATCAGGAGGGCACCGAACCCTCTTTCATCCCTGTATCACCACCCCTGTCATCATCAACTCGCCACATCCGATATATCCCGATCACAAGCGGTCGCGCCTTTTCCAATGTCTCATTGATCAACTCGCCTCCATCGTCTCCACCACAGTCAAGTCACATCTCTTTGCAATCAACTCAACTCATCTCATCACCAAGCAACAGCATCAACTAAGTTTGATCCACTGTATTACTGGTACCATGGACAACAATCAATCATTTAATCAGTTGTCAACCACAATCTTCACTCCAATCATCATCTTCTTTGGCATTGTTCATATATATTTATATATAATTATACATTTATCAATCATGGTCATACATTATCAAATAGGTGGAGCACTTGCCCATTGCTAGCTGACCGACCAATCAATCAATCATTCAATGCCGTCCACTCTACTCAGTTATTCCTTGTGTTGTTGGCTACCTTGTATAATGCCATCAGCAAGTTATTGATGTGGATGCTAATGGACATCAGCAAATGGTCCATTAGGAGGCACAAACAAACAGATAGAAGACATGACATTATGGTCATCATTATTATACATAATCATAAATATCTATGTAGGAATAAACTTTGCTTCTTCCAACACGGTTGGAACAGTCTACAGTTACTGATAAAATAGAACCAAGTCTCTGGTATTACAATACAATACTATACAGGGAGGGGATGAGTTTATTGAGCAATCACAAGTGTCGTTGCCATTGGTTCTGGCTCGTTGGCATGTTCCTTCTTTGATTGAGGCGTCCTCTTCAGTGTGAATATGTTCTTGATGTTCTTTAGCAACTTCTTGGCCTTCTCCTTGGTCAATGCCTTGGTAGGTCTGCCATTGCTGGAGCGTGGCGCATCCAGTGGTTCAAAGGAGTTGACTTGTGACGACATGGATCGTTCATATGGGCGTGCCTCGGGCTCGCCAAAGGTTGGCGAAGTGATGGACTTCTTGAGTTGTGGAATCTGGGGCACAGACCTTGTGCCTTGCTGATTGACCCTGGTTGGAGAGACTAGAGAGGGGACAGATATTGATGGCCGAGCGGTTGGGTTGGATGACATCCTGTTGAACTCTGGCAACATGTCTGGCAATGGAGTCACGGGCACCGGGGAAGAATTGAACTGCTCGCTGGGAGTCTTCCTTCGTTGGCAAGTTGAGATATCTGTGGTGGTGCTGGTGTTGACACTGTGATTGTAGCTCGTGTTGGACATCTGTACGTTGGGATAGGAGTTGTTGGTCCAGAATGACTTCTTGTCCTCGATGGACTTGATGTGTGGAAGATTGGTGTTTTTGTGGCCACCTCTGTTCTTCAATCTGTTCTGGGTCCATGGTGATGGCGGTTTGACCTGCTCAAACAAAGAGGATGCTGATGGAGTCTTGGAGATTGGGGATGGCGGTGCTAACCTGGTGGTAGAGTTTGGCGATGGAGTGTTCTTCTGCTTGATCGTGGCGGATAACTTTGACCTGGATTGCTGCCTGCTCACCTTGATGGTGGTCGGTGCTGAAGATGGAGTAGTGGAGGCTGGGGCACTGGGCTTGACCACCTCGATGGTTGGGAGGGGGAACTCGAGACCTCCGGATTGCCTGAAGAGTCGCTCCTTGATGTTCTTGATATTGCTACCCTGGTCTGATGGAGCCTGCAAGTCCTCCACCTCGAATGGAGTCTGAGAGAGCTGTTGCTTAAACTTGAATGAGTTGGTTGGAGATGCGCTAAGATCGCTCAACTTCTTCAAGTCCTTCAGTGGGGCTGAAACAGGGTCCTTCCTGGCCTTGCCCAATGAGCCAGGTGGCGCTGAGCTCCTCAGATCGGCCATGTGTACCTTGTCCTTCAGCTCAGACTTGAAGTTCTTCAAATCATTGCTACTCTTTGACACTGGCTTGTCCTTGTTCTTAATCTTGCTGAACAGATTGAACTTGGACTCGTTCTCTCCACCATTGGGCTTGTCAGCCACCGACTTCTTGTTCTTGGACGTGTTGACAGTTGGATGTCTCCTGATCGTTTTGGTCATTGCAGACTTGTTGGCCATGGCCGTCTCTCTCTGGTTGTCACGATGCGCCTTGTTCAGATTGGTGAAGAAGTTGTTCAACAGGGAGAAGAACTCCTCGGGCGCCTGGTACTCCTCGAGGTAATACTTCATCAAGTTATCGAACGACTCCTCCACCTTCTTGGTGTACTTTACAACGTCCTCAAGCTGCGTCTGCTTGGCAATGATGAAGTTCTTCATCTTGGACGTGAATGGATCGACTCCATATTGGACCAGTTGTGACTCAACCTCGTTCTGGACTGATGCCATGCCCTGCTTCAAGGATTCAATATGACCAAGCAGCTCCTTCCATTGCACTCTGCTGGCTGGCTCCAAAGATGGTATTGACTCTGAGGTGATCAAAAGGTTTGGATGCTTATCAGAGATAATCTGTGCAATATGATGTAACAATGTTGTCTTGTTGTTGAATGACTTGGTAGTGGAAAGCTGGATTGATTGAATGTTAGTAATATGGAATGGTCTTGGGGAGTATGCGTTCGTGTACGTACAGTCAGGAGACAACTCAGTTTGTATCCATCAGCATTTCCTCTGTTTGTTCCAGTGTTGAGATAATTGCCAATCTTTAGAATGAGGTGAAGCAGTTGTCTGAGTGGCGAACACTTGAGCAGGGCCAAACTGGTGGTCTCAATGTACTTTGACCCAATCATAACATCATCGATAACTGAGTCATACTGTTGCTTGAACTGGAGGCAGTTCAGTCTCTCTCTAATCTTTGGCACCTTGAGAGTCTATGTGTTTCCAAGTTAGTAAGTTGTTTGATCGATTTAGTGATTGATTGAATGTGAACATACCTCAAGCAGGAATTGATCGACTGGGGAGATCATGTTCTTGTTGCCTTGATAGTTCTTGAGCAGTCCCTCTTCCTCGCTGGTTGGCACACACTTGACCAATACCAAGACAATCTCCTTGCTGAGTTGCTTCTCGTCCATCGATAACATGGTGTCCACAATCCAGTTTGATGTGATCTTGTACTTTGATATTAGGATACCAATGTTGTTCGAGCGTCTTATGTCCACGATCGATATCTTCTCCTCCTTCATATTGAGCTGCGAGCCATTCTTTGATATCATCTTCTTGCAACTGAACAACTCGTCCAACTTTGACTTGCTAAAGTCGATGTGCTTGGCCTCATCACACTTGTCCCAGACAGTCTTCTTGACCTTGGAGGAAGGGATCTTGGACCAGAACAACTGCTTCATCTGGACGTTGGAAGGAAGTTTCTCTTTGTTGGCACCCTTGGCGTCTGTGCCGGGAGGAGGTGGAGGTGGCGGGGCCATGGGAGGGGGAGGTGGGGGTGGCGGAGAAGGGGAGAATGATGGCGAACTGCAGAATGAGTTCTCTTGCGATGACATTGATGATGTTGTTGGCTTGGGACTCGAGTTGATGCTCTCCTCTTGCAATGAAGTGATGGTACGCCTCAGACGGCTCATCGACTTGTCATAGTTGACTGGGTCAGTGGCGTTGAGGTGCATAGATGACAATGACTTGGTGAACTGTGCCAACACCTTTAGCATCTCACTGCGGTCCACTGCCACTGGCTGTGAGGCACCATTTGGACTACTTCCATTGCTATTACTTGATACAGCGGCGTTGTCTGGGAATGAGATAGTGAACAACTCTCTCAAAATTGACGTTAAGCTATCATCCAACTTTTCTTCCTTCAATTGGTTGTGGACTGCAATACATAATGATACAGGATCGCTGGAAAAATAATTGATTGAGTGATCAAAATGTTAGTATGGCTGACTTTGAGGTGGTATGATGACGGGATGAATGAACATACTTTAGGTTGATCGATTTGAACCAGAGGTCATGACTCTTGCCAAAGTGCTGGGAGAATGTGTTGAGCTGGTCGTTGAGCTTGGGCGAGTTCTCTTGATGGAGCAACTCGAAAAGTCGCTGGAAGGGGATTTGTAGGAATTCTTGTTTTAGGGATTCCTTGACAGAGTCATTGATGGCACCTTGCAAAGTGGAGTTGATAAAGGACATGCAGCTGACCTTGTACGTGATGTCCGTCTCCTCGACCAAAGACTCCATCAACCATTTGAATCGATGTTTATCACGCCTCAGTATCTGTATTCTCTCCATTGCCTGCAACACATAGTTGTGGCCCTGTTCGGACACCAGACATATATTGGAGCACATTGAGAACAGTGCTGTCTTGAGAGTTGGAGTATGTTTGGGATTGAGTAGCACCAGGAACATGTCACTAAATGTGCTGTTGGGCTCAGAAAGTATGGCCTTCATTCCAATCTGTATGTATGAGAGATTGATTGATTGATTGAGTGAGCTAATATTTTGATTGCAAACTGACAAAATATTTGGCCTCTGTTCTACTACATACATTAAAGTTGATGAGTATCTTGAGGGTGTTAATACATTCGATGTCGATGTCCATCTTGGACTCGGATGACTTGGACGCGTTCTTGTTGTTGACAGAGACCACATCCAGAAGGGCGGATATACCGCCTAGATGGATGAATTGGTTGATCCACGAGTATTGGTCGTTCTTGTTTAGTGATGGGGATGGTCCAGTAGGATTAGCCGTCAGTGGCAGTCCCATAAACTGAAGACGGACCTCAGTTGCCAACAATCTGATGTTGGCCAGTGTTGGCTGGACTTTAAGAAGTTGGATGAATGACTCTGGACGGGAGCCAGACTGGCAGGGGATGCTGTCCATGGCACAACCGTCAACTCCAGAGTATGTGATTGATGATGCCGATTGAGATAGATCAGTGACAATATCATCAGCATCAATTGATTGTTGCTGCTCCAGGTTGTCGATTATCTCCAACTTGTCCTGTACACTGAGGGTCTGGAGCAGACTTCTAAAGACAAATGTTGTGGTGGTGCGATCGGACTGCAGGGAAATCTCGGCGCCGTCCCTTAACAGTGTGGGTTGTCTCCTCTCTATGGGCTGTCTGCTCAAGAGTGTTCCATTGGTGCTGTGATCAGTGATGAAAGCCAACAACTCTGGCGCCAGAGTTGTGTCGTGTTGCTGGGCCAGGCCTAGTGTGATTGAACAGTGCTTGCTAGAGACCAATGCCTCGCTGGGGAATTTGAAGTCGGCGGCGTCTCCCCTGCCCAAGATAGTGCGTGTCATTGTCAAGTCGATGCAGTACTTGCTATTCTCCAGCTTGCCCCATACTGTGAACTTGGGCAAATTGGAAGTTGTCGAGATTGAGTATGGCAAGTTGAATGCTGAGCCACCGATAGCCTGTCCCGACTTATTGAGTTCCATCGTCAAGTTATGCATCTGATCCTCGTCGTCCAGGTCGCAACAACGACTTGAGCTACTACTATGTGGATTATTATTATGGTTGGTGGCATAACTCTGAGCTGAGCGAAGATCATTCAGCACACGCTGATCTTTGATCCTAACAGTATCCATTATATTATGTTGTTTGATGGATTGATTGATTAAATATGGTGTGATGAGATTACAAGCTAGCTAAGAAAGTATACCTATATCTCTAAATTATGGTATGATGATGATGTTCCTTGAGTTGAGGAATGGACTGGAGTGGAGTGGAGTGGACTGGATTGGTGATGGATGGCAAGATCTTACTTGTTGGCTTGTTTGTGTGTGGATATTGGATGTATGAGTGAAGTGGACTGTAATGGAGTGGACTGGAGTGGACTGGACTGATCAACTTCTCGTCACCACTTCTTCCTCCCTCCTCTTCCTCCACCTTCCACCATGCGGCTGCTGCAGTTGGATTTGAATTTTAAATCCAGACCCTGCCTGCTTGACTGACTGACCGGATGCCTGTCTGAGTGAATGATGATGCACTGTCCACTACCACCATCACTACCATCACCATCACCACTACTACCACCACTACCACCACTACTACTACTATCACTACCACCGCCACTCGCCATCCACTCAACAGCTGGATTCCAACTTGTGTGAGATGAGTGTGGCGAGGTGATTGAACATGAGAGTGTGGAAGCCAGATGTCATGTGATTGTCAAGAGAAGCAACAGCGGCAACAGGAAGGGTGATGGTGGTGCAGATTATTACTAATGGGCATCAACTAGGAATATGTCTTGTATGTATGGCGGAGAACCAACCCTCTCACTGTCCAATCACTGGCCAACACTTAAGTGCTCTCTACAAGCATTGTCCATTCAATCCATTCATTCATTCATATAGTGCATATATGTATGTGTGTGTAGGGGTTGGATGAACGACATCAGCTGATTGCTCGAGCGGGATATATGTTTGAGTGTTAGTGTGTGCGATGTGTGAAGTGAGTAGATGGGGGGTGATCAGCTGATTGAGTGAGTGCACTCAGTGATCACACATATATATAATCAAACAGAGATACATACCACTGCTAACTACAACATTGGAAACGGATGATATAATATGACAGAGAGTGATGAATTACTATATAAGTTGATTAACTATAAGTTGAGTGAGTGAGAGTTGAGTTGAGTTGAGTTGAGTTGATGGACTTACCTCAGCTCAGTCAGGGGATCGATCAAATGGACAGACACTACTAGATAGAGATGATGAATGGGAAATTAACTTGACAGACTACTCTTTGGTACTGGCATCGCAGTCACACTTCCATCCAAACACCACGGTACCTCTATATCTCTATCTCTTCACTCTCTCAATCTCTCTATCTCTTGATTAATTGCCAATTAACTTAAAAGATGCAATCGACATTGATCAACATTTGTAGTCTATTACAACTAAAACGTTGGGTTGGGTTGGTTGGATTAGAGGTAGAGGTAGAGGTAGTGTATGTAGAGGGGTTGGTAAGGGTAAATGGTAGTCGATCTTGGCGAACTGTCACTACTACTACTGTCTGTGCATACTTCCCTTAATCCATAAGGCACTACTACTGCTGCTGCACTCCATCGATGGATCATACAATGATGTTGATGATCAATCAAATAATGAATGAACGAATGAATGAAATGCAATGTGTTGTCCGTTACCATGATAATTGAAACATGTCATGTTATGTACGTCCAGTGGAGACGGACACTTTATTGAAGGTGTCCGGACATATGGCCAATTGAATCGCCGACGCTTTGGATCCGATCGCATTGCACTACCTCGACCAAAAATTAATCAATGATTGATCGATTGATCGAATGAATGAATGCCCTGCCGGCAGACAGTCCGGACATTTGCATCATGAGCTTGGAATGAGTGAGCGACGAAGATCATTCCCAAAAACTTGAATGAGAGGGTATGAACTGAGTTGATCTTGTTCCATAGAATGTGTGCGAGTCACTAATGATCATTGTGGCCCATCACCAGGGTGCAAAAAGAATGAATGGATTACTTCTTGGGTGCCTCCTGCTTGATGTCCTCATTGAAGTTGGAGAAGTTGTGACCCATGTATCCAGCGATGACCTTGTCTGCATTGCCCTCTGCATCGAGAACACTCTTGCCTGCTCTCTTTTTCCTTCTGGCCTCTTGTTGAGCTCGCTCCTCCATCTCCTCCTCTGTCAACACACGCTCCTTCACCATCCACACCTCTACATAAACGCACTTAAACTCCTTTGAATGAGACAGTGATGGATTACCAAACGTTGAACTCTTTCCATGTCCACTTTCATCATCATCCTCAGACACCTTGCTATGTCCACAATCAAACGTGTCATCGATGACCCAACCAAACAGACTATTGATTGATTGGTTGATTGAAGGGGGGTATTAATACATTGAGGTGGATGAAGCCTTGATTCATTCACACGACTACTCACTGTTGGATGCCACCCATGCCAATACCATTGTATAATGTTGTTGTTCCTTCATTGAGATACTGGAAGTTCCTGTCTATTCCAGATGCCCTGAACACATCGATTGTTGGTTGAAGTCTAAACACAAAGGATCTCTCTGTTTGAGTGAAAGGGTCAGCACCATCCTACCCACTCATGCTAGTACAAGTACTCACCATTGCCGTAGAACTTTGGGAACTTTGTCTTCCAAACCTCATCCGCAAAGCCACCAAACACATGTCCTCCATCATCCTTGATCAATACTATTATATGTTTGATTAGGTTAATGAACGAATGAATCAATCAAACAAGACGAGTACTTACTCAATGTTGAACCCTTTTCAGTTATATGTGAACAAAGACGATTGAAGCTATGACCATTCTTTGTGGAGGAGTAGAGCAATGACCATTCAGTACGATACTCATCAGATGGTAGATTACTTGATAGCTTGGCAATGTTCTCATCGTTCAATAATGTTGAAGGTGCATTCAACTTTGGTGTCCTTGTAGGTATCACTGGTGATTGGATCGATGCTCCTGATGGTGTTGATGTTGCAGAGTTGGGTAAAGACGTTGTTGTCGTTGATTTTGCTGATGTTGATGACGTTGATGTTGTTGGTGGCTGATCATGACCATTGTCCTTGTTAGCAATCTTTGTCTCCTTGTTACCCATAGTGATACAGATATTATTACAATAATTCAACGAATGAAATGAATTGAAATGAAGCCTTAACTTTGGCCTGGGGACTAGATATTGTTGTGGTGAAGTCCAGGGTTAGGGCAAGGGTAAGGGTTAGAGTTAGGGGAACATGATGTTCACTGGCTACAACAACTACATATATAACAACAAAACTATATAACAACACATTAGCAATGGATACTCTATCTTTGATGTTGATAAAGAAGATTGTTACTCATTTGAGTGACAATCTGTTGGACAGTATCATGTTATCATTGGTCTCAAAGAGATTATATAATGATAGAACAAAGTATATTATATTGGATAAGAGTCAATTGCCAATGTACTTTGAGTTGGATAACTTTATCAACAATAATATCAAACCATCTACAACAAGATCAACAGAGTCATATCAACAACTAATCTTGGAGCAGACAAAACATAACAAGCCATTTAATATCGCAGTACTCAACTCTACACAATGTCCGCACGACCGCTACACCTACGACCATATATTCCTCACTCGTAAGTAATGTTATCAATCAATCAATCAATCGTCATCTCACTCAAAATGATCATCAATCACTCAAACATCAGGGCAACTGGCGGCTGATGGACAGATGATCGAGCAAATATTGGCATTGCCAAACATTGGATCAATCACTTTTATTGATAGGAGTGAGACTGTATGCTTCCAATCATCGTTCTGGATAAGTGCCATCCCATTGTTTGAAGGGTTGGTGGCCAAGGGAGTCATTGACGTGTCGTACATATGACGTGGAATCATCTCACCACTTCCACCAATAGTTAGAATTACTACTATTACAATGGCCAAAGGAACTGATAAAGGCAGAATACCTCTGCGCCGCCACACCTTCCCCTCCACCCTAACCGGTCTAACGATATCGTATGGCTACCATGTGAACCCTTTCAACAAGGTATTGCCAGAGGGTCTCAAACGACTGGACCTCAGCTATGCCCAATATCATAATGATAGTGTCATAACTGGTGGACTGCCAAGTACATTGGAAACACTCATACTGACGAGACAACACAGCTCCCATCTTAAGCCTGGCTCACTACCACTTGGCCTCAAGTCGTTGATCATTGAGTCGTCCTACGAGCATGTTTTGGATGACACGATACTGCCTCGATCACTCACTCATCTCAACCTCAAAGGCGGACACACCCAACCACTTGGCAAGCTTCCAGACAGCCTCACTGACCTATCCATCGAACTATTCGGCACTGGCATTATTAGCCACAGACCATTGATCAAACTACTTTTGGAGTCATACCAAACACTCAATCCAGACATTATCTTTGAGCATCTCAAAGACCTTACATTCTTCAAATTGCGCACGAGTGATATCTCCAGCATCACCTCTACAAGATTCCCAAATCTCCGCGATCTAAGTATAGTATTCCCGGACGTCACTGGCAATGGCCTGATAGATCTCTCAGGTCTGCCATCATCAATTAGACGTCTCACATTGTGGGCATTTCATCTTCAATCACCATATGGACCGATTCCAAATGGAGTGGAGGAGGTCAACTTATATGGCGATCATGCATTCGACGCTGGAATCATCCCGACATCAGTAACAAGCCTATTCCTACAAGGTGTATATTTGACGTTGCCTGCCAAAGAAGGTGATGCGGTACCCTGGACAATTCCACCATCAGTTCGCAAGCTTCAGATCCATTTCTCACCGACGCCAGCCATCCACTTCTTGCCCTTGTTGCCCATGACCATTCAAGTAGTCGGACTAACTATCGATCCTAAAAAAGGATCTGAACAACTTAGAAGGATATCAGAGACAGTGTTCTTCATCATGATGCCAAGCCTGATGGACAGTGGATTCATCGATGTCACAACAGCCAAGTTCACCAAAGTGCTTAAAGCTGTCTCATAAACAAAGATGCTGTTGATGTTGGTGTCTTGAATTACTACATGGGTGGGGTGAGGGCCAGGGTAAGGGCAAGGTAAGGGTTAGGGTTAGGGGAACATGACAGTCTGTTGGACTGTATTATCTACTTGGTTTGGTGTTGTCGTTGATGTAGTTATCCAACTTTTATATATAGGAGTGAGACTGTCAGCTCCCATCTGAAGCCCTGACTCACTACCACTTGGTCTCAAGTTGTTGACCATTGAATCGTCGTGTCCAGCCCTAGTCAGAGTAACTGTTGTCGGTGTTGAGGTGTGAGAAAGAATGAGAGTCAATCTCCAAGTTCACCAAGGTTATTTCTTAAACAAAGATTACTTTTCCAAATTTGGAAGTGCTGTTGTATCCCTTGCCTCAAATTATCTAATTCATCATTCATTCATTTCATTGTACAATCAAACATATACATATAATATATATACATACAGAGATAGGAATGGAGAATGACCTCAATAGGAATAGAAGTATTGTACATATACTTTGGACGACATCTCAACATATGGTGGCATGTGGAGAGATAACCAATGCGGTTAGATGTTTATGTGCATTACTTGGTGAATCACATGCCACAATGAACAACAATCAATCAATCAATGGCGGCGATGGTGCCGGCGGTGTTAGATCATTGGTCGATGCATTTGTCAATGTCAGCAACAACAATAACAACAACAACAGCATTATAACTCAAACAGTTGTACTATCAAATATTGAAGAGGCCATTACTCGTGTTCGTCTCTCAGAACTACTGCTTCAATATACATTCAATCATCACGAGGCCAGGTATCACTTGGAGAAGGCTGTGAGTGTCCCTCGAGTCGCAAATGTACAATCACGTGACTCAATGACTAACTCTCTCTTGATCATGCACTACACAGAGGTTACTTCTCGACACAGACTCAACAGAGGACTCACTTGAGCTACTCTGCAAGATATCATCATACTTGACTGACTTCTTCATCAGTGGCAATGCAATCAACTTGTCAAAGCAGTGGATAAAGAAAGGTCTTACATATTCTTCATCGTAAGTCACGTGATTGATTGATTGATTACTCATTGCTACTCACACCTTTGATCAATGTATAGAATGAACAATCAGAGATGGAAACTATACTTCTTGATCAAGAACACTTATGTACTCTTCATTGAGAATCAACCAAAGTTGATACATAGCACATTGGATCAAGCTTTAAAGATGGTCACTGATTCAAATGATGACTTTAGTCATGTAAGCCCTCACTCGTCCATTCACTGCGATGGCAACACATACTGACTAATCATTCAACTTCATGTAGTCACTTGTAAAGTTGATCAAGACTCACTATTCATTGATGTACTGGGATTATACATCAGTCGCAACACATCTGACTGAGGTGAGCGCAATGATCAAACTGATGGGCGATCAACTCGAAAGATATAAGTCACAATCAATCAATCTCAGTGTCAATGGCAATGGCAATAGCAACATCAATGGCAATGTCAATGTAAATTCAATTCAATATCCACAATTCTTCCAACAAATATTCAACTCCTCCAAGTCCAATCAAACAAAGAGAATGGACCTAATGATTCGCGATGTCGTTATATCTTTCGAACAGGTATGCACTTTCTCAACGATGTAGTGTAGATACTACTTCACTCAACTGACGCTCCATCCATCCATCCAGCTTCGATTATATTATTGCTTTATCAATGTTAGCTTCTTGATGAGAGTTGGCGACTACAAACAAACTGGCACACTGCTCGAGCAGATGCAAGTGTACTTCACCAATCTAGTCGACATGATATCGGTGGACGTCTCAGCACCACTGCCCATCTTTAGCTTTGGTCATCATGGCATCAAGTACATGTCAGTCGTGTGTTATCTAATGTTTGCCATCCATGCCAGAATGATTGGCGAGCTCCAAAAGTCGTTGTGTTGCCTGGCCAACGCACTCAAGTTGATCGACGGCGAGATTGCGATAGTGTACGCTCAGTCACGTGGCGAACTCAACAGTGACAAGATGTCAGAGATCCGATCAATACTGCGGCTCAAGTTTATGGTTCACGAGAACATGTTCTACATTCGCCTGACACACTACGATCTGGACTCATCATTCATTGAGCTCCAGAACTGTGTCTATCTATTTCAAAACCATCCATTACTCTTCACTGACTTTGGTGTCTCGGCAATCCACACTCTTTCCGCTCTTTATCTTCAAGCACTTGGACATCCAGAGCTTTCAAAGCCTCACATTGACATATCACTTCATGTAAGATATAAAGCAACGACATTGCGATGGCAGTCAACCAATCATGCAGGCATTGGAATCATTCCATTCAATCATTCACTCACCTACTCACATTCACTCAATCAATGAATCAAACAGAAAGCCAAACGATTTGATGTACAGATATTGTCAATCATCAGGCTGGCAATTTATAATATTAGCACTGGCGAGATGGAAACTGTATGTTATATCCCGTGGAACACGGTGAATGATCAAACACTCACTCAAACACTCCATCACTCAATCCAGGCCAAAAAGATCATCAGGGATTACTTATCGCAGTTGGAGAATCATCCACAACTGCTGTTCAAGACGACATCATTGTTCCTTGATGGTATTACCCAGGCATCAATATCACCGAATGAGGCCAAGGAGAAGTTCAAAGAGTGTCTAGACATCTTGAACACCAACTTTACACATAGCCAACTGACAACAAACGTTCTAATATCATTGGCCAGATTATATCTTCAGTATCCAAATCACAATCACAGTCACAACAATGACAACAATGAAAATGACAACAACAACAACAACAATACTTCATCACTGGCAGAGTCAGCATTGATGATGGCGACAGTAACAAACGATTTGATATCCCAGTGCAATTGCAATATGATAGTTCGGAGTGGTGGTGGCAGCAGTGCCACTGATGGCAGCAATGGAAACATCCTGGATCATCAGCTATTCGAACGACGCGACGCCACCCTCTCCAAAAGTCTGGAAACACTTGATCAGAAGAAGGCATACTTTAAGATGTTGCTCGATAAAGATCGCTGATATGATCATACAACTGTGTATACATTTGATTGGGTTGTTGGTTGGTTGTTGTGCTGTGTTGTTATTTTATGTTATGTTGTCATTCGCTGTTTCCACTCGCTCGCCAACTACTTCTTCAAGTTGAGCTCGCTAATCCTCTTCTCAAGTGACTCAACATTGTTCTGGATCGTGACCATATTGCCCTTGAATGACTCATCCATCTGGAGGAACAATTGGTTAGTATCAATTCGATGCAAACACATCATCCCATCCATCCACCATCATGCCCCAAGCCATACCTTGTTCATCAGACTGCTGTTGGTCTTCAAGAGTGATGCAATGTTTGATTGCTCCTTCTCAAGTTCGCTCAGATGGCTGGAGAAGGACAGACCCTCCTCGTGGAGGGATCGCAGCGTGTACAGTCTGTTGATGATCGATGGCAACTGTTGTCCAATGACGTCCCAGCGATTCATCAACTCGTAGATGGTGTTGATCTTTGCCTCGTTTGTCGACAGTGACTTGGTGGTTGTCTCGCTCTGGCTCTTCATTGACTCCATCTGCTTCATGGCCACCTTCATCTTTTGTTGCAGTACATCCAACTTGGTAGAATCCAACAGTGACAGCTTATCCTTGATCTCCACCAATGATTGAGTCAATGGGATTGACAACTCCTAACATGTGATGATGATGTCAGCAGACTGCCCATCCACGATACACTTATTCACAACAACTTACGGTCTTGTTTCCAACTTGCGACTCCAAGTTGGCCAGTCTCTTGTCCAGGTCTGTCAGTCTCTGGAGCTGCTGGTACTTGGCTTGGTCGCCAGAGTAGTACAGTTCATATTTTACATGGTTGGGCGAGGATGATGAGCCGCCAGCAGGTTGCTGTTGTGCATTGGCACCAGACTCACCTGCGAATGATCGAAGTCCATTAAGAAGTTGCCTTGATGAATCGGTCTAGTGATAGCAAGGGGGGTCAGGTAAGTGTTCGCTTGCATTGATCATCATTCATTCATTCACTTACACCTCCAAGCAATTGAGAATAATGTAATATCTGTCTGTTCTCATCCAAGATGGGACGAAGCTTGTCATTCTCCAACAACAATCCGAGTTGACTTTGAAGCTCGCCCAATTGTTGGGCCAACTCAGCACCTGTGATACCTGGCTCGACCTCGCCCTCAGCCTACAACAAACAGTCAGTCATTAGTCATCCGTCAATGACATGCGACGCATCCATGATCACGATACATACATTTGCAATGATCTGCACTTCATCGCGTAGTGACTTGACCTCGAACTGGAGACGCTGGAACTTCTGGAAGGGTGTCTCTTCCTTGCGATCAGCATCGTCAGATGGCAAGTCAAAGACTGTCTGATTGTTGAAGGTCCTTTGTGGCTTTGATCTGATGACGGGCTTCTTGTAGATTGAGTCTGAGAAGTCCTCACCGTCATTGTTCAGCTTCCTGTTTGAGAACTTTGCGTGTGCCTTTGCTGGTACCAAAGACACTCTCTCAATGTTCTCATTGACCAACTCTGGCTTCTCCTATATTATGTATGTATCAACATGTCAGTGGATGTTGATGTGATGTGCTGTGCTGTCGTGCAGGTGTTGTCATGTTCAACAACATACAATGATCAAGGGTTCAGGGACATCTGGTGTCTCGAATGAATCTGGTTGTGATGTATCCTGTAGAGTGTTCATCATAAGTTAGTTTGTTAGTTGATCATTCTTGGTTAATGATTGATTGAATGATCATACAATATCAGGGAGATTCAATATCCTTTTGCCGCCACCACTGCTACTTGATGCTGTTTCTGACATCCTACTGTCTACTTTCTTTTATATCAATGTATGTATATATTATATATCTGTTTAAATAAAGGATTCAGAAGTCATTGATTGAGACTGAGATTGGCGGAGCAAGGGTTCACTGATCTTCAGATTTTATTTTCGTGTGTGCTTTGTTTGTGGCGCTGTTCTTGTTCATCAAGGTGGCGATGGCAATGGCTACAGCTAGACCTCAAGGGAGGGACAGGACACAATGGATGTACCATCCATCAAACATTTTAACAAGTAAGATCATTGATCTATGAGGTTAGATACCTGTGTGATCAGATCAATGAATTGGACATGATACAACTTTCAAATGTTAACCACCTGAACAAGCAGGCTCATGAGTACAAGATAAGAAATACCCATGCATGGATTGATTGATTGATTGATATGATTGATAACTGGGTAGCTGGTCAAGTGGAATGAATGGTAAGTGTTAGTAATATATAGAATGGAATGGAATGAAATGAAGTCGAGAAACGAAGGTAAGTATGAAACTGAGGATGAGGTAGGAAGAGGAGGAGAGAATAATACATCAGGAAAGGGTGTATATCTCAGTAAACACGTGAATGTCCACATTGATAACCCTTTCTTCTCTATATTTGATTTCATTATCATAGTCTTTATGTTGCTATGCTGTGAAACATAACTCCACAAGTCTATGACTTACAGCAAGAATGAAGTTTCATCATTGTAGTATAACTCTCCCTCTTCCTTCCAACTTATTCCGACTCAATTGTTTGTTTGTTCATTCACGGAGTATGATTGATTGATTGAGCAAGTGAAGTGATCTTACCTTTACATCTTTGTTAATGTTGTTGTTGAAGTTCTGTTGTGATTCAACAATCAAAACCCAAAGTGTGATGAGAGCATTAAATGAAAAATTTGATGGTTGATGGGTTGGAGTGTGAGCAAGCCATCAGAGTGATCAGTGAAAGCCAATTCTTTGTGTGAAATGGATATTTTTATTATTTCATTTTGTTTTTAATTTATTTTAGTGTTGTGATCCTCTCTCTACATGATGGATGTTATTGCCTCTGCATGCAGAGCTGAATGAATGAATGTTGAAGACATCACCAAGTGTTGAGGTGAATGAACTAGGTAGGTGTTGGTGTGATGTGGGTGGGTGGGTTGGGAGAGAGGAGGGGCCAGAAAATGCATGATAGCTTGCTTTGGAGGATGAGACAGGAGGAGTCTTCAGAGGTCTTGGATTGTCATCATCACAACTCTATTTATTAACTACATATACATATATATACACATACACACACTCACTCCTACACACAATTTAGATTGAATACTCGGATATAGACATTGTCCAAGCATCAGACTAAATAGATCATCTGTAAGTGAATATGATTGAATATGAATGAATGATCGATGTTCATATTCATGTTCAAGTATACTAACTATTCATTCAATCAATCATATTCAATCAAACAGATATCAGTATAGACTTGTAATTATAACTCATTCAGCACAACAACTGTATATTATTTAATAGAGAAGAAGAGAAGACATGTCTACTGCTTTCGAATTGGAGCATTTGGCTACATGCATCACTGCCCATGCATGGAACGCCGACAGATCAAGAGTCGCCGTCTGCCCAAACAGCAACGAGGTGCACATCTACGCAAAGAATGGCACTTCCTGGGTTGTTGAGCACATCCTTGCAGAGGTATGTATCTCATTGATTGAATCATTGATTGATTGATTGATTGATTGAATTGAATGAATGAATGGTCGAGACTAACTAACATGTTTGTTCAACATAATACATTATAGCACGATCAAGTCGTAACAGCCATTGACTGGGCTCCAAAGACAAACAGAATCGTCACTTCGTCACAGGATCGTAACGCCTACGTGTGGACTTTTGTTGATGGACAGTGGAAGCCAGTGCTGGTGTTGCTCAGAATCACCAGAGCCGCCACCCACGTCAAGTGGAGCCCATTGGAGAACAAGTTTGCCGTCGCCTCGGGTGCCAAGCTCGTCTGTATCTGTTTCTTCGAGGAGGAGCACGACTGGTGGGCATCGCACCACATCAAGAGACATAAGTCCACCGTGCTCAAGGTCGAGTGGCACCCAAACAACTTGCTGTTGGCCACGTCCAGCAGCGACTTCAAGGTGCGTGTGTTTGACGCCTACGTCAAGGACGCCGACGGACGCCAGGTCCAGCGCCCATACGGTGAGATCCCATTCGGTCAGCCAATCTTTGAGTTTGACCAGTGCGCCGGTTGGGTTCACGCCCTCGGCTGGTCCGCCAGCGGCAACCGTCTCGGCTTTTCCAGCCACGACTCGACCCTCGCCGTCGCCGACCTCACCTCCAACCCACCCACTGTGCAGAAGCTCCGTCTCCGCAACCTGCCACTCCGCGACCTCCTGTTCGTCACCGAGAACTCCATCGTCGGTGTTGGTCACGACTGCACACCAATCCTCTTCACCAACAACGCCGGTCAATGGAGATTGGACGGTGAGTTGGACAAGACCACCGAGACTGCCTCTGCCGCCTCCTCCAGCGCCCGTTCCATGTTCCAGAACAAGGTTGACCTTGGAGAGTCAAAGGTTGACATCAAGCTTCCATACGTCCACCAAAACTGTATCACGTAAGTAGTCGATAGTATTCATTCATACAGTTCTTTATCATCATGTATGCTAATATACTCATCTTCTTCTCCCGCTATCTTTGTCTTCTTCCACCAACACAGTAACATCAATGCATACAAATCAGCTGGAGGAGTTGTCTCTGACTTCTCTACCTCTGGCCTCGATGGCAACATCGTCATCTGGCACGTTAAGCCACTGGAGACCAGAAGCAAGTTGAAGTTTGTTTAAGTTATTCCTTAACCTCAATCAATCAAACAATCAATCACTGTCCGTCCCCTTCATCAACCTCTCCTCCAACCTCTCCTCCCTCAAGACACACCATCAACCTTAATAATCCAACAATAAACCTATTCATCACCTATTATTATTGAACCATTTCCATACTCTTTCTTCATTCTTTCATACATTAATTCGTTATCTCTTAATTAGTACATCTATACCATAATAAGGTATTCATTTCCTGATTTGGGTTGGTACCAATACCTTTGGAGGATTATTAATGTGAGGTGAGTGAACCAATTCATAATCATCCAATCATTCTTTCAATATATTATATAATAACAAAGAGATAATAGATAATTACTCATCCTTACTTAATATGGATAATATTATTGGATGGTTCTGTCTTACAGTTGAAGACTGTAGGACTAACCAAATGAATTTGAAGGAACTAAAGCCAACTGGTGACTTGTCCAAAGATACACTTGATCAGTATATTGAATCATTTGAAAAAGGTACTACATTATGTAATGAGACAACAATCTACTTGTTGAGTTTACCTACTATTCCACTTGACAAACTAAATGAAGACAAGGAGAAAGTTGAGGCTGCCCAGAAGGATTATCAGACCCTTTATACAAAGGTTAATGAGGAACTAAAGGGACATCTGAACAATGAAGAAGATAAACATGTCAACGAAATCATATTCCATGGCTTTATAAGTATGAGATGTCTATTTAAAATCGCCAATAGTATAATTGATAATAGAATCAATCCCGATCTTACCATAAAATGACCAAGTATTATTATTAATTCCAAGGCCATTTACACTATATAAAACAAACAATTACTATGGCCATAGTGCGCCAACCCAACGCATCCCCTGCCAACCAAACAACTACCATCAATGCCCAGCCAGATTTTAGTTACTAAGGGGGGTTTATTATATCGCGCGACACACCAATGAGAGGAGACATCGTTTAGGCAGTGGCAGTCTTGGTGAAGACACCGGAACCATGTCCGTAGATGACCTTCTTGATGAGACCCTTAGCGGCGAAGTCTCTGAGGACACGGCGAGCCAAAGAACCGTTGCATTTGTACTTGTCAGAGACGGTGGCAATGGTGATGACCTTGGAAGTTGGCAACTCCTTGTTGATCTTGTTGTAGGTCTCCTTGTCAAAGAGAACCATGTTGTTCAACTTCTCTCTGGACTTTCCCTTGGACCATTTCTAATGATGATTGAATGATTGAATGATATCGCGATGCTGTCTGTTAGATATCTGTTGTCTGTGTGATTCACCACTCATTGACTTGTTGCTGCTGCATCTGTCGCTCTGCTGCTGCTGCTCTGTTGACAATGAGGTGAGAACAAGAGTTTGAAACACATACCTTTCTTCCAGCTCCGCCGGAGGACTTGGACTTTGAAGCTTGTGGCTTTGAGGCCTTAGCAGCAGCTTTGGGAGGCTAGATTGAGTGATTTCATCGTTCGATTGATTGACAATATGATTGATTGATTGACAATGTGATTGATCGTTGATTCGTTCGTTCGTTCATTCATTCATTGAGATTGGATTGGATGGTGGGATTGATGTTAGTCTACATCATTGATTGGATTGATCGGATGGTCAATGAATCTAGTCGATTGACACACATACCATTGTGTCGTTGTTGTGCGAGTATTCGAAAAGGGTGTTCTCAATGTATCACGAGTTGACCAAGTATCCATCGCCTCTCCGTCTTCCACACCCAATTAATTGCAAAAAAATAAAAGAAATCAATTTTGCATAATGATCATGAAGTTCGACTCCCTACCTTTACAACTTATAAGCACAGGTTGACAACTTCACGAATGTGGAATACTAGAAGTATCTAGATAAGGTAAAATATATATTATTCTAACTATATTCAGAGTTCTGATGACTCGACACTTTACTACTTCTTAATATAAGTGGAGACTTTTATCTGAAGTATCAAATACTTAAATAACCAAAGCTGGAAAGTAATGTATTTAAGAAACTAATTATTGGGTCAATCAATCAATCAAACAAACAAACAATCAATCAATTAATCAATCAAAGATATATTCCAACTATTGAATCAAGTAAGTAAAAGTAATTAATATAATTATTATTCATCAATAACTAATGTTTAATAATTTCTTTTCCTATTCTCTTTTTTTATTATAGAATGAACAAGAATCAAATATTGGCTTTGTTATTAGTATTCCTCTTTATCACTGGTAGTGTTGAGGCTGGTATTGGCAAGAGTATAAAGAATGCTTTTAAGAAAATAGAGAAAGGATTAAGGAAAACATTGGATGCTGTGGATATCCAAGCAAGTCTTGAATGTGATCGAGATGGTTGTACGAAGAGAATAGATGTCAGGAATTAGTCCTGGCACTCTAAAGCCCATCAATCAAACAATTATCCCCCATCAATATCGATAATCAGATCCCAACTAAAAATAAATAATAATATAAATGTTTGATTGATAAATTAAATAATTAAATAATCTATTTATTATTATTATGTACATTTAAATTTAATGTAAACCAGTATTAGAACAATCCATTTTGGTAATCAGAGATGGCTTGATAGATCTCTTCTTTGGTGTTCATGACGAATGGTCCACGTTGGGCAATAGGCTCGTTGATTGGTTTGCCAGCTGCGAGCAGGAATCGACATCCCTTCTCTGATGTCACTTCGATTTGAGTCTGTCCATTCGATCCATCAAGTAGTGCAATATGTGATTTGTTCACCTCCTTCTGATTGTCGGCAGGGCCAAACTTTCCAGAACCCTCAAACACATAGGCGAATGATGAGTGGCCAACTGGTATCTCTTCAATGAATGTTGCACCCGGTGCAATTTCCACGTCGAGTAGCAGGGGCGAGGTTACAACGCCTTCAACTGGTCCAGTCACCTTCTTGTAGCATCCAGCCAACACCTTTATCTTGTTTCCATTAGAGTCCTCGACGATGGGCACCTTGTCTGGCGAGATGTCTTGGTAGCGGGGCTCAACCATCTTGTCCTTGGCTGGCAGGTTGACCCAAATCTGGAAGCCATGCATCAAGCCCTCCTCCATCTTGGGCATCTCTGAGTGTATGATTCCACGTCCAGCCGTCATCCATTGTACACTGCCTGGCACCAGTATGCCATGATTTCCTTTATGATCTCTATGTTCCATTGATCCTGCCAACACGTATGTCACTGTTTCGAAGCCTCTATGAGGATGATCTGGGAATCCTGCCATATAATCATTCGAATCGTCACTCTCTATCTCATCCATCATTATAAAAGGATCCACTCTCTCCACTGGTCCACCAATAACTCTCTTCAAATTTACTCCATCTCCATCCGATGTATCTATTCCTTTTGCAACTCTGGATACTATTCTTGAAGTCATTCTTATATTATAATTTGTTGTATGTGTATATATATTTGTTTGTATGTTTGTATGTTTGTTTGATTGATTGTATTTGTTTGAAATGTGATGAATAAATGTTGATCCGATTATCACTAAATATATAGTTGTTTAAGATATATTTAGAATACCCTTCAATATCTTCCGGTGTCCTCTCGAAGTAAAACGCGTAAAGGGTATCCCTCTAGCATGCATGCTTTACTCTAGAGAGTTATAGAACTTGTTAAGATGCATCAACTCACACACAAACAGACGCCTTCTCTTTGCCATTCATCGATGCCACACACACATGAAGAAGTTTGCTTTGAGCTCCGGAATTGGAAAGAACCCCCCACACGACTAGACTACATTATGACTAGTGTGTAAACCCTGGGCATTTCCTAAAAAGGCAAGTAATTGTTTATTAGGATCATTCAGATGCTTGTCAACTACTTTCCTTCTTTACTTTGAAGATAGATACTTGAAACTATGTGTGTTTGTGTGTGTACATACATGTGTTAAGTGGTAGTTGAAGGCCCTAATTCAATGTCAATTCATACATTGGGTTACAAGTTGGTAGAGGTCCAACTAACCGATGACTACAGACTGTAGTCTCATGTCTAATCTACATATATATTATATTAAATAGAGAGATACATATATATTATTATTTATTTATTTATTTATTTAATTAATTATTTGATTGATTGAAGTGAAGTGAAGAGAAGAGTGGAAGAAGAAAGTGATGAAGTTATTGGCAAAGAGAAATAGAAAGAATGTACATCCTTTCACTGTTTTGGTGAAGGTTGATTCGATATCAAGTTTACAGGGAGAACCTATTACACCTGGTACTCAATTCGAGATAGCATGGAGACGTGGAGATCATAGTGGTGCATCACCTCTATTGTCTATAACCAATGGTGAACTACATCCAAACATCATCTTCAAGATACCATGTAACTTTAAGAAGGAGTCCGGTCACGATGACCTAGCCTCAAAGCGTCTAATAGTCTATTTGAAGAAGGTAATACTATGTACATTCATTCATTCAATCATTCAAAGACATCAATCTAATCAATCATTCAATCAATCAAATGTTAAACAGATAGAGAAGAAGAGAGCTGTAAAGATTGCAGTGTTGCAGATTGATCTTGCATTGATTGTTAATAAGGATGATAATACAAAGTCAAGACAGTACTCTTCGACAATGAAGGGTATTGATAATGATAAGTTCAATCCTTATATTGAGTTCTACGCATCGGCACAACCTGGTATAACCGATGGAGGAGGCAACTTAAGTGCATCTCAGAAGGAGTTGGAGTCGATGAGTAACTCGGGCGGTAGTCTCGAGCTGTCGAGCAACATATTGAGCTCAGACCGCAGGAACTCCGTGTCCACGGTGTCCAGCGATCAGATGTCCGACGTCAGCTTCTCAAACATTCAAGAGTCAAAGGATCCGCTGCATGACGACCCGTTCGAGTTCAACTTTGAGTCCGAGGCCCCGGCTTCCAACCACCTCACGCGAGAGGAGAAGAAGACGGACTTCATCTCGCCGCCATCCACCAGGTCCACTCACACCCAAGAGACCACTACAGGCAATGTACAAGTGCCTCCAAGCATTACTGTCTCGTCCATGTCGGCACCATTGCCCAGCCCACTTAGAGGCAACTCTGCTGAGAACCTACCGACATCCTCCAATCCCTTTGATGTGTCCCCTATCAATTCACCGATTCCGCCCAACTCCCCAATGCCAGAGCGACGCATGTCTACCGATGACCATGGCATGTCCAAGAAACAACAGAAGCAAGCCAAGAAGAAGGGTGGCGACAGGTTAATAACCAGCATTCACAAAGAGTATGTATATATTCATGGATTGCATTGGATCTGGACTGGAAGTATACTAACTTATTGATGTAGTCATGGATTCTTTTCCAGAAGGAGACATTCAATTGCTGCACCATCTCAAGATAAGAGTATGTATAACTTCATTCATTCCATCATCCTCGTCAGATGACTAATCTTATTCCACATCATTCAGAAGAGGAAAATGAGAACAGAACAATGTTGACTGATAGGCTTAACGAAGCAGACCTACCTCTCAACTCTGTCCTATTCTCCAGAACTGGTGATGGTAAGTGTGAATGATTGATGGATGAATCTGAGGTGCAACTTGATTGACTAACATGATGATCATTAATGTAGAACGTCTTAAATTCCTCAACGAGGAGATGATATTATATAAGAGACCAGAGTATTCCCAAGGCATTCCATTATCATCAATCATTGTATACAAGTGTCTGTTTGAATGGAAGGACTTCTCTCCACATAATCACATCTGTCTGGAGAACATACTAAAGTCATTCGATTACCTTGGATCGGTAAGTAACCACGCCAATGCCAACTCATACAATCAAACGACTAACCATCAATCAATCAATCAAATAATGAAGATGGAGAACATGGACAAAGAGACTTCATGCTATTGGCTATCAACATCTTATGGCTTGCATTACTTGTTGGACTGCTCGTACAACCTTCGTGCCAATGCCAAGAAGAGAGATGATGAGCGATCGCCTACGAGTGATTTGGCCACCAACACTGAGGCCCAGAACATCAAGTTGTTCATGAACAAGTTGCAGGCGAACCAAAAACAGTTCTGGCGTCTGCTGTGGAGGAAGATGCACGCCGAGTTGGACACTGTGCTCAACAAGATCGTCGAGGTTATCAGCGACAAGAACTTTGTGCAGACCGATCTCTACCTGAACTACCTTCGCGGCACGCTTGACTTCCTCGAGAAGCGTGTGCCATTCTCCTCGCTCTGGCCCAACATCTTCAAACAGATCTTCTACTACACCTCTGGCTTCTTCTGCAACCTCTTCCTCATGGACACTGTTCATTCCAACTCCACCTGCGCAATCAATCTCAAACTATTGCTATCCTCCCTCGCACAATGGATCCAAGAGAACAAGAAGCAGAACTACTTCTATTACTTCAAGTAAGTCCTACGCATCACTCATTCAATCCAACATGTTATACTAATACTCCCTCCCTTCCAATCAAAAAGGATTGAGATGTCTGTGATCAATCAATTGTTGGACGTGATGATTGTGGATAAGAACTCGTTGAAGGAGGAGGCTGTGAGGAAGGAGGTGTGTCCATCACTGCGGTTGAATCAGTTGGCCATACTGTTGGCAACATTCAATTCGTTGTCTTGCCAAGAAGAAGTCGATCCAGATGTAATCAAGTTCCTGCAAGACAAGGGCATAAAGAATCAGGAGGAACAAGACTCGAGCATCAACACCGACATCATGTTTGATCTGCCAGACAATCCCGAGCCCAGCAAGAAGTTCTTTGAGGCCAAGATCCCGCAGGCGTCCGTCTCCAACAAGCGATTCAAGTTCATCTTTAAGCCAACAACTGTATATTGATTGAATGGAAGGATGATGGATGATAGTCCATGTGTGTATATAAAGGATGATGGGAGACTCGATGCTCTCACATTGTATATATGTATCCCAATGGATTGTCTTTAATCAAAGGGAGTAATGATAGGGGATAGGGGATGGAAAGGGAGGGTTGGGATTGTCGTGTCGTCGGACGAACATTACTGCATGCATCGGGCATGGTTGGTGAGGTGAATGAATGGAGGAGAATGAATGAATGGATGATCGAACGATCGGTCGGTCGATGGATGAATGTGATGTGATGCTACTACATGGTGTTTAGCAGTATTGCTTCTCGATTCCGAGGTAGTCCAAGTGCTCTGGGATGCTCAGGGCAACGATGGCGTGGTCAGAGCAGTGAGGGTCCTCACCAGAGCCATTGCAGATAACGTACTCAGTGTGGTTGGAGGGCGACTTGATCCAGACCTCGGTGGGCAGGTGATGGAAGCCCATCTCCTTGGTTGGCAGATGTGGCACGATGTCGTGGTAGTTGACCACACGCCAGATTGATTGTAGGGCAGTAGACTCAAAGTACTCGTTAAAGGCTGGGTTGCCGACTCTGGGCGAGCCGTATGTGTACATCTCGAGTGGCAAGCTGATAATGCTTGGGTAGACATCGGCCACGGCCAAGATGGCGAGGGCGCCACCAAGGGAGTGTCCAGTGGCCACGAATCTAGTGCAGTGTGGACACTTTTGTTGAGCGAGGATCAGACCCTCGTGAGTGGCCTTCTGGACATGATTGTAGGCGGCCAAGAATCCACGATGGACCATTGCAGATGGGTCAGCTGGGTATGGTGACACCTGTGGGAAGTTAAGATTGGTGATCCAGTTTCTCAAGTCTGGGCCTTGAGTTCCTCTGAATGCCATCACAACTGTGTTTGATCAATCAATCAAATGCAATGGAGATGGAAGATGGAATGATGGGAAGGATGGATGTGAGTGATTGGTCTTTGGATGGACGAGTGATTGATTAATCACTCAGGCAGGCAGTCACGGGATATTACTTGTGTTATCAGTTATTCCAATGTATCCGAAGGTGTTTGAGAATACATGATCGAATGTGGATACAATCTCTAGACCTCCAGCTGGTGTGTACTGTGTGTTGCAATAGGCACAAGTCCAATTGGACACCTCCTTCAATGGGCAGTATGCAGAGTATGAATACTTTAAAAAGAGATGGAAGATGTAAGGTAGGTAATGTGTTAGCCAAGTGTAAAGTTGAAGTTGATCACAATGATGATAGTGAATCAGTGGAATCATGATCAATGTACCATCAATAACTCAAAGGCAGATGTTAGAGAGAAGGGTGGGTTCACTGGAACAGCTTGAACTTGGTAGTTGGGCATGACAACACCACATGTCAACAACAATACAAAGGTGAGGCCAAGTGTAATTGCTTGGTAGTTGTTTGATGACATCTTATTATATTATATTATATTATGTAGTAATAATAGTTGTAAGTAGTAGTAGGTAGACTGATGATTCATTGATCAAAGTGATCATTTTGAGTTAGTTGGTCGAGGACCTGTCGAGGTATCTTTGTTTGTTTAGAGAAGGAAAACAGAGGGAACCGTCAAATAATGGCCCCAAATCAAACAAAGAGGCTCTGTTTTAGATCACTAAAACGACTTTGGTAACGAAATTTCAATATTTGCTTCTGATCATATGGTGGGCCAACAGAAGGCCGAACACCCTTTGCACACAAAACCCCACTCACACCTTTCAAAACAACAAGTCTGACTCTTCCAACTCAAGTTCAAGTTCACACGCAACCACACTCTTCATTCAAACACACACACAACACACTAACAATCGATTATTATCTGCAGATAATATGTTGTTGTTGTACATGTGTGTGTATGTGTGTATTGGATGAGCTGGATACAATACACAATACATATATATATAAAAGCACATATGCCATATTAGTAGTTGAACCGTCTAAATCGAGGTGGATGTATGAGTATGTCTCACTACTCATCATCATACACACTCCTATCTCAATATTATAACAGAACTTATATACAATACACACTCACACACATACAATGGCAATGACACATGACATGGCATTCATGTGAAGAAGAATGGATATAGGACATGGTGGGTTGGTGGATGGATGGGAGTGAGAAGTGGTAGTGGTAGTGGTTGAGATGAAGGATGAAGGATGACGGATGACGGATTAATGCCAACTCACAAGCAAGCTAGGTAGGTAGCTAGCTGGCATGCAAGGGTATAGAGTATACGACCATACTACCATTGAATGAGTGAATGTGGTTCCAACATGACATGACATGTCATCGTAAATGCAAGTGCAAGTCCTTCTTAGTATCCATTCTATTATAAAAGACAGGACTTGTCTTTCAATTCATTCACTCAAACAACAACTTACTTGTTAACTAAATTAATATATAATTAGCTTAGTATCAGTATCCCTTTCATTACACCTCTTATATTATCATCAACAACACCAACATTACCATCACTCCAACAACAATGAAGCTTAACTTCATCATTCTGCTCTCTCTTTTGAGCATTGCGTCAGTGTACGCTTTTGACAAGGATTGTCACGTCTACAGTATGTATCAAAACAAATGGCTGGCACTACATGCCTTATCCTTGGTCTTGGACTTGTCTAACATCACTCATTCAATCAAATAACAAATAGATGCCAAGGAGGCCTTGCTTGACCAATACGGACCAACTTTGGGAGGAAATGCCTTGACCTTCAACAATGCCATCTCTGCTGGACACAACAAGTTTGACTTCTTGGGTCACCGTGCCGTCTGCATGAACAACAACGAGAAGATTACCTGCTCTGGAACACTTGTCCCAACTACCGGATCCGACCCATACTTTGAGCTCCGTCTCGCTGCCTACAGAGCCGACGGATCATTCGAGCCAAAGAAGGAGTTGAAGCCAGAGGCCTACGTCCCAGCCGGCCCAATCGACACCTCCAAGTTCCAGTACTACCGCATCGACCCAGCCGTCTCCAAGATTGAGGGTCGCGGTGCCGCCGAGGGAATGACCATCAAGTTGTCCGAGTACATGTCCATGCCACTCCAGGCTGGTTTGGGTGCCAACGGAAAGAACATTAACGACGGTGTCTCTGGATGGATGGAGTACACCATCATCGACAAGGACGGCAACCAGGTTGGTTCAGGAGTCGTTGACATCAACATTGACCTTTGCTGCGCTGACTGCATGTCCCAGACCTACAAGATGACCGCCGCTCCAGGCTACCAGGGAGGCCAATCGCTCTACATCACCTCCGACGACATGACACCATTCAGCGGAAACAACAAGTGGGACTTCATCAACGACTCTGGCAAGCTCCAGGTCCAGCAGAACGGTGACATCCGTCTCACTGGTGACCTCACCCCAGTCGGCCAAACCACCCCAAGAATGTCCTGTGACCTCACCTACTTACCCAACAACGACTACTTCCGTTCAATGAAGATGGAGTTGGACCCAAGCATCTACTTCCCAAAGGGACCACTCGACTCATCGCTCTGGACCCTCTACGATGTCGACACCACCAAGTCCACATGCAACGTCAACGGTAACCGTGTCAACATCGTCTCTGACTTCGCCATGCCACTGCAGATGGGCATTGGAGCCAACGGCAAGAACAGCAACAACGGTCTCTCCTCATGGTTGAACTACACTGTCACCCGTGACGACACCACCAAGTACACCCCAAGCAACGTCCTCGACATCAACGTCGACTTGACCTGTTTGTCCAGCCCAGCCGTCTCAGCCCCAACCACCTCTGGCTCATCCACCACTGCCTCAGCCACCACCGCCTCGGTCACCACCGCTTCAGCCTCAACCACCGCCTCAGCCTCCACAGCCTCAATCACCTCTGGCTCTGCCTCGACCACCGCCTCAGTCACCGGCGTTGCTGTCACCACCGGCACCACTGCCTCAGTCACCACCGGCTCCACCACCGCCTCAGCCACCACCGCCTCGGCTTCCACCACTGCCGCTGCCACCTCTGCCTCAGTCACCACCACTGGCGCAACCTCAGCTGGTTTGTTATCAATCTACCTTCCATCTACCTCCCATCCTTCCTTTGATACCTTAATCCATCCTTCTATCGATACTTCGATTGGTAAGTCATGCCTACCTGGCATCAATATGCTAACCTCTCTTTGCCCTTTACCTTTAATCATTTATAGCCGGAGGTACGCTCCCACCAAGATCCTCAACCACTGGAGTCTCTGGTCAAGGTACCACCACCAACGATGCCAGTAAGTTGTTCTTTTATCACTCTCACTTGACAACCTCTAACCCATCAATCAATCACTCTCAGACACTGCTCAAGTCAGCAAGATCATCGTTGCCGTCCTCACCTTCTTGGTCTTGGCTTTCGTTCAATAAGCGACCAACTAGTGTCTGATGAATCACCATCAAGATGTGCTCCCAAGGTGATCACAATAAACACATACCCAACTATTTATTTATTTATTAATCCAAGCAATCAGTCTTGTGTATTTATATATATATTAATGTTTATTATTATCTTGTTGTAAGATGGGATAGCGTTGTATGGCCTTAACGATTGACATAGTTTCCTGATCCCATTTGGTTGAGGTTTGGCGATGATGACCATGGAGTGACATTCTCACCTCCAAGGTCGGGATAGTCTTCAACCTTGACACGTGTGATCTTTTGGTAGTAGGTTGGGAAGTTGGCAAAGTCCACGCCAGAGAGCAATGTGATTCCAGTCGTTGATGTTCCAACATATACTGTCACCTTACAACCAATGTTGTTGTTGTCTGTGAACTTGGCGATTCTGTTGGCCCAGCCCACTGCGGCCAGGTCGTGTGTCTTGAGCGGCAGCTCAAGTCTCAACAGATTGCCACTGACATCGGAGAAATAGGCTGTGTTACACTTGGCGTAACCAACAGACACCTTGATCTGTGCGGCTGTGGCAGAGTGTCCAGAGTTAAAGTTGTAGGAGTTGTAGTTCTTGTTCCAGTTGGGGTCGGGTGATTGCACCTGGCAGAAACAGAACCAAGAGCACTGCATTGATTGGAAGGCTGTTGCGGGCACAAGGTTGTTGGTGCCATACGGTACGGTCTGTGGCGTGCCTCCAAAGCTCAGGCTGGGGAAGAACTGGGCACCGCGACACTTGACTGTTTTGTACAAGAAAGTGCCAGTGACCATGGGCAGGTTGCCAATGTAAAAGTCAACCTTGCCGTTTACCGTCGTTGGTGTGATGGGCGATGTGATACAGATGATCTTGGTGGTGCTGATCCATGTGAGTGCTTGGCATGGCTGGCCATCGACCTTAATTGTAGAGTTGGCCGCCAGGGCGGGAGTCGAGGGGAAGTTGGATCCGATGAGGATCAGTTCCGCGCCACCCAGCTGGGAAAGTGATTTGTCGAGATAGCCCAGTGATGGATTGGCGTAGGTGATTTCAAAGTATGGATACAGGGTCAGTCCGTTCCAGACTGCCGTGATCATGGCTCTTCCAATACCAGCGGGAATTGTGCAGGCACTCGCTGTGCATACCAGGGCGACTCCATTGAGCTTGAAGACTGGCTGAGGGAAGTAGTATGGATACTGCTTGGTGATGGCGATGGAGCCTCCACCAGTGGGGATGCCTGAGATGCCTGTGAACATGGACTTGAGAATGACCTCAACTTGAGATGTGTTGGAAGTGGCCAACTCAACAATCGCTCCAGCTAGGTTGGGATAGAGTGTGAGAGGAGTGGTAATCAATGTATCGTCGGACAATCCTACGGCCAATGTGTTGGGGGCTTGGAACGACCTGATCTTATCGTTCCAGCCGAGGTTGGTGAGGTAGATATTGTTCCATCTTCCCATTGGTATATTGATCGCACTGCCCTTGAGTGTTGGCGCATCCCAGAATGTGACTGTTGGCACCAGTGTGTTGAGCATGGGAACCTTGATCGCAACGGTTGTGGCGGTTGTGACTGCGATCTTGAACACCTTGACGGCGACGGTCGCTGTGTAGCCAGTTGGTGGTACAGTTCTGAGCGTGAAGTCGGTGGGGACGTTGTAGGTAAACACACTCTGGCCGGTGATTGTGAATGTGTTTACGGCACCAGCAACTCCGACCAAGTCGAGAATCATCTTGGAAGAGTTGAGTGCAACGACATTGACCTCATTGGTATCTTTGACTCCGTTGGCATTGGTGTCGTTGAAGATGTCGATGGACAAACGGTTCTTGTACTGCACGGTGAAGTAGTATGGGGAAACTGTTGTTGGCAGTGCCTCACATGGCTGGGCGACGGTGAGTGAGGTCATAGTGCAACCCTGAGTGGTGTCGCACAGCTTGTACCACTGAAGGTTGAACTGGCCCCATTGGAAGTTAAATGCGCGTCCATTGACCAGGACAGATCCAAGACATCCAAATGTGTTCTTGAGGACAAGGCCAGCGTTGACATTGGCAGCAGTGAATCCGTTGGCTGCGTTGAGTGTGACTGGTATGTCTACTGGTCTGATGTGGGTTGCGGCTGGCTGTGGCTGCACATTGAACGTGCCAGCAACGACATCCATGAAGGTGAACTTACCAGTCGTGTCGGTCACAGCTGTCAAGGTGCCTGGCAACAACTTGACGGTGATGCCCGCCATGATGGCCTCTGCTGGGTCCTTGAAGTTGTTGAAGTTTGTGTCGAGGTAGACGTAGCCGCTGAGCGAAGTGCGTGCGTAGTTGAGTGTGTAGTACGAGTACATTGTGAGTCCGCGCCAAACTACGACGAATTGGATGGCACCATATCCGGCTGGGATGGTACACGATGTCATCAAGGTGGCAGCGTTGTATGTGCAGGTGACTAAGGCGTTGTTGGACTTGAACTGAGGTTGCTCAAAGAGGTATGAGTGGCGGAAGGTGATGACCTGGCCCAAGTTGGACAGTGGAGTGGCGCTGTAGGCCTTGACCATGTCTATGTCGGCAATATCCACACGGACACTCACTGCTGGAGCTGGCATATTGATCACAACTGGTGCGCCGTTGGTGTTGGCCACGTTAGTGTAGGTGCCATTCACTTGGATAGCCACGCGACAACGTGTGCAGGGGAGGAAGGACTGGACACGGTTGAGCCAGCCGACGTTTGTGAGCATGGACGAGTCGAAGATGCCGACGGGCAGAGTGAGGGATGCTCCAACACGGTTGGGCTTGTCATAGAAGGTGACTGGCGACAACAGTGTGTTGTTCCAAATGTAGAAGGAGAGGTTGTCTGCGATCGATTGACTGACGGTGGTGAATGTGTAGGACATGCTATTCTTCATCGAGACGAATAGGGTTGAGGCCAGTGGTGTGACGGTGATGTCAGCTTTGCCCAGTGGAACGGTAAAAGTCATCCAATCGCCTGGGACAGCCGAGACCAATGTCCTGGAAACAACACCATATCCTGCCACCTGAGTCTTGACAGTGATTGACACTGATCCAGCAGCCATACCCGTGTCCAATATATCATGTATACCATTGACATTGACATCATTGAACAGGTCGAATCTGAGTTGTTGCTCTGAGTTTGATTGAGTGTGTGGGGTAAGTGTTAGTTTATGGGATTGGATGGAATGATCCCAGGAGTACTTACTGTAGAAGATTGTAATGATTGTTCCATTGATTTGGTATCCACAATCTTGTATCATTGTGATTTGTGATGGGGCAAGGCATGGAGTGACGGTGTTGCACCAACCATACTTGGTGAGGTCGAAGCTGCCGTATTGGAGGTTGAGCACGTAGCCTGTGTTGGAGGTCATTCTTGCATCACATCCATACTGATTCTTGATCAATGTTGAGAAGGTGGCAGTGTATGTACCAGATACAACAACAAAGTTGTATGAAGTAATTGGAGCGAAATGGGTGGCTGGGGTGGTGATGCTGACCGAGTAGTTGCCTGGCGCCAAGAACTGGAACTCAAAGATGCCAGTGGATGTTGTCACAACCGACTTGAGGACGGTGCCAGCTGAGTTCTTCAGGCTGACTGTTGCGCCAACAAGCAGGGTATCACCGGCATTGTAAGTAGCACTCTGATCCAAATCAATGTACACTGTTCCAGAGATCGCGGAGTCTATTTGATTGATTGAGTGTGAGTTAGTGTTTGGAATGATTCCAGGAGAGTGTTAGAATACATACCAACAAAGTAGGCATTGGATGGCTGTGATCCAATGACGACCTTGATGTAGTCAACGTTGCTGGCGGGGAGGTCTGGACAAATTATCGTGGTCTGATCGATAAAGTATGTGGTGGGACAACGTCCAACTTCGACCTTGTTCGAGTCGAGCAATGATACGTATGTTGTGGCACTGTTGATCGTTAGTCCATTGGGCGCGAACTCAGTTCCGCGGATAGTGACACCACTGCTAGCGATACTGATCGACTGAATGGTTGGCGTGCGGTATGATATCACCACTGGAGTGTTGATGACCTGTTGGAATACTGATGTCGTGAGCTGTCCATTGCGGCCCACACCAGGTGGCACTGTACACTCGAGGAACGTGACGAATGGCACACACTGGATGTCGAATGTTGCGTTCAAACGTACATAGTCGATGGCGCTGGGCGAGATGGGCCATGAACCTCCATTGAGTTGGATGACGCCACCAGTTGTAGGCAGTGTGATGTTGGCTGTGTTGAGGAATGGCGTAGAGTGCTGGAATGCGGAGAAGGGCTCGCCAGCAAGGCCGGCGATATTCACCGACACAGTGCCAGGGTGTACGCCAAATGGTATCTTGGCCATGATGCTTGTGGGCGTGGACTGGGCCACAATAACATCACATGACTTTTCATTGATTGTGAGCTGAGTGAGGCTGGCTGCATCGTTGCCAAAGTTGAGACCGGTGACATTGAGGAGGAGACCACCCTGGCTCGCAATGGGACTGATCGAGGTGATGCTGGCGGGTGCGGTGAGGTAGCGATCGGTGAAGAGGTGCTGCACACCGAGTCGTGATGACTGGCCTGCGACGGTGACCTTGACAAAGTGGAAGGCGCCGACCGCTGGTGGGGCCTGGCATCGGATCTCTTCGTGCGAGATGAGTTGGAGTGGCACACAAGGACGGTCATTGTCGATCGTCACCGTGACATTGGCCACGTCCACTCCAAAGTTGCTGCCGAGCAATGTGATCATTGCGCCTGATGTGCTGACCAGAGCGCCTGGCATTATTTGTCCGAGAACAGGGCGGTTGTATGAGTAGTAGAAACCGGTGGCTTCCTTGCCTCTGGCCGATGTGAGTATGTTGACGGGGTGATCGCGGCCTGCGCCAGGGGGCACAACACAGTCGAGTTCGTTTGGTGAGACTAGGGTGGTGGTAGTGCAGGGCACGTCGCCAATGAGCACGGCCATGCCTCCGGTGAAGCGGTAGCCAGTGACGACGAGGGTGTCGCCACCCTGGGTGGTACCAGCCGTGGCCGATACATTGGCAACCACGCCAGATTGTTGTGGGCACAAGCTGTTGAGCACGGCATTGTCGGGGACGAACGAGTCAGAGGCGATCATGCGGATATCACAAAGTAGGCCATTGATTGTGGCGATGGCCAGACCATCGACGCCAGCCATCACAGGTCCGTCATAGGTGGACGGGCGCGCATAGTAATAGAGCGAGAGGTCGCCCATGAGCAGGGTCTGTGCAGGGGCGGTGTTGATGACAATGCGCTCAAGTGTGAGGGTGGCGGTGACTATGGACATTGGCGAGCACAACTCAATGTGAGTGCTAGAGTAGCACAGTGCCATGGGGTAGCTGCCATCGTGGCCCAATGTGAGTGTGATCTCGTCCAAGAACTTGATCTCCTGGTTGCTGGTCTTGAGTGCTTGGTCCCAGAGAAGGACACGTGCGGCTTGATTGACGTGGTTGAATGTTGCCCACTTGGCCATAGCCTGGTCCAGAACACCAATCTGGCGGTCTGACAATGCGGCAACGGCCTCGCCCTCAAAGGTAACTGGATAGTCAATGAGGAATTGTACGGCTGTGGGGAATGTACGTTGGTTGCCAGGACGAGGAGGTCCTGGTGCGGGTGCTGGAGCTGGGGCTGGGGCTGGGGCAGGGCCAGCACCGAGTCTCGCGGCCAACTTGAGGAAGTGGACGAATGGCATACCACCGCCGCCTCCAAAGATGGCAGCGGCACGCTTCCTGTCGACGACGTTGGGGGGTGGAGGAACAAAGACACCCTCGTCGACCATGATCTTGAGGTTCTGCGCAGAGATGGGCACACCCATCTTGTTCATGAAGAAGTCTGGGATGGAGTGTATGTTCTCGAGCGGGTGCAGCTTCAGGAAGGCCGAGAACACAGCGTCCCACGAGAAGACCGAGGCCGGGTCGGTGACACGCAGCTCGTTCATCAGCTCCCAAACGACCTTGGCCTGTGTGTAGAACGGGTCGGCGCCGACGTACGAGTTCAAGTCGCCCGCGATGTCATTTCCAAAGTCGAAGCACACTTGCAGGCCTGCGGTCATGGCCATCTCGTCGACGTTGATCTTCTTGGCCAGCGCCAGGACAATCGCGTGCTTCCAGGTGGGCACACCGACGAACTTTTCAGCGCCAATCACGTCGATCAGGATGTTGTAGGTGATCTCGTCGAGGCAGTCCACGGTGGTGGCCATGATCTTGTGGTCGGGTACCTGGGCGTATGGGTTGTTGACGTGCAACGGGTCGATCACGACCGGGTAGAGCGTGGGAAGGACCACGCCGCCCAGGTGCGGGGTGATGGCCGTGCGCAGTTTGAACACATGGCGGATGCACAAGAACGTGGGGATGACAAAGACGTCATAGTCGCGCTGTCCAATGACCTCGGGGTTGGGAGGGGCACGGACGTTGGGGAACACGGGTGGCGCGGGCGCGCCGGTGGCGGTGAGATGGTTGCTCAGGGCGACAGCGGGGACACACGGCTGGTTGATGTCGTTCTGCAGATCGACCAGCGTGCAGATGGTGGCAACAGCCGGATCGTGTGCGATGTAGAACACGGCGCACACATCATGCGCGCGGATGTCCAGCAGCGGACTGACGTTGCCATTTGGCGACGACTCGAAGCCCACCGTGACGATCGTCTCCACATCGTACTCGTTGTAAGTTCGCGGGTTGACCAACTGGTGCGCGGCAGCCCTATTGAGTGCTTGCTGGTTCGGGCCCGCGTTAACGGCGGGCATTATCTGCAGCTGATTGAGCACCTGTGCGGATTGCACGATGTTGGGGTTGATGGGGGTGAAGGTGGTCACAGTGTCGACGTGCGTTCCACCGCTGGGATTGATCGTGGTCGCGCCGGCGGTGAATGTCTTGGTCCTGGGGATTGTTCTGATGACCATGGTGTTCTGTGGACCGACCGTGCGCAGCGAATTCATGTTGTCCACCTGGTACAGCGTGTTGACGGCCACGTTCTGGGTGTAGGCGGGCAGGCGCTTGAGTGTGTCTTCCTGGGCGTTGACCGTGTCCCAGATGCTGTCCTTGATCTCAAAGTAGATGGGGTTGGCCCAGGCTTCGGTGGGCGGGATGGTGAATTGGATTGGCATTTGGATTGGCGAAGCGTAGACGACGTAGCCTTCGTTCTCTTGTGGACGCTCGTTGGCAACGAGAGGCGACAAATAGTTTGGATAGCCGGCATTATTCAAACTCTTGACCTTGGATGAGAATTGTACCCGGGTAGGAGTGACAAGGTCAAACACAGACAAGTAAGTCATGAAGCCACCATCGGCAGCCATCCAGTCTTGGTTCTTGTGAAGGTTAAAGCCCTGTTTGGAGAGTTTGGAGTTAGTAATTGATTGATTGAATGATGAGTGATTGGAATAGTTCCAGTGATTGATTGAGTGTTTGAGTGAGTTGTGAGTGATTATTGAGTGACTGGAATTATTCCAGAGTGATTGTACGAGTGATTGAGTGTGAGAATGAGAGAGACTTACGTATGTTGAGTATCCATGAACGAAACGATTGAATTGGTAGACGAGACCAGCGTGTTGGAAACAGAGTGCTCCACCACCACGCTTACCTTGGCCAGTGTGACGGTTTAGATCACCAACACAGAACATGTTGTCGTTGGCACCAGCGTTAGTGGTCTTGGCAAGGAGACTGTAAGCCATCTTGGAATGGTCGTTCTTGTGCGGGAAGAATGCCTCCATGTCCTCACCAGCCATGTTGAAGACGAGGTTGCGAGGGATACGAACAACCTCCACATTGGCAATGCTTGGCACCGAGTCCAACTTGGTCTCCTTGGACGTCCAGGTCTGGACAAACATGCTCTGGCCGTAGTGATTGGTGATCACCTGCCAAATGTCAATGCCCTCGTAGGTGTTGACCTTGTTGGGGTTGTCCACGACGAATTGATCGACGGCCAAGATTTGAGGATGGCCGGCCACTGTCACCTGTACCTGGCGACCGGCAACATAAGTTGGCGGAGTCTTCATATTAGTCTTCATGAAGTAGTTTGCATTCATTCCATTGATAGTGAATTGTGGACCAACCCAGTAACAGAAGTTCAACAAGATATTGCTCGAAGCCTTTTGAACGAGGCATGCCTGTTGTGTGTGGAGGGAGTTTGAGTTAGCAAACTGGTTTCGAGTTTGCTCATCAATCAATCGAAATACCTACAGCAGCGAGGGCCTTCATAGCACCATCATTGTTGATGTTGACCAGATTGTCCAGGTTGGGGTAGTTGCCCCAGTTGAAGCCTCCAACGGGAGGTGGTGGGTGGACTGGCAGGTTGTCGAGGGGATAGAAGAAGACATGATTGCGCAGTGCGTAGAGGGCCACACGGTCAAGTCCAGTCGGTGCAAACTTATAACAGAAGAAGTGTTGGTTGTTGTTGTTGGAGCCTTGTACCGTGAAGTCATAGACGTCGCCGACGAGCTCACGTGGGAACTGCGGGTTGGAGTGGATCACGTGGATGCCCGTGCCATCATGCTCCCACATGAAGAAGCCCTTGGCGTGGCCATAGCCGCCCTTGCTGCCCTTGCTACCTCTGATGTCTGGCTGATCATTGTAGAATAGGTAGTAGTATCCATACAGGTGCTGCTCGAATGTCGCGTGGAGGTGGTTGGTCGCCAGGACAATGTCGTGGTGCAGCGCGAACTCCTGGCTGTTGGAGTCGTAGTACAGGAAGTGCTCGGACTTCCTGATCTTGTATGAGAACCACCAGGGAACGGGCGCGCGGTCGTTTGGATAGCCCAGACACTCGAGTCCGTGCAGGTTGAAGTTGACGACGTCCTGCGAGGTACTCGCTCCGCGGGTGACGACCACCGGCGCAGCGTTGTTGGTGACTGGCGATACGGGCTTGGTGCACTGGATTTCCGTGTTGATGATGGCAGTGATGGGACAGTTGAGGCCACCAATGGTCACGGTGACAGCGGCAGCGTTCACGCCAAAGCCTGTTCCAGTGACCTTGAGGGTTACGGGTCCGGGGTTCAGCTTGTCGCCGTGCTTGGGTTCGATGTCGGTGACCGACACACCAGTGTAGGTGAATGGGAACTTGTTAGACTTGACACCATTGCACTCAACCTGGATCGTGGTGGCGCCCGCTGGGAATGCGGGCAAGTCACACGTGATCAGTATGTTGGACACAAAGGTGGGAGCGCCACACAGCACGCCCGTGTCGCCAACGTACACTACGACAGGGGCCATGAAGTTGAGACCATCGATGTCGATGTTGGCACCGCCATTGGTCACACTGCTGGGCATGCTCAGACCGGTGATCGATGGTAGGACATAGTTGTAGGGAGTGGGGCTGTTGTAGCGTTGGCCATTAACAATGAAGCTGACTTGGCGTGGACCAGATGTCGAGCCGTCTGTGGCGGTGTATGGTGGGGTCTTGCATTGGACCTGGTAGTTGCCAAGGTAGACTACTGGCAACACACCCTGTTGCACACACAACAAGTCGCCAATCAATATAGTTGGTGGGTACAATGGGTCTACGATCGTAACGTCCACAATACCATCTCCAATGGACCATCCATGTGTTTGAGTGAGTGTGATTGTTGGTGCTACAATGTGTGATTGAATGAGCGGATTAGTAAATGGCCGGGGTTTGGTCTCTGATCGTGATCACTTACTTTTGTATTGGAAGGTCTTGTCGTTGTTGGAATTGATCGTGCCAGCACTGGCTGTGACGGCGAATGGGTTGGTGATGTCGAGGGCTGCAGCGGGCTCCTTGACGTCGAGCTCGATGGTAGCATCATCGATCACATCGATCTGGGCCAAGTTATAGACTTCGGCGCCAATAGTGAGCTTATCAACCTTGGTCAAGTACTGACCCTTGATTACCACCTTAGTCGTGCCCTTGTTAAGTCCAACTGGAGGTGTGATCGATACCAAAACGGGGTCTGTTAATTGGAATGATTCCAGTTATTGAGTATTAGTATGAGGGGTGGGGCGATCAGAGTTGAGTCAACATACTAACAATAGTGATGGCTAGCTTGGTGGATGGCTTGCCATCGATCATGGAATAGATGAGTAGTTGCTCGGATGATCCGAGAATGGGGATAGTGGGGAGTTGGCAACGAACTTTGCCACTGAGATCGAATGAGTCCATTGTGATGTCAAACAACTCAACAGATGTGCATGCTGCAGAGAATGCGGGATCACGTCCTGGAACAGTAGCCACCATCACAGACTGAGTGTGCTTGAGGAATTGGCCATCAAGTTCGACCACGCCACCATTAATCACTGTGCTAGGATTAGCAGACTCAACAGTTGGCTCTACATTATTATTAATATGAGATTGTTAGTATGATTGATGGGAATGATTCCAAGTGTGATTGATTGAGTATATGAGTGCATGAGTGATTGTTTGAATGATCAAATGTGTGATTAATTGTTGGGAATGAATCCAAGTGTGATTGATTGAGTGATCGAATGATAGAGTGATTGATTGGAATGATTCCAGCCATCATTTGTTTGGGTGAGTGATTGACATACGATAGTAGAAGAACTCCTTGGCGGTCGAGAGAGCAGAGTATGCATCTTGGTTGCTGAGCTTGAGATTGATGATGCACTTGTCGGTGAGATCGATTGAGTTGAATTTGATGCTTTGAGGCAGCTCGAAACTGATGATCGTGTCAGAGATCTGGTTGATCTTGGGTGGTGGGACAGTGACTGTGCCAACAGTGATGGCGACAACGGATCCTAGAATGAAGTTGGTGCCCTTGAGCTGGATGATGGAGCCACCAGCCATCACTCCAAGGTTGGGTTCTATCGCGTCGAGTGTTGGAACGACCAGACTGAACTGGCTGCTCGATGGCACCTTGATGCCATTGGGATACTCCAACTCCAAATCCACAGCAGTAATGGAGTTTGTTGTAATTAATTTTGGCGCGACACAGTCGAGCACGTCGTTGGTGACCTGAGGTGTGCACACACAGTTACCAACACCAATCATTCTAACAATGGGCAATGGATCATTAGCATTATTCTTCACTGGCAATGTCAATGTAAACTTGGCTCCAACACTAGCATATCCAAACTTTTGATTGAAGTCAAAGGTTGGGACTAATATGAGGGGAGTGGGGTGGAATCATTCCATGTTAGTCAGTCATGTGATAATGATTGATTGAGTGAATGAATCATACTTTGGTAGAAGTATGAGATGTAGTTCTCGGATATTTGTCCGTCGATGAATAGGATGAGTCTTTCACCAGCCGGGTTAACTGGACCGACGCATGTTGGTGTGATACACTTGAGTGATGTGGCAGTCGATGCTCCAGGTATGATGGTACATGTCTGAGTTCCAATCTGAACCACGAATCTATTTGGATCACTTGTCAACATGAAATCACCCTGTATCTCAATCTCAGTTCCACCCTGAGCCCATCCAAAGTTTGGAGTCACAGAGTTAATCTTGGGCACTAATGTGATGATATGAGGATGAATTAGTGAGTGAGTGATTGGAATGATTCCAGTGATGATATGATCACTTACCAGTGTAGGTGTATGTTTTGGTCGTGGCATAATGTTGATTGTTGACTGTGAAACTGATTGGCAATACACCTTTGACTGAAGCATCCATTGCCATGTATTGTGGAACTGTGCATTGGAAGCCGACGTTACCAGTAAGGTCTGCTGGCAACACAGTTGTAATAGGACATTGTTGTGTGCCAATGAATACAGTTGGTGGATACAATGGATTCACCATCTGGACGCCCACCTGATATCCACCAATGGACCATCCCATTCCCAATGGTATAGATATTGTTGGTTCTGGAGGTAGTGGGGTGGGAGTGTTAGTACAAGCACGATCAATCAATCAAACAATGATAGGTCAAACATACCAACATATTGGAATGTCTTGTCGGCGTTGGATCGGTAGCTGTGAGCTGTGACTGAGACTGCGAGTGGTTGGGTGGGTCCAGCTTGTGGACGTGCCAAGAGTGTGATGGTGCTAAAGAGGCCAATTTGGAATTGTGTGTTGTCGTAGAAGTCAAAGCCAATGCTGACGCCAGTGGCAGTGTGTAGACTGAGACCCTTGATTTGGAGAGTTGTGGTGCCCTGGGTCAGTCCCAATGATGGAGTGACCTCGGTGATGATGGGCTCGGTGTACATGAACTTGAAGTTGCCATTGGGTGGATACTCGGGCTGGCCGTTGACCACGACGGTCATCGGGCTCACCGAGAATGACTGGTTCCGGCAAAGGTTGAGGGGCGGTACAC